GATTCTCCTAAAATCCAATAAAAGAATTTCCAAAAACTTAACTCTGTTTTAAATCAACTTTTGGCACGTTTCTCTGGGGAATTTCTAGGGTCAATTAACCCGTCATTATTTCGGGAAACTTATTCTCAGGGACTCGCCCTCGCGGCCAAATAGATCAAAGGCGAACCCCCAAAAAGTAGGACTTCCTCCCGCTCTCATGCCATCCTCTCGTCGTCCTGCCGAAACTCGACCACCGACCGACAAAAACTTTCTCACATTACATCACGGGAAAGCGGAGGACGGCTAAAAACAACAAGGACAACAACTGGAGCGCTCTAAATGGACACCGAACAACATCGTTTAATATTGATGGACATTGTTTGAGCTCTTTATGATGGGAAAGTGAGGCCATCGCTGCCTACGCTTTTTGTTGCTGCTGCCTGCCTGCCGGTGGTTCAAGTGAATATTTAATTAAATTGTTTTCTAATAACCACGCGCAACTTTGTCGGACTCGAAACACGCGTCGACAAGCGGCGGGCGGCGGCCAGGACACGCGGCAATCGGTCCGGGCCAGGACACACCTTGTTGTGCCAACAACATTAGCAAGAGGCCGAAAAAAAAATCGAGAGAAAAAAAACGAAACGGCCGGAAAACGAGAGCGAAGTTGGGCAGAGCCACCCCTTTTAGCTGCGTATCCTGCTTCTAATTTTCCAAATTACGCACCATCAATCATCGCTAGCTTTGACGAACGTCGAACGGTAAAGTGGTCGTGGGATGTGGCTGTGAAGGATGTTGATGATGACGTTAGAAACTACCCCCTACCCCCTGGAACCAGGAACCCGTGAAGCCATCAGCCAATCCCCTGACGCAGCGACGACGCTCCGGCAGCCGCAAGAAAAAATTAAATTAAAACTTCAAGTGGCCGCAAGGACCTGCTGCAGCATTATCCTGTATCTCCCGACCAGCTAGCCATATTTTCCCTCGTAATTAACGCTAATTGCGTTTGCTCCTAAGCCGGACTTTTTGACTTTTCCACGTGTTTTTCGGATTGTCCCATGGATTTTCCCACCTAATCCGGCCCCCGCCGAGCCGACGACTGTGTTTTTGTTATGGCTTGACTTTGGCTGACAAAAATATTTGCGTTGCATAAATAAGCAAGAGATAATGCTGATCGGAAGTGATTAACATTTGCCAGTTTTCCCGGGAAACATTCCTGATCCCCTGGACAGGCTTTAAAGACGGTTAGATAACTCCTAGACCCCTCCTCCTCCATCTGGTAATTGAGAATGCACTCCAGCTAATGAAAGTGGTCGGGGAGGGGGACTCAAGGATTAATATCGCACTGCAATTAAGAGCTCAATCACAGCGACTCCGACTCGGGCTCTTGTTTGCCTCTCTCTGATTACATTTATGAAATTATTATTGATGTTTCGGCAGTGACCACCACAGCCCAGTGTCCATCGTCCGTCGTCCATCGGCCATCGTCCACCCCAAAAGCCAATGGCATTTCTAATTTTGTTGAGTAGCCCTAACTCCGTTGGCTTGGCCTCCTCCTTCGCCCGACCGAGACAGGCCATTTTGATTGAAATGCAGACACAAAATGCTGGCAGGCAGCCATTATATTTAAGCTGAGGCCCCCCCGATCTATACATAAGTATGTGCCAGTGCGTGGACACAGTGGGGTTCAAACTAATAGAGCTGCTAAGTATTAAAATCGTAATAAAATATTTTACTATAGTTATTATACCCTTGCAGGGTATTATAATTTCAGTCAGAAGTTTGAAACGCAGTGAAGGAGACGTTTCCGAACCTATAAAGTATATATATTCTTGATCAGCATCAACAGGGGAATCTTTCTAGATATGCCAGGAAGAAATCGATTTTTTGGCCATTTTTGCAAAATTCCATAAGGGGTTACATCATTAAAATTTTTGATTTTGATAAAAAATTGAATTTTCAAAATTTTTAAATGAAGTATGCAGATCTATTAACTGTAGAAATTCTTGCACAGAACAGTTTTCCGATTTAAAATTAATGCTCTTATGGCCGAGATATGATATTTTTAATTTAAAAAAAATCAAGAAGTTTTTTAATATAAAAAATCAGATTTTATAATACAAAATAATATTTTTCCAAGTCATGGAATCATTTCCGACCCCATAAACCACATATATTCTTGATCAGCAATAACATGCGAATCTCTCTAGACATGTCCGGAAGAAATCGATTTTTTGGCCATTTTTGCGAAATTTCATAAGGGGTTACATCATTAAAATTAGCAAAAATGGCCAAAAATTTGGATTTCTTAAAATTTTAAATTTAGTATGCAGTTTTTTTAAATTAATAAAAACTAACACAAAACTGCTTTCCGAATCGAAATTAATGCATTTTTGGCTTAGTTATCATATATTTTAATTGTTACCTGCAAGGGTATACAAACTTTGGCTGGCCAAAGTTAGCTTTCTTTCTTGTTTTTAATTTAATTGCAGCAAGCTGCCAGGAACTGAAAGCGAATGCCGATGGCGAGACAGAGAGCGTTGGCAAGGAGGATCAGGACGAGCAGGAGCAGAAGAGGACCAGGAGCTGCGGCAGCACGACGAGGGTGCCACCAAGACCAAGCCGAAACCACTGGGAATGACCTCCGACATTCTGTTTCTTTTATTTATTTAAAGCTGAAGTAAATAAAAAACCTTTAAAAATTTGTTATTTTTTACTTATGAGGAGGATTGCGGTTTTTGATGATGCAGATGAGCATCACAGATGCAGATGAGCATCACTGATGCAGATGAGCATCACTGATGCAGAGAAGCATCACCGATGCAGATGAGCATCACTGATGGAAGTGAGCATCACTGATGGAAGTGAGCATCACTGATGGAAGTGAGCATCACTGATGGAAGTGAGCATCACTGATGGAAGTGAGCATCACTGATGGAAGTGAGCATCACTGATGGAAGTGAGCATCACTGATGGAAGTGAGCATCACTGATGGAAGTGAGCATCACTGATGGAAGTGAGCATCACTGATGGAAGTGAGCATCACTGATGGAAGTGAGCATCACTGATGGAAGTGAGCATCACTGATGGAAGTGAGCATCACTGATGGAAGTGAGCATCACTGATGGAAGTGAGCATCACTGATGGAAGTGAGCATCACTGATGGAAGTGAGCATCACTGATGGAAGTGAGCATCACTGATGGAAGTGAGCATCACTGATGGAAGTGAGCATCACTGATAGAAGTGAGCATCACTGATAGAAGTGAGCATCACTGATGAAAGTGAGCATCACTGATGGAAGTGAGCAAAACTTTTCATTCAAATTGGCCGCTTTCCAAATTGGGGTAACAGGCGAACAGAAACCAGCAGCAAGCAACTGAAAACTGGTATAAACTGTTATAAAAACATTTGGGCAAAAATAATAATTGGTATAAACTGTTATATTTCATTTTATGCATTTATACCTATTTTTTGCCGACAACAACAGCTTATGGCAACAACAACCTTTTTACAACAACATCCCTACAGCAGCCCATCCAAATTTCCAAAAATTTCCATGCAAATTGCCCGTTTCCCAAACTGGGGTAACAGGCGAACAGAAATCAGCAGCAAGCAACTGAAAACTGGTATAAACTGTTATAAAAAGTCCAAGTTTCAAACCATTTAGGAGCCGGTGCAAGTAAGCGGAGACTCAAACCTTTTGAATAACTGTTATATTTCATTTTATGCATTTATTTGTTGCCGACAACAACAGCTTGATGGCAACAACAACCTTTCTACAACAACATCCCTACAGCAGCCCATCCAAATTTTTGAACATTTCCATGCAAATTGCCCGTTTCCCAAATTGGGGTAACAGGCGAACAGAAACCAGCAGCAAGCAACTGAAAATTGGTATAAACTGTTATAAAAAGTCCAAGTTTCGAACCATTGATCTTGGAGTAAGCGAAGACTCAAACCAGATGTGACCATACTGTAAATTTTTTGGCTAAAATGTTGCTTAAATGCACCTGGGCACACTGAGTTTCATACTAGCAGAGACTCAAACCTTTTGAATCCAAATTTAGGGATTATTTTACAACTGCACCTGGGCACACTGAAACTGATCGTCGTTAAATTCAAATTCAAATTTGGCAGTTGAAATATTTAAAAAAAATTTTTAAATTCTGAAAAAAATCTAAAATAAATATAAAAAATCTGAAAAAAATGTTAAAAATTCAGAAAAAAATTAAAAAATATCATATATATAAAAATATATATATATATAAAAATATCAACAATTTTATATTTTACAGATTTTAATAAGTAATTTAATTTCCTTCATTATTTTTATACGCATTGAATCACCCCTTTAATAATTATATCATTCAAGCTATTGTTTCACCCGCCGCTGTACTATGTGCATCCCATATATCCTCTCACACTAATCTGTATTATGTACACAGTTGATTCGCCTGCCACTCACCCAGGCCCACACTCCCACGGATCCCACACCCACATAACCAGGACATCCCCTACATAAGTAACGCCACATATGATTTCATTCATATGCAGAAGAACTATGCTGATGCTCCTCCCTCCTGCAGAAGGGCCCATCATTGATTTGCAATGCCTAAAATGTTTCAGCCTGATGATGGGAATTCCCTTCCTGACCCCCATCCTCCATTGCTGCTGCTGTTGCTGTTCCGCTCTGCCTAACTGCCAAACATTCCGAAATGCCGGAGTGCGTGTCTGCCTCTGTGTGTGTGTGTGGTGTGTTTGCCATCGTTTTTGGAAATATTATATGCTCATACCTCCGTTTTCGAGTAAATTGTGTAAATATTTGCGCTCGTAAGTGGATTGGAGATGGATGAGTCTATCAACAGAGAAGCCGGCGTCGCAGCAGGCAGAGCCGCTGGCATGGCCATCATCATATGCGTGTACCCCCCGGCCAGGTCCCCAGATATACTACATTCGGATGTACATGTGGTACAGCTGGCTACCTGATATCCTTTCCGAAGATGATGGAGCTTGTTGCATCTCGTTTACGTTCTGACAAAGAATTTATTCACTTAAACATTTAGAGCAACGAGTGCACAGCCCAGGAACTCACTAAGTGGGTCATTCAAAGGCCAGATTTTAACAGTTTCCACAACCCCGATGACCTTATTTGGCGGCTTTCTTGCCAGCTTCCTTATCCTTCTCCTTCTCCGGCTCGCTTTCGGTGGTCTCGCCTTCATCCTCCTCATCATCCTCGTCGTCGTCTTCATCGCTATCATCCTCGTAGTCGCCATCGGACTCATCCTCATCATCATCATCGCCGTAGGAGTAACCGCCGCTGGCTCCACCGCCATAGTAGCCACTGCCACCGGCACCGTAGTAGCCGCCGTAGCCCTCCTCGTCGTCGCTGCCACCGCCCTGTTGCTGGCGACCGAACTTATGCGAGCGCGTGGACATGCTCAGATCCTTGGTAACCGAGGTGTCGTAGTTGCACTTCGGGCAGGGAATGGCCTTGTTCTTGTCGTACTTGAAGCCCTTGCGGCGCACATGATCCTCGCAGTAGCAGGTCTTGCAGCGCAGGCAGGAGTACTGGCCCAGTCGGTTGCACGACTGGCACTTGTAGTTCTCCGATTCCAGCACCTGGAGATGATCAAAAATGGTTAAATAACAGCTCAAAAGGAGGACATCCCAAGAAACTAACCTGACAGCTGGCCTGGTGCTCGAACTGGTCGTCCTCGCACAGGAAGCCATTGCAGAAGGAGCACTTGAAGATGCGTCCACCATGCTCCCACACCCCGCGCTCGCACTCCAGGCATACCGCATTCTGCAGCGGGCACGTGCAGGCGTGGTTTTGCAGGCACTTGCGGCCGTGGCACACCCAAGCCTCGCAGAAGTCGCAGATGGCGCCCACCATGCCCAGGCCGGTGGTGTAGACGCCGGGATGCTTCACCACACAATCGCCCGTCTTCAGCATGCACTTGATCTTGCCGCACTGGGCGCAAATGGGCAGGCGCTGGAGGCTCTGGCAGAAGTAGCAGAAAGCTCGCGACTTCTGCTTCTTCTCGCACTTGTCGCACTCCATCGGGGCATTGCAGGGCAGATCGGCCAGCGGCACCTCGCGGCTGCGGATCTCCTTGAGGCGCAGCTTTTGCTTCTCGGCCTTCTTTCGCTGTCCAGTTTTCTTTTTCGGCATTTTGGAAAACCGGGGAAATTTATTTTCCTTTTACGTGTGCGATAAGTGTGGCTGCAAGTGGGAGCGGCAGAAAATACCAATAAATAAATGACATTGTTGGTATTTTTCAACTGTTATAGCTAGATATAGCTATAAAATAGCTGTTCTATGTCTATACCTGACAACCCTAGACGCCTAAGGTCATACTGCTGTGGAAAAAATAAATCAAATTTGTAAATCCGCATTTTCACATTAAATTTAATAAAATAGCGCAATGCCAAAGTACTATTGCGACTACTGCGACACCTACTTGACCCACGACTCGCCGTCGGTGCGGAAAACCCACTGCACCGGCCGCAAGCACCGCGACAATGTGAAATTCTACTACCAGAAGTGGATGGAGGAGCAGGCCCAGCACTTGATCGACGCCACCACCGCTGCCTTCAAAGCTGGAAAGATCACCAACAATCCATTCGCCGGGGGACCATCTGCGGCTCCTCCCAAGCCGGCGGGCGTCTCTATTCCGCCGCCAAACATGGGCGCTCCGCCGCGTCCCGGCATGCCTGGAATGCCGTACATGCCACCGATGATGAATCCCATGATGACGGGCATGCGTCCGCCTCCGATAATGAATCCCATGGCCATGATGGGCCCACCGCCACCGCTGGGCACTATTCCCGGCGTGCGTCCGTCCATCATGAACGGACCCAATTGACAGAAAGCTGGGATCTCCAGTACAAGGAAGGAGCCCACCTCTTGAGGTGGCCTAATTAAGTCGTAGCCCTTAAGTAACAACTATTGCAACCTAAAGAAATTATGTAAATTTATATAAAAAAGGAAATTTACTCAAGAAGTGGTAGTTTTGGGGATTCCTGTATAAAGAGATGTTTTTCTATAGTAATGAATATATTTAGGAAACATTTAAACACAAATGCATTTTGCCCTTTGTCTACAATACAGTTGTCTAGCAGCTTTTACAATTTTCATCTTACTCACTAGTTAGGTTTATGTGAAGAGAATATAATGCGGATTATAATTGTTAAAATACGAATGCGTTTCGGGATTGAAGTGTTAGTTGGGTAGCAGTAGGATATCCTGGCCATTGTCCCGCGAAGGCGCCGCTTAAACTAAATTGTTACTACACACACTTAGGATCTTAGGATACGATATATGTTAAGGAATTGGTCAGGAGCTGGGGCTATCTAGCGACACGCTGGCGCTTGCTGGGTGAGACCAGCACTGGAGATGGTTGATGGTTGCCGGAGATTGCGTCAAAAATGCTGGTCTCCGAGCGCCGGTACTCGCTGCCAATGTTTTCCAGATTCAGATCGGCGTCGAGAACCAGAACCTGGAAGATAGAACGAATGGTTTAAGATGCAGCGTAAGCTCCTCTTAAGAGAATTGCATTCTTACCTTGCAGGTCTGCGGTCGGCGGTGATGTATCAGCCAGTCCTCGTGCAGCTCGTGCAGGTCCTGGAGGTACTTTAGCGGCACACAGCTCTCCTCGGAGCGGGCCCGCTGGCGTATGCGCTCGTGCGCCACCTCGGGCGAGGTGCGCAGGTAAATGATGAGATCGGCTTGCACGTGGATGGACTCATCGATGAATTTGTACCATTCCTGCAGCGTGTTGAACATCCCCTCCTCCAGGGAGCCATTGCGATGCATGTTCTCCACGAAGCAGTAGCTGCAAAAGGGAACTCGATTAACCCTAGACGGTCATGCTTATTTTTCCTACGTTAAGGTTATGCTTCGTCGAATCGACGACGCCAATTTTAAAATAAGTATAATTGTTAAAAAACAAACAAATATTGTAAAAAAAAATTTAACATCGTTTAATTCATCATTTTAACTGTTCAAAATTAGAAATAATAATTAATTCTTATATTAAGAATATACTTAAAAACTAAGAATAAAAAACGACCTTTTTTTCATTTTTCGAACTTTTGTGATTTTGCGTCGTCGAATCGACGAAGCATGACCGTCTAGGGTTAATGACCTGGCCAAACCGGATTGCAGATGCACTTACCGCGAGCTAAAAATGGAGCGCTCCATTATTTTTAGCTTCTTGTCGGTGGGCGCCGTATGCGCCTGCAGCATGGTCAACGTGACATAACTCTGAAAGGGCATGGCCCACTTCTCGGGGTCCTTGTACATCAGCTCCAGCAGGTTGACGCCGTTGACGTTGCGCCACTTCTCCACGGGCTCGGTGAGCAGGCAAATGTCGTTCTTGTACTTCTCAAAGTGGTTCAGATACGTAGTCTTTCCGCTCCCGATGTTGCCCTCGATGAGCACAGTGAAGGGCTGCGTGCCCTCGGCGAACTTGCGTCCCTGCCGGGCACTGGATGCTGCCGCCGCCATCAGTCCGGACAAACCGCGATCTGCACGTGAAGATTGAGATAATGAAGTACGGTTCGGTAGGTACAGCTCCGCTCAGATTTTCCGGATACAAGAGAGTGCAATGTACTACTGAACGAGGCGGCGGGAGAATTCTGACTAACCACCCCGCCAGAGCGGCACAATGATCGTCTTTTACCGCCGATATTCCAAAAGAGCGGGAACCGCCATTTGTTTTTCAATCGGGTTTTTTCTCGATCGTTGTGTTTGTTTTTGTCAACCGGCTGACACGATTGTGCGTGTGTGTGCGTGTGTTGCGTGAATGTGCGTGTTAAAAGTTTAAATTTTAAATTAAGTTTGATTTACCAATAAAGGTTAATATTTCCCGTTTCCACATATCAGGCGTCGGTGGTGTCCGCGGAAAAATTAAATTAGTACATTACGAAATGTACTTTCTTAAATGCAAAAAGAACAGCATAGAAATCTTTAAAATAAGCCGGTATTTGTCTTTTTTGTGCCTTTTTTCCTTAATTTCACAAAATGTGTTTTGTTTTTGCAATGGCAAAACAGCTGATTAATCGATTCGCCACAGCTGTTTGATGGTTAGTTATCGAATATTTACTATCGGTTCTCGGCCATCGCTAAGAAGACGCATTTTTTTTATCAATATTTGTAAACTTTTATAAAAACCTGAATAAAAACTTGTTTTAAGGGGCAATTTTAGCCAGGCACTTGACTAGTCATGTCCATAGAAATCGAATCAGCCGAGTGAGTACCATAAAATACAAGTTATTACCCTGAAAAAGCAGTTTTAAGCCATTCTGAATTTCCTCATCCTCCCAAAGTGTGATCCGGCTTATCCAGCAGTATCTCAAGGAGTCCAACTTGATGAAGACCCTGCAGACCCTACAGGTGAGTCCAGCTCTTATCCGGAAACCCCTTTAAACCCATTTTTATACCAGGAGGAAACGGGTGTCTCTCTCAACACAGTGGACAGCGTGGATGGCTTTGTACAGGATATATCCAATGGCCACTGGGACACTGTGCTGAAGGTGACGCAATCCCTGAAGCTGCCGGACAAGAAGCTGCTCAATCTCTACGAGCAGATCGTGCTGGAGCTGATAGAACTGAGGGAATTGGGTGCCGCCAGATCCTTGCTTCGCCAAACAGATCCCATGAGCATGTTGAAGCAGCAGGAACCCGAGAGATATATACATTTGGGTTAGATTAAGCTCATTTATCAGTTTAAAACTGAATGTCATTATTTAATAATCTCTATTTATAGAAAACATGCTGCAGCGCGCCTATTTTGATCCCAGAGAAGCCTATGCGGAGGGCAGCAGCAAGGAGAAGCGACGCACGGCCATTTCCCAGGAACTAAGTGGCGAGGTGCATGTGGTGCCCTCTTCCAGGCTCTTGGCCCTCCTCGGCCAGGCTCTCAAGTGGCAACAGCACCAGGGATTGCTCCCACCTGGCACCACCATTGATTTGTTCCGCGGCAAGGCGGCCATGAAGGATCAGGAGGAGGAGATGTATCCCACACAGCTGTTCCGGCAGATCAAGTTTGGCCAGAAATCGCATGTGGAGTGCGCCCAGTTCTCACCCGATGGGCAGTACCTGATCACGGGCAGTGTAGATGGCTTCTTGGAGGTGTGGAACTTCACCACCGGCAAGGTGCGAAAGGATTTGAAATATCAGGCGCAGGATCAGTTTATGATGATGGAGCAGGCGGTGCTGGCTCTGAATTTCTCTCGCGACTCTGAGATGGTGGCCTCCGGGGCCCAAGACGGTCAGATTAAGGTGTGGCGCATCATCACTGGTCAATGCCTGCGGAAATTCGAAAAGGCTCACACGAAGGGTATTACCTGCCTGCAATTCTCGCGCGATAACAGCCAGGTTCTCAGTGCCTCCTTTGATTATACTGTAAGGTTACATGGCCTAAAGTCGGGAAAGATGCTGAAGGAGTTCAAGGGCCACTCGTCCTTTGTCAATGAGGCCACCTTCACTCCCGATGGACACAGTGTGCTCAGCGCCTCCTCCGATGGAACTGTGAAAGTGTGGTCCCTAAAGACAACCGAGTGTGTGGCCACGTACAAGCCTTTGGGCAACGAACTGGCCGTAAACACTGTTCTCATACTGCCCAAGAATCCAGAGCACTTTATCGTCTGTAATAGATCCAATACGGTGGTCATCATGAACATGCAGGGACAGATTGTGCGTTCCTTCTCGTCGGGTAAGAGAGAGGGCGGCTCGTTTATCTCGGCTACTCTCTCGCCCCGCGGCGAGTTCATCTACTGCGCTGGCGAGGATCAGGTGCTGTATTGCTTCTCTGTTTCATCGGGAAAACTGGAACGTACTTTGAATGTGAGTTGGGATTTTACTGTGCATCTAGAATTTCTTTTTCTAATATTAATTTCCCCCCTTAGGTTCATGAAAAGGATGTCATAGGTCTGACGCATCATCCGCACCAGAATCTGCTGGCCAGCTACAGCGAGGATGGCCTTCTGAAGATTTGGAAACCCTAGATCTTATAAGCAATTGACTTTTACTCCTAGTTTTAGTTTAACCAACAAAATATACCTACTGCCCCCGAAAGTATTTACGGTTTTGCATTTTCTCAAGCCCTCAGCTATACCCCCATCAATATCTTCAATCATGTCTCTCTATATGAAACAAATTGACTTTAATTAAAAATTATGCAAAGCGCTAATCCGCAGAGTTTGCCTCAATTGCTGGGCCTCAGCGCTTAAATTAGTCGAGCAACGACACTCAGCCGGTTCACTTGCCGCCAGCAATGAAGAGCGACGAGATCATTGAGAAAATCCGAAACAAGCTGAAGGAATCGGACCCAGCCCGGCGGACTGTGGTCAATACCTTTCAGTTTAACTTTACCGATTCGGATGGCAATCTCATCAAGAGCATGGGTGAGTGCAGTGCTGGGCCTTGTCATGGCTAAGTGGAGGCTGATCGTCTTATCGCAGTCTTTGATTTCAAAGCCCTGGACATCTACGAGGGCTGTGCCTCTAGTGCAGATGGACAGGTGACCATTTCTGATGAGGATTTCTACTTGGTGGGCACGAAGCAGAAGACGTTTCAGGAGATTTTGCAGCAGGATAAGGCCAAAATAGACGGCGATGAGGAGGCCATTAACAAGATGCTGGAGAAGTTTCGCATAAACACACAGAACTAGGGGTGAATCATATCGAAAATATCAGAAAGTTTTATATATCGAAATATATCGATATTATCGAAAGAAGATTTACAAAGCTTTTGATAAATAAATATTCTTAAAGCCTTAAATGAGGATGTTATTTTCAAAAATATTGCTTTTTTAACCCACCCCATATAGACTGCAATTAAATAATAAAAATTAAATTAAAAAAAAATTAAAATGTGTGTATTAATCACTGGCTTAAAGCCTTTAATTTAAAAATCATTCATTAAATTGGTTTTAGTATTCATTTATTTAATTACCTTTATTTATATTTAATGTTAACATGGAATTGTTTTTGTAGGTGTTTCCTTTTAATTTGAAATTTGCTGTTCTGCATTTTATTATTCAACTATTTTGTTATCTCTCGCCATCATACTTCTTTTGGTGCCAATACTGCGGTTTTTAATTTTCTGTTTATGGTTTTGGTTTTGAAAATCGTCTCCTTTTCTCAATTCAAATATGTGTTTGACTCTCCGTTGCGTGGCTTATTTATAGGTTTAATTGTAATTTTAACATTTGCTCTTTTTTGGGGGTGTTTTAATTTAACCTTGTGTTACTTTAGTAAACGTTTTGTTTTTAGTTTAGAACATTTTGGTTTTTGGGGGCAGGTTTCTTTTCTTTCTGGGGACTTTCCTTCTCGAACATTTTATTTGCTTTGGGTTTTAGTACTATTTTTTTTCTTTTTCTTTAAATTTATGTTTAATTTTTATTGCTAGAACACAAATTCAGAGTTTTCCTTTTTATTATTAACTAATTGAATTGTTCTTTTTCGGTTTTAATGTAATACAACAACAAAATTTGTACACTTAAACTAAGGTTTATTTTCATGAATTAATTCTTAGGAATTACTTGATCATTATGCTTTTTTATGCAACAATTTAACAACGTTTTACTTCTTCAATGTAATTGTATTTATTTTTTTGGTTTTTATTTATCAATTTTAATTTTTACTTTTACTTTTATTTAATTAATGTAGCATTTTTTGTAACACCTACATACGTTTATTATAAATGGGGGTTTTTTACGTTAAACGGGTTTAAGTTTCCATCGCTGATTTAAGCCATATTATTTAATTTTTCTCAATTTGTTTTCTTCTTTGCAAAACGTACGTGCGCTATGAAACCAATAATTATTATTTATTAGACGAAATTTCAGGGAATTTATCATCATTCGACTCCAAAACGGAGGAAACTGATATGAACTAAAGCCGTTATTAAATTCACAATAGGTTTTGCATATGTATAAGGTCGATAAAATAACGGTAAACATATGTAAAATATATCATACACAAAACTGAAGTGGAATTAAATGTAAATATTCGGTTTCCTTGTGTTTTTAGATCTCTTTTGTTTAGCTTCTTGTATAATTTACTTTATTATTATCGTTCCCTTTAGCGTATACATTTTTATAAATATTCTTGTTCGCCTTAAATGTTTATAAAAATGTGCTTAAATAGACAAAAATCTTTGAATTTATTCTCTTTCCATTTCTCTGTCGCTTTTCATTTCATTTTCCATCTGCGGGCCGCTAATTTTTATTAAATGTTTCTTTCTTTTATTCTCATATAAACCTCGCTCCCTCTCGATTTAGCGTCATTTAACTCTTTGCTTTTATTCTTTGCTGGAAGATACAGTTTTGATAGTCACTAATTCTTTTATTTATGCATTATTTCATCTTCAACTTCTCCTCTTGGTTGTTGTATGTTTGATTTGTGTAGCTTCAAGGGTAGAAGATTTTTCATTTTCATTAGTTTTTGTACAAAATGTATAAATAAAAAGTCATGCGCGTATGTATAGGTAGTTAATTATTATTGTTTTATGCCCTTTAGTATGTTGCTGCCGTTATTCGTTATCGGTTTATCTATCGGTTTGCGAATGTGTGTGTGTGTATTGTTTTATTTACGCTTACGCTCTTCGATTCTCCTGTTTGTATAATTAATTCAATTTATGCTTCACCTAAATATTACTCGTATCAAATATAAAAATCAACAACATTATTTTATTTCTTCTTCGTCCTGTCTGCGCGGTCGTCTCCTGTGGCTGTGAAAATGATTCGTTCCTGCACTTCCGCTTGCTCTATCCTGCCCATTTCCGCTTCCCTTTCATTCTCCCTGGTTTCTACATAATCCTTCTTCCCTTCGCCATACGTATTTCGCTATGTGTATAATATAGTTTATTAAATGTAGCTATTATTTGTTGCTTATGCTCCCCGTCACGCCATCCTTTACTTTCCTTACTTATGTGAAACGCTTCTGGCTAATCGTGTTATCGCAACTACAATATGCGCGCCCTACTGTACTTTTATAGCGTCGCATTCGCTCCTTTCCATCTATATTTCCTACTAATCGCGCCCCGCTTTGATCGCCATTAAATTTATGTCTTAATCAATTCGCATTTTTGCATAATTTCTTGTCTTTTAGGTATTGTTAACTTTTGAATTTCTGTTTCTGTTTCCGTTTCCGGTCTCCTCCTGCTGCTGCTGCTGATTCCTCCCCTGTCGCTGTATGAGCCTGTGTATCCTGTGTAAACTACTACTCTTGCTCTGCAAAGTTGCTTTGTTCGCCATTACCTAGTTTTAGCCTTATTCTAAATGCGTTTTAAAACCGAAACTGAAGGTTGCGATAAAAGTGCCTAAGACTCCGCTTCCGCCGAACCATCGTTAGACATTCGCCATTTGGTTGACATGGTCGATATTATCTTCATCGAAATGCACATCGTTGATGAAAATGTCCGCGGCCAGCTGGTCCTCGTCCAGCTCCAGGTCGTCCTCGTCGTCATCTTCCCCGCTCATCAGTCCATGGCCCATGTCCACGCCGGCAATGCAGATGTGGGGCGGCGGCGGCACACTAGTGGGTGGCAAGGGAGCTGGCGGTATGATCAGGTTGCCGCTGTTGATCCCATGCAAGCTGCCCGCAATGCTGGCACCGCCGCTCTGCAAATGCCGGCGACTAGAGCTGAGACCTGCTGTTGGGAGAAAAGTGGGATTAAGGTTGCTATTTAAAATGTTTTTAAATCACTAAGAAAATCCCCTTAAAGTTTTAAAATCATAAATAATTACCTTGAAATAATGTAAATAAAACCAAACTCAAAGAAAACCTGAAGAAATCATAAGGCAATGATAAGGTTATGTTAAATATAAGATTAAATTTGATATATCCTGATAAGGACTCACCTGTGGCACTCGTCTGCGAGTCGTAATGTGCATTGCGATGTAGGCCCAATTGACGGACATGGTTCCTACGGTTTCTTCTGGAGTGACAGAGTATGCATAGGAGACAGATTAGGGACGAGACGACGAGAAGTGTTATAATTATTAGAACGTCGTAGTCCTCCTCGGCCGCTTCCGTGGTACCTGCAGGGATGTAAAGCGTTTTGGGGGGAAAAGGCAAGAGCACACAAAAGGTAGACTCGTTAGTGAATAATACAGCTTAAAAATGAATCTTTATTAATAGGATGGAATACAGTTGGGCATGTGTGGGTAGATCTCTGTAGGAAGTTATCCTAGAGAGTCTTGGGTGTGTCATGAACTTGATGTTCTTGTTCTGAGTGCTGTGGTGTCGGCTGTTAACCTAGGCTTCACAAGTTTTTAATTAGCGATAGATTTAGGGTTGACGGTTTAGTTCAGTTTATCAGCGGCGGCACCAGGAAGGTATTAAACAAATGGACTACGTGCGGTGCACATGACAAGTGGGTTTTGGGGAAGGGTGCAGAACATAAAGAAGCCAGAACCAAAAAACAGAGACTATAACTTTGGCATGCTCATCAACTCAACAACTCTTACAATGCAATCGAAATGAACTCAAAGGCTGCAACTGAGGAGAATATAGGACTGTGAACAGTGATCATCTGCTGGTCAGGACATCTACGGGGCTTCAAGGGGGTTTGAGTTATTCATTCTAGGTTCAAGTTTGAGTTTATGTTCGAGTTTGAGTGGGTCTATCTCTGGGTTGAACTCTGTGCATGTCATGAGCGTGGCGTGGCGTGGAGTGTTGAACGATTGTAGGACAAGCTAATGCAGAACTCACGTGTTAATTGTGACCAAACAGTTTCTTTACTTATGTAATAGAGTTAATATTCTTTTCTTGGTTTAATGTTTTTTGTTTTATTTTGTCGCTTTGCTTGTTGTTAGAAAAGTGAGTACGAATTCTCGCGCTATCAGAATGTTTCATTTATGTTAATATGTTTTCTTAATAATGTTGCTCGCTTTTGATTCTCGTGGCAATTCCAATTCCGATTTGAAAATTTTGATTTTTCAGGTTTCATTTCGTTTTTTAGTTTTAGTTGTAAGTATTAAATACTAATGCCGTAATTGCTAAAACAAATGTCTGTAGAAATGTGGGCAAATGCGTGGACCTTGCGTCACCTGTGCCAGAGGTTTGGGGGTAAAGTTCAGATTCGAGGAAGGGTTTATTTTGTTTATATAAAAAGTTTCACAGTCGAACAGTTTGTAGTTGGTTTTTGTTAGTGGAGACAAAAGAAAGAACAGAGAGAAATAGAGGGAGAATTAGACAAGTAGAGAGAGAGAAATAGAGAAAGATGAGTTTAGTGTAGAATCACCGGGAGTGACATGATCGGGAAAGCTGAGAGAGTGTCTGTATAAGGGATGTTTATCGAGGGGGAAAAGATAGATTTGACGGACTGAAAATATTATATATTTTATATATAATATTTAAAATCCTTAAAATAGAATGCATCGATCTTTTCTACCATCCCCAGTCTGTATTAGCGAGTGTTCTGTATGCCATTCGAGGTGAGAAAAGTCATGTAATTCGTGGAGGGACCTATTGAAGGGGGTTTTTTGGGGGATCTGAGCTCAGAATGTATGTACAAAGGTCTCTGGCCAAAACACAAAACAGCTAGTAAATGTAGTTAGAGTTCAAAACACGAATACTTAGGTGCAAGAAGACTTAGAGAATAAATACAGGATAGCTTCGGTTGGGCCTTTAGCTGGTATTTAGGTTAGTATGGATTATTTTAGTTGCTATATTTAGTGGTTAACGCTTTGCAAGTGTTTCGTCGGGTTCAAGTTTTCTTTACGCATCAAATGAAAAGTGTAAAAAACGGAATCATAGTCATAATCATAATCATAATCAGATGAGGTACCAAACCAAGTTAAATGAAAGTGGAAACTATATATTGGCCCCATGGACGCACTGGAAACACAAACACGAAACAAAACTTAATAGTAAAATTAAGTTACGTAAACTTAGGCGAAAAAAGCAAATAAAAATTGAACTGAACCGTTCGACTCACTCACGACTCACAGTGCAATTCGTCAGTGTCATCGCCGGGCCCGCAGTTCTTGACTCCGTCGCAGCGCAGCTTGTCGGAGATGCAGTATCCGGCCCCGCACTGAAAGTGATACGTGGACTCGCAGTGCAGGCCCACGGACGGTGGTCCAGGACCAGAGTCTTGGATCTCGGTCCACACGATGCGAAAGCCCTAAAGGAAATGCGTTAAGAAATCCTTCCGGTTTCTAGAATGGAGCAGCTTACCTGGGCGCCCACTGTCTTGTCACTAGTGGTGAAGCTTATGCGCGCCGTCTGACCGGTGGAGGTGTAGTGCCAGTGCTCCACGGGTGGCTTTTCGCCGCACAGTTCCAGCGGCGGCTGGTCAGAGTCCACATCCATCCACAGTCGCAGCACAGCAGCAGGACAGCCGCGATCTGGGGGGAAATAGGTTTAACTACAGGAAATTTCAAAGAGGAAACAGGATACTTACTGGCTGGGTCTCCTTCCAGGCCAAACTGCTCAAAGTGTATGGACAGCTTGTAGCCAGGACGGGCCTTCATTACCCAATTGCAGGCATTGGAGGCCATGCCTCGGCCTGGCGCCTTGTAACCCGCTGGCCAGTTGGGCGAGGTGATCAGTCCCGAGTCCTGGTTGCTGAAGTTGCCGCCACAGTCGCCGGCATCCGATTTGGCAGACTCGAAGAAGTAGCGCGCCTTGAAACCACTGGCCACGCTCTCCTGGTCCGTGTGCAAAGTGATGCGCAGCCCCACCGCTCCCCGGGGGCTCTCGACGGGTCCGGGGGCTGTCTGACCGCAGTAACGGCCCAGCAGGCGGTCATTGTTGTCCCGATAGACCACATACATCTCCAGCCAGTCCTCAAAGCAGGCGCCGGAACTGCAAGGATTAGATTGGAATAGTTAGAGGAGAATTCTCTGTGAAAGAGTAGTGTAGTATTACCCATAAGCTCCCGCCGTGGCATTGGCATTGTTGTCCGCTTTGATCTTGAAGTGATCAAACACAATGGTCACCTGCTCATCAGCCTCGGCCAGGAAGAGGTACGAGCAGTTCGTGTCCGAAGGATAATTGGAGGGATACCGTGGACTGTTTAGTTCGCCGCGCTTCTTGGAGCTGCTCACATAGGTGAAGCTGCAGGTGCCATCGGGCGCTGCTGTCCCCGGGATCTTGTACTCCGTTTCGAAGGTGTACTTGCCCTTGAAGCCGCGGCCTTGAAGCTCACCGGAGCTGAAGACCATGGCCAGGCGGGGTCCCTCGCTTATAACGCGCTGCGTTTCATTGCCACAGAGCTCGTAGTCGAACTTGTCATAGGCGTCGGCTGTTTCCTGGCCCTTCAGATAGATTTTTAGATAACCGTCCGTGCAGTTGGACCTTAGAGAAGAAGGTAAAAAAAATATAGTATAAAGTATAATAATTATAAAAGATTTTTAAGTATTTTTTGTGAGATATTTGCTTACTCGCTCTTGTCCTTGTGCTCCACCTTGGGAATATTGAAAGCGTTAAACTCGAGGCGTACACGCTCCAGATGCTGGGCATCCTGCATGCCATAGATGAAATATCTAAAGGAGAATCACATGTTATTAAATGCATACTTTACCTTAAAATGGATTATAAAGTTATACACTCACCTACACACAGTTTTTGGTATATAGGGATAGGGATAGTTGGGTGAGAGCACAAAGCCAGTGGATTCCTTCTTCGATAAAATCTTTTGATCACATTCAGAGCCACGTATGTGAATGCCATCATTTTCACCTGATGTTGGCATTTTGATTGTAAAGATTTTGAGGTAATTTCGATAGGTCAGATCAGGAGCCAGATTGTAGTATATAGCAGAAGTCACCAGAGATAGTTTTTGATTTGAATTTATGTAGAGAGAAAGTGTTAAAGGTTAGCATTTTTTTTTGTAGAAAGGGGAAAAGGGTTAAATTGAAATAAAAATGGCATCAAAACTCAAACAAAGCCAGTGAATAGGTGGGTTCAAGCACATACAATTAGCACATAAATGCTACCATTTTTGGGGTCCCCGAAAGTAGGACATAAGAACCTTTCGGGAACCCCAAAACTCAACAAATTGGCAGAACTGAAACGACAAACAATTGTTATTGAGTAACGACAATACTTACGTATAAAATCTAATTTAACAAAACTCTCGCTAAATTCATAAATTCCTTTAAAGCCACGATTTTGGGTATTTGCGGTGCGCGGTAACGTATAAAAATGAACGAAAAGGCTCGACTCGCTCGAATACAAAACTAAGTTTCTTTGCTGTCCGCAATATGTACCGATTAATGCTGACGAATTATCTGGACCATCGTACACTTTCACATAGTCAAATGGGCAGCTGTTTTTTTTAGGTTTTTAATAGTTGTAGTTGTTGTGTTGATTGGTGATTGTTGAAATTTTGTTGTAGATAATATTGCAGATGGAATAGAAGTTGGGATAGAGAAGAATTTAGGTTTTAGATAGGTCACAGATTAGGTGTATTTTGTATGTGTGTTTGCTGCTAAACAAAGCAAGTCCTAGTACCTGGCCAGGACTTGCTCTGATCTTGACTCTTAATCGTGTTTATGTTTGTGTGTTTTTTTAATTGTGCAGCATTAGAGGTACTCACTGTGGTCCACCAAAAAACAGATCGAAATCACGAAACTCTAATCTAACTCTCTGATTCGATTCACCAAGAAATTGATATGTGCATGACATATCCTTCGGATAGGCACCTGGATAGGTTGGCGATATGAGCGCACCAGTTTTGTTGACGCTCATGCTTGGCGTTATCGTGTAGGAACATGGCGAGCCCGCAATGGGTATGCCGATTTCATATTCCGCTTTTTGAGGATGAATAATAGGTAAAGGTCAGTAATTTACTCTAAAATATATAGTATGGTCTCTAAATCTTTACTTACATGCATTTATAAACCTAAACGTGCCCTCGAACAGGTCCGTGGTCACATTTTTGTTGCTAAAAAACGAAATCGCAACTGCCCGGTACATGGAAATGCGACGACGAGGCGGAATGGTGCCGCAGTAACGGCCACCGAATGGCGAATTGATCAGTTCCGCCGGCTCCGACGACTGCACCTCCGAGTAGATATCCATGTACTCATGAACACAACTATAACAAGTAGAGGATTACTATGAATAACTTTCTATCCAAGATGAAACCTTAATATTTACCTTGGTAATTCACCGACGGCCGAACCGCTGCAAAAGCAAAATATAAAAACGGGGAAACATTAGCATTTCTTTTATCTTTTTTCTATAGTTCCTATTATATACTCACTCTGGCGGACTTCCTCTTAAATTAAACGATTTAAAAACTACTTCGACGCGCTGTCCAGGTCCTGCTAGGAAGGTGTAGAGGCATTGGCGTGAGTGATTGCGATGGTTGTGCAATAACGGGGCCGAGAAGCTGCCATTCTGTGGACCGCCGATCCGTGACACAAAGGTCTGATCACACTCTGTTTAGGAAGAGAGAGAAATGGAAAGAGAGCGGCGCCAATGGCAGCGTTTCCGGTGAGCTTAGTGATCTTATTTCCGGTTAACTTATAGGTTAGACATAGACACACACAACAATACAGAACACATACACAGAACGTGGCATCGCAACAAGAGCTGTTAACATGGCATCTCAGAGTTGGGTGTTGTGTGGAATGTCTATGTGTGTGTGTGCGGACAGAGGAAAATATCATAAAGGTTTGCCAGGAAATTTTAAGGAATTATCTTTAAATAAAACCTTATAAAAATCAGTAATAATTTATAATTTGTTTTCTTGCATTAAATTTAGCTCTTCATCAACAAATCATACACATCTGGCTCCATCTAAATGAGGAAACATTTAAGGACACTTATGACTTTATGATCTCTTCTCTGTGTGGCGGTAATCGTGGTTTTCTGGCAATGTTCTATGTCTATGTCTGTGGTGTACAACTAGAAGCGTTTTTGGTTGGTCAACTATGGCAACTTCAACTACGGGTGGACATTGAAACGTAACTGGTACAACTACGGGCCCACGCATACACCAAAAACGGCAAACACACACACGGCCCACACACACACAACACAGCACGCAACGTGACATCGAGAGCGGGGGAGTGAGACTGTGTGTGAGTGTGTGTTTGGGTGTGTATGCGAGAGGGAGAAAAAGAGACAGAGAGAGTGAGATGGCGCCACCTACTTGGCGATTTCGTGGGACGCGACGACACCTCCAAATAGGCCACCACCGGCTGCATCCAAGGCTCGCCGTCAGCGCCGTTCGACTTTAGATGAGCGCCACCTTTATACGCCAGAGGAGGAGGAGGAGGTAATGTTTATAGCCACGGGGAGAGGGAATCAAAGGTGGGGGGAAAGGTAGACAAATACACAGTGTTAATGATTTCGATTTAGCATGGAATGCGGATGCTGTTCCCTCCCCACTTGACACCCGACATGGAAATGCGCTTCCCGACTTTATGACAGCTGTCAGTCCGTCTGTCCATCTGTTTGTCTATTTGTTTGCCTGCCAGCAGCTCGCACGCTCCGCCATGTTATCTATCTATCTATCCAGCAGGGGGAGTCGGATAACCGCTGCTGATAGTGCACTTCGAAAAGGAAATTTGTGTACTCGTGGCGTATACGCAACGTTTGCTGTGGGTGTGTGTAGGGTGGCGGTGTGTATGTGCCCCAAAGCCAGCGGAAATTATTAAGCGCTTAGGGAAAGTCACCGGGAAGTAGGAGCTAGTGATATATATTGACAGGAAAAGTTATCAATCAAAATATCAGATTCAATATGATATTCAAAATAATATAAATTTGTTATTTATCACCAAGTTCTCTTAAATTTCCATTTTTATGCCGTCCTAGCAAAAGAAGAGCAATTGCCCATTTCATTAAGAAAGAAAGTTAAGGAAGAAAATCTACCTAATTCTTAGATTTGCTTAAAGCCTTGCCTTAAATTCATTTAAGCTTTTTCTTAATTGTAGAAAAAATGTCTTAGTTTTTAAGAGTGTCATAAAAGTAATTAAGCTGTTCACAAACAAATTAAATAAATCAGATTTCCTGCTTAAAATTCAAATGACATCTTCCTCGGGATATGTAAATGATTGATTCCCTCAGCTCCCTCACAAGTAACCGCCGTGAATTACACATAACTGGCTGCCGCTTTGGTTGAACATTAACCGACGCCTTGCGGGCTCCTCTTCTATTAAATTCGTTTCGAAACAGAGCACATAATAAATGAGCTGACCGAGAGATGTGTTTGATGTTCCGGCGGCGGAGGAAAGGTCGGTCTAGAGAACGCTTTGTGTTGGCTTTTGTGGGTTGCTCAGCTGCAGCTGCTGCGGTCTCTGGCAGTGAGTAGTTTTGGGGGGGCGGAAATCAAATTCACAGAATTTGGGGAAAACCCAAAAAGAGCTGGAAGGGGCTGGGCAATAAATAATGGCATGCCTCCTCACCATCGACTGGATAAACGGTTTGCTGTCTATTGATTTTGTGATGTTGCCACCAAAATTCCATGTCAACACTGTGTCGACTAAAGCCCCAACTAAGCCGTTTACATAATTTCCACTTAATTATTCACGCAACCAAATAGAATCCCTTTAGGCAAGCGATCAGGGCGATTATCCCTCCCCCCTGCCGTTTGGCGGTATTTTAAATTAATTTTCGACAAAAACCCACGCACACGGCGACATTTTATCTGAAATGCAGTTTACTAAACAGCAAATAAATGGCGCACGAGCACAAAGTTTGCTCATTAAAATGAGAGCGGATTTGTGTGGAACACACCCGCCCACACACACACACACACACACTCGAACTTGAGCGCACACAACACAGCTCACGTTGCGTGCATCAACACAAAGAGATATAGTATAAAAAAAGGGAGAACAAAGCCATGTAACCCGACTATGAAATACTCGGTATTCAGGTTTTAGGAAAGCTGATCAAGGTGTTAGTAGATATAGGAGAAAATAAGGATATATAGACACGTAAATATTCTTTAAAACGAATAAAGGTAATCCCCCTTTAAAGTACATTTTATACTAAAAGTTTTATAAACACAAGCAAATGAATTATTTATTTTTATATCAAGAAGCAAATCTCCTAATGAACTTCAGGAAAATCTATATTATAAAGCCTGAAATGCTTCACAAATTCTCTGTTGTACGATAATACCCTTGTAACCTACTCGTATTGGGTGTAAAAACGCTTCAGGGGCGTGGCCGTGAAGGTGGGCGTAACAATGTCAACCGCAGCACAAAAATGCTGGCAAACGGATGCTGCCGCCCAACTCCCCTTACACCTGCACCACACCAGCACCCCTCTGCTGTGCCACCGCAATGACAATGCGCTGTAAAGTGTCAATAAATTTTATGCAGACGCCATTTGCATTGCCATAAATATTTTTGTTCCGCGAGCAGTGCGCTTTGCCGTTGCGTTTTGCTCTGGCATTTGTTTCCCTGCCAACCACCCACTCGCACTCTGTCTGTCATTATGTTAATTTACACCTTTTGTTGGCCGCACCTCGGTTTCAATGCCAAAGCAAGCAGCCTGCTCGAACAATACAGATTTTAATTGCGAACCGTAAAAACTAACTGAAGCAATGAAAAGCTGCTAAATGGCAGCCATTCCGCTGTGCAAACAAGTTGTCTGCTAAATATATTTACCGTTCTGTGAATAGGTGTAATTGCCAAGGCAGCCAACAGCCGCATCCTTGGGTTTCTTGAGCTCAAATGACGCCCGAAGGATGCGTATCACTAAATGCTCCCCGACCGAAACTGAAACCGAGACGCATAATGATGTCGATGACGGAACTTGTTCCCCAGGAGGCACGTAATACCACTAATAACCACAGTTCCCACACTTTCACTCACACACAGGACTAAGTCCTGCCAGGCGACAATCAAGCGAAGGGGAATTTCTCATGGATTGTGTGGAATTTAATAATCCATAAACAGAATTTCACACATGTGAGATATTTAGACACTGTCACAAAAAGGGTTAATTCTAGGACTTAGTTGGGGAATTATAGTTTTAGTAAGTTTTCAGGATCTTTAAAAATCCTTAAAATTTGTATTATAATTTTACAATTTAATTTCATAATTAAACTATTGCCTCTTGAGATTTTCCTCACAGTGCAGCTTAGCCCAGTTTATCTTTCAATATCTTTCTATATGAAGCTGCACATTTTCACTTACTCGTAAACTCTTGCAAAATAAATAAACTTTAAGTCCTTGAGATTAACTTTGCCGAGTGAGTTTAGCAAAAGTTTTCGGTTATGAGAAAACTATAATAGTAACTAGAGTCATGTGTTGAAGCTTTCAAATCAAATCTTTCTTTATTTTGGTGATTCCATTGCGACACTTTTGTCGCCCTTTCGCTCATATAATCTTTAGTGGCTCTGTCTGTCTGCGGCCCTGATCCTGCTCTTGCTCCTTCTCCTGCTGCCCCCCGCTGCTGTTTGCCTGGGTTTCCTGCTCGAGTACACACACTTCTTGAAAATTTAATGGCTGCCACTGCTGTTGGCACTTACATTGCCTCCCGCTCAGCCTGCCTCAAGACACCTTCTCGTCCAAACCAGACTCGAACCCAGCACAACCACAGGCCCCTTTGCCAGTTACACTCCCCGTCGCGGAATCCCCTCTGACACCTTTTGTGGATGGGCTCATGCTACAGACAATTTGCGTTAAATTTACAAGTAACACCGTTTCCCGAATGCCAGGCCAAAACCAGAGACGGCGAAGCACCTTATGTTGTTTTATTGGTGCCTGGCATGCCGCTCTGATATAGCCAGGAAAAGCAGAGGCTACACTGGGAGAATATTTATTTAAAAAATATATTAAATTAGCTGGGATAATGAATCATAACCTTATGATTTCAGTTGTAAAAGTTAAATTCTTGATTCTTTAAAGGTTAAACTTTTTTAACAGGAGATTGAAAAAACCCATAACAAACTGAAAGCTCTTATATTTTCTTCAGTGTTTTATATCTGCCTGTCAGGCTGCCATAACCACAGCTCCAGATGGGCCAATGGCAATGGCAATACCAGCTCAGCAGCAGCGGCGACAACAACAACGGCGGCGTAACCGTAACAGCAATTAAAGTGGATTTTCATGAAAATGAGTTTTCCTAATAGTTTATTCTGGCCCGAAAAATAAAATCATGGCGATAAAATGCGTTGATTAAGACGAAGACGAGGAAGAAGAAGGCAGGTGAGAGAGCGACTAGCAAGGACTAGGCAGGTGATGAGTCTCTATGGCCATGGATAAGCATCTCAGACACAGCTGCCACGTCAGAAGGTGTTCTGGCTTGGATTTGGGTTACGGGTTACGATTACGGGCTTCGGGGGTAGGTGGGCATAATAATTATGCATATTATGTTGCAGGATCTTAAGTGCATATTTGTGTAGGCCATCAGGTAAATTGATCCTAATTTATTGGCAATTAGCACGGCGATTAAATTCAAGTGCTTATCTTATGGTTCATTAATAGCTCCCGCCTGCCTGCCTGACTGGTGTGCCCTAATGGGTTAAATTTATAATTAATATCACGCATACGCCACAGGGGTCACCGAGTGAGAGAGAGAGAGAGAGAGACACTCTGTGGGCTAAAAGTTAGTACAACTTTTTGTGGGCCCAAAAGCCAAAAAGCTTCCAACTTTATATATTGCATTTGAAATCTCTTTTGGCCCCCCAAACTGCTCTTCTGCATTTATTTATGCTTTTTACTTAGCTCGCTAACTGCAATTGAGGCGCCGCTTCAACTCGGAACTTTTTCAACTTTTATCGATAAGTGGCAAATAAGAAATAAATTGGCTGTGGCAGCAGCTACTCACGCTTTTGATTGACTCTTGGGAACGTACCTGCAACGAAACAGAGAAAAGCAGAGAGTCAATATGAATTAAATGTATTTCCTTTCGAAGACGCCTCCATTGACAGAGGGGGTTAATAGTGGTGGCTTGCAATTAAATGGTGGCCTGGCAGGAAAATGCAGGAAAATTGACATAATGGAAATGCAGGCGCCGCGGCGACAGTCAAAGAGATCGAGGGGTGCGGATAAGAACACCGACAGCCACTCGAGCATCCTTCAGTGTCCTGGCCTGCACTGGCGATTCCAAAGATACAATGCAATATCATTAACAGGCTCGGTCCCTCAGAGGTGGCCGTGGCATGGAAAAGAAAGGAACGAGAAAACGGAAAGGCGGCAAAAAGGGACCAAAGGACTCGGTAAGCGTCATATTATGCTGTCTGGTCGGGTTTCTGCTGAAGCACCTTGTGTTGCATGCCTGCTAATCAATCATGACAGGGCAAAGGATTACACTAGGAGAAAAATTCTATAGGGAAATGAGAAAAGAAGTCATTCTAAGTTGTGTTTTAGCTTCCTGGCTCTTCATATATTTTTTAAAATATATCGTCTTTTGGAATCTTTTCCATTTGATTTAAAATCTATAAAAAAGTTCTAGCTTCTAGACGTATTTATAAATATTTTTTAATAGCTTTTAAATTGTTTTTCCCTAGAAATTCATAACTCTGAAATGATTCACAGAAAAGTATTTTATTTTTCCCGATGTTCCACTGATTTGATTATATTTTTTCTCAGCCTAGTGAGTTCCCAGCGAATGCTCTTCCAGCAGCTGCCTTCAATGGGCAATTATTGATTGATGTCAAGTGCACATCGCTGGCAAGGATGCGGAGGACGTGGGAATTGCACTCGGTGTTGCCGCTGAAGTGGCCTGCACTGGGCTTGGTTGTAACCCTGATCTAGTGCCCCTTTTCTGCAGCATCTGCTGTCAATGTTAAGATTTTAGACATTGAAATTATTCCCTTTTGCGGGGTCACGATGCTTAAAGTTTTAATTTGTTGTTCGTTGCAGCACTTCACAGGCTTCAGTGGCTGTTGTTTTTTTTCTTTTCAGCAAGTTTTTCTAGGACTTCTGTTCAACAAAAGTATATAAATACATTTTACAGTAAATTTTCATAATTGCAAGTCAATGTTTTTCGGCCCCAAAAAGTATGCTAGATAAAATGATTTCCCCCAGATTTCCACGCAAAACGTGTTCCGCATATTTAAGGGCAGCCGAAACCAAACAAATTTATTTAAATGAGTCAGGAAAATTAAGTGGAAATGCGTGTGCCCCTGTGTATATGACAGGGGGGGAAATGAGCAAAATACGCAAGATGTAGATAAGTCGAAGCGGGGCAAATTTTAATGCCTCTCCAGCAGAGCGACCTTAGACAAATAAAACTATAAATATAGACGGAGCCGGGGAGCGGGAGAGCAGAATGTATTTACATAAGTGCCTTGTGACTGGCGCACGTGTTTGGTATTTCCCTTAGTTTTATGTCAGACAATGTCATTCCCCCCCGCGCACACATGCTGATAATTCAATAAACCAAACAAGATTCTGGCCAAGATTTATGGGTATGCTGAACCCGCACACACACACACTAGTGGCAGCGGCTTGTGTGCGACTTTCGGGAGTTGAAACTGCTCGAGGCTGGTTTATAAATCTTCATTTCAACCCCTAGATCTTAGTCGCTTATTAAAATGCCATTTCGGGGCGGGGGAACTGGCTGGCTGACTGGCGCGGCTGTGTTCATAAATTGCCAACACTTATGCTCAATAAATGGCCATAAATCTGGGTCCGACTTGTTGGCGGCATTAAAATGCGTAACGACACGGCGCAAGAACACAAAACCCAGAAGAAAACAAACCAAAAAACAGGAACATCAGGAACAGGAGCTACAAATGAAAAATATGCCCAATGTGCCGTTTGTTTTGTCGAATCATTTTCCACCAAAGTAGAATGTAATTTGGTTTTAAAAACACCAACATTTGTTACATCCTGCGCTCGGTACTCTCCTGTTCCTGTGCTCTTAACGTGGCCACATTAAATTGATGGCCCAGACAGCCTGAGGACTGGCCCTAAATTGATTAATTGACAGTTGACTCAGCGTCATTTTCCACGACTTGTGCGAGCGTCATGGCCCGAAAATAGGGCCAACCAATTGGTTTGTGCCACATTTCACAAAACTGCATTAAACTTCGAGTCATTAGGCAGCAGTTTATGGCACCCTCTTCCTCTCAATGCCCTTTTCCGTTTCCCTCCTAATATATAGCTGACAATTGCCAACATTGGCTGGACATCTTCTATCTGCGCTTTACACATCGCTGACTGCAATTCTTGTTACTATCGCGCTGCCATTGTGGAGGAGCGTTCATCATCATGCAAATGTCGGGGAAAATAAAAAACCTAGTTTTACTTATGCGCAATCATCGAGGGGAGAAGAGCAGAGGAGAAAGGGTATGGAGAAAGGGAGAAGAGACACGGAGAAAGACACAAACTTGCATAGAAGATTGGGTGGGGGAAAAAATGACATTTTTATATTGCCATTTTCATTTTTTCAATCATTACTTTGCTTGGGGAATTTTCTAGTCCCTGATAAATGAGAGGAATGAGTAAATCGGTTGGCAATATAAGGGAAATGTTGCAGTCTTAAAGATGAATTATGTTTAATAATAAAAAGAAACATTTAGGGATGTAAAGAGATTTATATTTTGAACGTAGATATTCATATAAAAATGGCTTGCAACTGATTTTAACACCTATTGATTTCTTTAATCTTATTTTTTATATATAATTTCTATATTTCATCTCTTAAGGTCATAAATTAACCTTAATATTTGTGTACTTTTTCCCTACATGTTAACCTCTGTAAGCAACTGACTCTTCCAATAGCTTTCTGCCTTTTTTTTGCCCCATTTTTGTGTGTGTTTAGTTTGCTTTTCGATTTGGACTTTCTAATTGAGCAATTTCCTTCAGATAATTGCTTTTGCGCACTGTCGGATCTGGATTTGGATTTGGATTCACATTCCGATTCAGATTCACTTCCGCGCCCACCAATCTGGCCACCAATTCCTGACAATCCTGCCCTGGAATTGGACAATTAATGTCTATCTGGCAGCAATTCATAAACAAACAAATTGAAATTGGAAGAAGCGGGCCATTTGCATAATGCTGACTAAGTGAGATAGGGAAAGTGAGGTGAACCAGGTGAGCACTCGAGCGGATGCAGCTAACACACACAAGAAACACACTGTTATGCAGAGAGAAAAATTATGGATTAATTATTAGATGAAGAGAGAAAATTCTAGACTCTCTCTGAAAATAAAATCTTTAGTTTAGGTTTAGTTTAAAATGTAAGTTTAATTTCTACACAGCTTTAATATATTTTTATATATTTTTTCCTTTGAATAGGTTTTCTTTTCTCAGTGCAATGAAACTGTTGATATGCAAACGCAGTCATAAAACGTGACATTTGCTGTCAGCTTCAATTTGGCCAAGGCATTGAATGCCCATAAAGTGTGTGTATGTGTGGGTGAGTGTGCTGCCTTTCTCTGGCAAGGCAAAAAGGTAGCAAAATTTCAAAATGAAATGTAATTTGCATATGGGTGAAGGCGGCAGGCAGGTGAGGTCTGTGATGGAGAGGGCGTGTTCAAGCTGCTCGGGGGCAGCTTTTTATGCACACTCAGACACACTGACGCTTGTTGGCTTTCAATGCCCCGAATCAAGTGAGTAAGGGCACAGGTAAGAGCTGAAGCTAAGAGGTAGAGGTAGAGCCTTGGTCTAATCTGCATAATAATAAACCGCACAAACACAAACATGGAGACCACGCAAAAACATATACACACAAACGCATAAATTGCCACCCTCAAGATGGGGCACCCATTTTGCCATATTTAATACAGTGTAAATTGAATTTCCATCACTTTATGATTACTTGATGCGGACTGAGATGGAAATATTCATCAAGCTGACTTTTGTCCGGAGACTGAATTTATTTTTGGGGCCAAGGTTTACCGGAGAAACTAGGCACTATATACTGGGCATATCCATTTTAATCAAATTGACAGGCACCAATAAAAATTTATTACCCACTCTCGCACTCTGGCAGGAGCAGGTGCCGAGAGTTGTGGCTGCTTTAAGCCTCGAGAGGAGGTCCTTGTGTATTTAAATTGAATTTGATTGCCATTTCTTTTTTCCCCCCAATGGAAACTGCAGCTTTCCCGGAAGTACTTTAATGTATATATGCTTACCTCTTGGTCTGTGCTCCCACAATGGCCATTGTTGTTGATGTTTATATTAAATTAATTTATTAATTTATGCAGCGCATGGTTGATCATTTGTTGCACATTGTGTTTGCTGATTTTGGCATTTGCATTGATTAAAATTGAATTGAATGGGCGCGGGTTTTATATATTTTTATCGTTTTATACAGCGCACGTACGTTTTGCTTTGAATTAAATCGGGGTCTGGGCTTATTAAATTACATTCAATGGTTTATTCAGATTTCATAATTTTGTAATGGGGATTAAATTGTTGTAGGTTTTGTTCAGTATTTCGACAGTTGTCTAGTTCTAGTTACACGCACACGTAAAACTTATCCAAAAGTTGTTTGATATATAAAATGCATATCTCCGCTATATAATTCATATCTCCTATATATGTTGTAGGTATATATATATATTTATATTTATATCTATGCTCCAGGACATTGCTTCCTTGCTGCTCTGCTGTGCAATTAACAAGTGCAATTGCTGGCATCCTTCCCACTTGATATGATCTTAGGGTAAATATATTTAAACAATTGAGCTCTCCGGTTGCATTCCCTATTGTCCTGCTCCTTCCGCTGATCTTGCTTCCGATCCTCTTCCTGATCCTTGGCACTCTTTAGCTTTTTGACCTCGCTGGACATTTAATGTATACTTATTCCACTTATTCTTGTGGTATATATATATATGGATGTATATACGTTGTATTCAACATCAATAAAACATCAATAAAAATCGGTTTGTTAACAACACTTTTATAAAAAAGAACGCAACGTTACGACGGTTGGGTTACACATATATATCTCTCTAGATATCTTTATATATATATATCTTGTATTTATATACATTTATTTTATATATATTGACAACACCTAACACACACACAGAAATGCGCTACATGACGATGTATGTATGTGTTGTTGTTATCGGGAGGCGGAATGTTCCGAAATTATGTGCTCTTGGGTTGATTTCTCGATTGGTTTTTGCTTCACAAATTCTAAAAATTTCACATCACAGCCAATGGATACTGACGATGGGACGCATTTTCTCCGCTCCTCCTGCTCCTCCTCTCCTCCTCCTCCTGCGTGCTGCTGGGTTTCCTGGGCTAATTTTCTCTGGGGCGAAATATGTTGATGATGTCGTCGATGATGATAAGGTGGCGCTGATTTTTGCTGGCGGCCCCGGCAAACTAACAGTTGGGGGGCCTCTGTTATCCATCTGGGAAGTTGCCAGGTCCCAGCTGGAGCATGTCTCACTTGGGCTCCTCGATCGTCTGGCCCACGACTATGATGATCACAATGAAGACGGCCAGCAGGACGAGGATGCAGCAAATGGCCACGGCCACCATGGCGCTGTTACTCATGCGGGCTCTGTTGTTGTTTTTCCCTTCCCTTAGGAGCTCACTTCAATCGGCTTCTATCTGTCAAGGGGGAGTGAAGAGAGTGGATATTTGCATATTTCGAGGGCCTGTGATTGAGTTGGTCTCACGGTGCACAGTTGAGATTATCGGGACATCCACTGGGCCATCACTTGTCATAACCAACGCCAACCAACACCCCGTCTGGCACTGACAAATGGAGAGCCTCCTGCCCCGCCTCTTGCCCTGATACCACACCACCATTGGAAACAAATTGCCTGCCATAAATTGCGAGGACTGCCTATCAGTCGCTCGACTGTGCATGAAATGCCCCGACAGCCTGTGGACAGCCCAAAACTTGTCGCCCACAGTCCGTATGTGTGTGAAATGCGACCCTCCGACGGTGCGTATGAGTGATATTCGTCCCCCTTTTCGTCTCGACACATATACACTTCATCGGCCGTGTCCCTCCCTCGAGTGGGAATTTTCCAAAAAATCACAACCAATAAGGTCGGGAGAGGATGGGAAGAGTCCTTTTGTCTGCCACTGACACATGATTAATGCTGTCCGGGGCCCAGAGTGGGACCGGAGCCTTGCACTTCCTGCCAGTCAGCTGAATGCAGCTTCAAGGGCCCTTTATCCTGCTGCCTAATAGCTGCCCATTCGACCTGAGCAGCTTATCTCTGCGGCAGAGTGCATTATGAGTCCTGACATGGCAGGACGACACGTTCACTTAATTATCGGAGGAGGTTCGGTACCGTCCAGCACGGGGGCGAAAATTCAATTACTTTGAAACAAAACTTGACAAGCCATCGTCCATTCGATTCAATGAAAAATGAAAATAAAACATGAAAATAATAACGAAGCAATTGAGTCTAAGGTTGGGTGGTGCTAGGTGAAGTTTAGATACTCTTTTTTAAGAAAGAAAACTTTGATTAAGAAGTATTTGAAGGATTTTAAATTATTTTAAAAGAAATTAGATAGTGTTTCTTATGCGAAATGATTTTTCTGGCTTTAAATTTTGAGATTCCAAAGTCTACTTAAGCCTAAATACCCCATCTCCTTGGCAGAGTATAAACAAATCAAATAAATGTTGCTTTTTTCGCAACTGAAAATGGCTGTTGGCCCATTGAAACGTCTCTGACATGGCTGGCCAAAACAGGAACCAACCAGCTACAGCTGACTTTTGATAAGTTTTTTGCAATGCCAAATGGAAGGTGAACGGAATTGAAATATAAAAACTAATGCAGACCCAGTTCTCGCATAAATGGCCACAGCTGTGCTGTGCTGTCAGTCGCTATCAATGGCGCCACCAATTCCATTCAGTGCGACACCAAAAGGGAAAAAAAAATATATACAACAAAATTCAGAGAGCTTAAGAAGGAGCGGCTTTAAACCACTACCCAGCACTTAAGCTTTAATCACTCGACGACTCTTGCGGTTCGTGCGATGTCTATTAGCCTCCTTTTAATTATGCCATTCACGCAAAATAATTTAGCTTTCGTCTGTGCCTAAACTAAGTTGAGTGGATTCCCTGTTTTCAAAAAGGCTTGGTTATTTAAATATTTATTTTTATTTATTTGGGTTCATTTGTCTGCGACACCGAGAGCCCCGCCGTTTTACGAAAAAATGTTATAAATACGGACAGGCTCTAACTGGCTTTTAGGCCTTTATTACGCCTCATTTTCGTGACTCAATTGTTCTTTGTTACTCTGTCCCTCTGAATTGGTCAATTAATATTAATGAAATGCTCTGCCCTCTGGAAAATATTTTACCTGTGCATAAATTTTGCTTCTCCCGCACATATATACAATGTACATATACTTTTTCCCCGAAAAAGAACAGTACACAAAACTGAAAAATTCCCCCGTCAGACGAATTAAGTTGTAATAAGTCAATTTATCAGTTTATTTCTGGCTTACACATGTAAGCCGCGGGCGCATCAATCAAATTATGTTTGCCAAGCGGCAGGCGTAAAATTAAATGAAATGCAGCCCTTGTTCGGTCCAACGTGGCGTATGCGCAACGTGGCCCAGTGTTTTATGGCAGGGCGATAAAAAGCCAAAGCGCCTGAAATGATATTTTATATTTGTTTATTGTCTTGAAGACAGTCGAGAGGGCGACGACGGTGGGGAGTCACTTGAAAAGATTTACAACACATTGCACTGACACATATTGTTGTCTGTTTTGCTGTGTGTTCTGTTCCTTCCGTCCGTTAGTCAGTCTTTGTCTATGAGGCTTAATTAAATTAGCGCCAGAAGGCGACGAGGCGAGCCACAAACGCAGATAAACAGAAAAGCCAAGATGACAGGATCCAAGACAAAAGGCGGACAAAGGAAGCGCCAAGGAAAGGCGCTGTCACACAATGAGTGTGTGTGTTTTGTGAAATAAAATAAATTTTTGCAATTTCGTAAGTTTTATGCGCACATTTGCAAAATTTGTTTATGCCTTTGCCGAAAAGTGGGTTGTGTGTGGGTGTGGGTGTGAGAGGCCATAGAACAAATGGGCCATGACGTGGCCAAGGGAGTGGGTTGGGAGTCAGCCCACCCCCTCGCAGTGCGTAGGCATTGCTTCGTTGCCAGTGACGTTGGCAAAAAAAAAAACATTTTTTGCGTGCTCTCTCGGCACTCAAATTCAATTTGTTTCGTTGAAGGGTTAACTTGGCTTAACCCCGCGAACAAAGCGAGAAAAATTACAGAAAATTGGGGGAAAAAACGTTTATGATATTACATATAAAATTAAAGACCAGCCCCCAGAAATCCTTTGTCAAGTTCAACTGCACGTTGCATGACCTTGGCTCGGATGCGACTCAAGGAGTCCTCTCCGCCAAGAGCCGTGTATTCGTGAGTTTTGTGTGTGTGTTTGGCTGAGACAATAGCCGCATAAATGCTTGAACAGGGCTTAAAGCCCGTTGTTGGCCCGTCTTGGCACGTCAAAAGTCAAAAGTGCATTAAAATAATTGCACTTGTTTAGGCGGCCCTTGGCAACTGCCAGCGAGCAGTTCTAATTTATAAGCGCGCAATAATCCACGGTCAGGTGAACCTCAATGGCCTTGGGTTGATCTCTAGTGTTTAATATATGAAGTAAAGCATTGTAAAATATAGAAAATATAGCTAAAAATAAATTAAATCTTTTATAAGATTTCAGAAGGAAGTATTCAAGTAGCTTACGTTTATTAAACTCTTTCATTTTATCTATATAATATTAAGCTTGCTTTTTTTATATTATCAAACTCTTTCTCTCTAAAATTCCTCCCTACACTACTCCCCCTTAATTGAATTTCTTTCGGTGTAGTATGTGCCAGCCTCACATTTCCGCCTTCAACTGCACTTAAACTTGATTTCTGTGTATCTTTTGTCTTAGTTCCTTGGCCAAGCGTCGTCTGGGCCGCCTCATTGTACCCCCCACATGAATGGCAGATTTATACTCGCATGGTGGCGTGTGTGCCGAGGGTGTGGGTGTAACCTCGACATAGTAGCTGGTAGTAGCTGGGATGGCCTTCTCCTGGCCCGCTTCCTGACCCAGCTTGTTGCATGTTTCAAGCTGCCTTTTATAGGAGGGGGCGGGTTTGGAGATTTTTAAAGCTTACACACAAAGATGCTGCTCTCGTTTGTCCTTTTTCTGAACATTCACGTATCACAAAGAGAGATATTTTAATATGCTAAGGAACGTGCGACAAAGATTAATGAAATTCCCGGCTTAAAGAGCCATCTCCTCGGAGTAAGTAAGTGAATTCATGTTGGCCAAGATGCGGAAACAGTGCGAATTTTTAGGCAGTAGAAAGCCAAATGAAATTTCCCGGAAATATTGTAAATTCAAATTGGGTAATCAGCCATTATGCCAAAGTAATGGCTGTTCTCTGTTTGCCATTTCCATTATAAATTAGGAATTCGCTGAATGCTGAACGCTGACTCGGGCTATTTGAATTGGCTTCCTGTTGCGGGTTTATTTTGTGCCAGGCAGCCTCTGTTTATTTATAATTCGATTGGGAATGTGTTTGGCCAAGAAGAAGTTCATTTCGATGGCGCCACCTCATCGCATTTTATGACTATTTGCGGTTTGTTTATCAACCAATCTCTCCCCCCTCTGTGCCTTTCTCTGTTTAGCTTAATTACCGAGGTATTTCATTCATATTTAATGTGTCGGAAAGTTTTGCTTGCCCACACAGAAACAACAGAGAACTCAAAGCAAATCCCATCGAATCGAATCAAAACGAATTGAATCGTTCTTTGAGTGCTCGGTTAATGATTTTTATTGAAATCGGCATAGTTTTCGCTTGGCTTGGCCATAAATACCTAATGCCAGGGGGAGCGAAACTTTTACTGAGCTATTTACTGTGTCCAGATTGATCAAAAGATTGATGGACCAGGCTGCAGCTAAGTGACTTCAACTTGCTGAACTTAAGTAAACCATAATTGATGGGCTTTGGTAAAAATCTAGGGCTAACTCAAAGGTCACCTCATAATGTATAGATTGAACAATAAATTAATACCATTTATTACCTTTAAATTGCTGTAAAATTAAATTTTTTTAGCCTGGCAAAAGACGGTCCTTTTTTAAGCAGCAAACTCATTAGCATCGTTCGCCAACTAAATACAAATTAAAGAAACAGCATCCACAGCTGGCAAAAGTCCGTTGCTTTCCCCCATTTTCCTCATTTCCCCCGTTATATTTCCCCCCTGCTTGGGTTGGCTGGTAAAAAGTTTTCACTTGGCAGCCGTCAAGTTGATGTAATGAAAAAGTTGCAGCCTTTTCCTAACAATATTTCCCATCCCGTATCACATGACGTGGACGCTGCTGCTGCTGCTGCGGAAAAGCCTTCAAAACAACCGGCACTCTCTGCAAAGGGCGCTAATTAGTTTCGAGTCGGGGATTAAATACAAAAAATATTTAGAGAAAAAAAATGAAATGGGAAAGCACACATTGCTCATACGCAACGTTGGCCCGCGTCCATGGGGTATTATTATAATAGCTAAAACGGAAACAGAGGAGCAAAAAATTGGAATACTTTTGCAAATGCTACCACCAGCACGAATGGCCAACAAACGAAAAATAAATAAACACTTTCTGCGGAAACTGAACGACCACGCCCACGCAGTCCTCCTCCACGGGCTCAGCCGGCGGGAAGCCGAACGAACAATGGGGCAAAGGCCAACCATGTGAGCTAAGGGTTAGCTGTAGGAGCCTGGCACGGGCTCATTATAAAAAATAGCCAAAGTGAAAACCCCATTTTCAATTCGGAGGCGGGTCAAAGGAGAGAGAGAGCCAACCGACCTCGATGTCCCGAAATTCACTTTGAGGCCCCAAAAGAAATTTTAATGATGCATATAAAAACCCAGCGACGGCAAATGAATAAATAATTTATGCGTGAGGGTCCTAAACACTCGAGTGAGTGGCTGGCTACCGACATTATTTGCGACTTTACTCGCCAGCAGCTCTCCTCAGCTTTTTAACACACTTTCCACACGTAGCAAATTTTATCTCTCTATTACCTGGCAGCAGCAGCAGCAGCAGTGGGAGTAGCTTGATTTAGTGGCAATGTCTGGGCTGGGATACCAACGAAAAAAAAAGGGTTGGGTTTTCCCCTGTTTACTTATCACCTGGCCAGGTTGCCCAGGCAGAAAGTAAAGAACGTCGGCTGCTGCTGCCCCACTGTTTGCGCATTTGGCAGGTTTCAATCCCACAACGATTGCCGAACTGCATGCAAATTGCAAGGATAAATCCTGTAGTTACAGGACTTCTAAGCTTCTTTGGACCGGCAAAGAAAGTTTGTTTCTTTCTTTTAGAGCTAAGCTTTCTTTACAAGCTGAGAAAAGGCTGGGAAAATATATATCTATCAACTTGTAAATGGTGTCTTGGACTGTTTTTTCTTTAAGATTTTTATTTGCTAGTTAAAAGCTATGATTATATTCTTTAAAAATATCTTACATTTCGTATTTCTTTCTGTGCATCTCTTTATGACATGAACAAAAGGGTTTAGCCTTTGTCAAAGTTGTCACTTGTCAGCGGCAGACGCTACTGGGTTGAAGAAATTGGAAAGTTCTTTCAGACATTGACTCCAATTAAGCAGTTGGAGGTAACAGCTGAGAGCAGCCATCTCGGCCAGTTGTCATAACTGGTTGTGGACACATTTCCATCTATTTTTCTACCTTTTCTTTAGCAGGATTTTATTGTTGCAACAATAAGAGAGAGAGCAGAAGGAAAGCCACCTTGTAAATCCCTCAACAATTGCCTCTGCCTTTCGTTGTTATGTTATCATATGTCCTGTGTAAGGACGCTCCAAGGAAAGCACTCTCAGGGTTAACGATTAGAAATATATAGTGGCTGTATGTATGTGAACTAATAACGCAATTGTGTATGGTTTCAATGGGGAGAGAGACAGGGAGAGGTTTCCCGAATATGCATTCATCTGCTACATATGCATTGAAGACAAACAATGGGGATTGGGTTTGAATGGAAATGGGTTCTGTGTAATTTTATGGATATTTCTAGACTTGATAAATATGAATTGATAACTTACTAAGGAATCCAAAGAAGGTTACAATTATTTTTTTTACAAAATATTTCAGATTAAGATTTAAAAACCTATTTTAACCCAAGTCTCTTAGAAAGTGATTAACCCCAAGTGAGTGATGTGATCCCTCCCTCTTCAATTTCGATCTTGTGCCCCCTCCGAAAAAGACTCCTCCTTATCTTATAAAAGCCCCAATATCTCAATTGTGCACCACGACGACCATGGCAATTTCAAAAGAATATGTAAATCAGGCATAAGTTCCATTTGAATATTTACGTCTCGCTGCCGCGGAGGGCTGCTGCCTTCTCAATTGATTTGTAATTCACTTTTGTGTTGTACAATTTCCAGTTAAGCTCTCCTTTTCGGCTCGCTGGCTCTTATTGCCCGGATTGGGGTTCGCTTTTTGACACCGAAACGGAATGGTTAAGCAAACAAAAATATGCAAAATAGAAGCGATAAAGCGGAAGCACACAAAGGGTCCGTCCGTCCGACCGACCGACTTTTCGTTCGCGTTTTGGGGAAAAAGTGCGCGCGTTGCTGGGAAAACGGTTTTCGTGGAGCCTGTGTCACACGTTGCGATTAAAAGGACGCGATTCCTTGAAATCAAGCTGCTTTGGAAGCTGAATCTGAAGCGTTGGGTTGGCGGCTTTGGCTGAAAAGCAGACTGCGTGTATGCGGCACGGCCGACAGAAATCGACTGAACACATTCGGCAGCTGCCACGGCTTTTAAGGCAAAAAGATTCAAAGAGAAAGCGAGAGACTGCGATAAAGGCCAGAAAAGCGGGAAATGGGAAATGCGAGTGCCGAGAGAACGATGGGTGCTCTCGGCGATGACATCAAGCGAAAGCTTTTGCTACACGAAGAGGAAATTATGACTGAATAATGGCCAAAGTATAAGAAACTTAAGGCTTAATCTTTATGAATATATAAATATTATAGGACTTTTTTAAAGATTAAACTGAATTGTAAATATTTTTATGTAAACTTTAAAATATTTTATTAAAATAATGGTCCTGAATATGTTAAAAACTAAACCTTTGAAGTTAAGAATTAAGGACTTTATATTTTAATGTGGAACACTTGTCATAAAACGTATTTAGATATATATTCTTTTAATGGTTTTGTTAATCATTTCCAAGAAATCATTTTATTACAATTTTTTGCAGTGCATCCTTTGACAGCATTTGAATCTGAAGGCGGTTAGCCCACCGCCAATACTGTACAGCTGAAATAAATCAAATTGAATTTATGATTTCGTTTTTGTGCACTTCTTATTTTTCTTGGATTTGGTCCGGAACCTCATGCTCCTCCTTCCCCTCCAACGATTCCTTTTGGATTGGCGGCTCCTTAGAGTTGTTTGCCCCGGGATTTCATTTCATTTCAGTCGCTCAATGAGCCGTCGATTCTGTTTGTTCGAGTGGCCGCCAAGGCAGGCGATGCCGTCTTAATCGCCGCCCAAAAGCCGCCACTTGAGACACCACCTGGCAGGTGGCAGTTGGCAGTTGGCAGTTGCCAGAGTTCAGAGAGGTGGCCGAAAGCTGACAGGTAAAGAGTCCTGTTTGACTTTGGCTTCCGCTCATTATGCCGGCTCCTTTGTGTGGATAATTGCTAGGCGAGGCTTTTGCTAATTTAAATTTGGCATAGAAAACTTGGGCGAGCTCAATTTTCGATTTCATTTAATTTTGGCGAAAATCTCATTACGCCGAGAAGGAGACAAGATAAATGGGTGTGTGTTCGATCTGCAGATACTTTGACCTGTGCCCGAGGCACTGTCTAAGTCTTGACTTTCCCGCTTTTCATCGTATCCCGTTGTTCCCCCATTATTCGAGGTCCGGCCTGCCAAGTCAGCGATTTATTTGGCCTAAACAAAGGGGCCAAGGCAGGATAACCCAGCAGACATTTCATGTCTCAGTGATAACAGCCAAAGAGAGAGGAAAAATGATAACATGGAAAAGCCTAAGCGCAAGCGCGAGCTTTCCTCCGAAAGAGAAAGAGAGTAAAATCAGAAGTTCTCATTTTCCGAGCGAACTGATAAGAAAGCCTGCATCTGCGGCTTCAATTGTCTTTAATCGCTGCTCAAATGTCGATGATGATGGCAGGTCCTGGCTGTCTTAGTGTCCTGGGTGTCCTGGGGTTTGGGGCTGGCAAAAGCTGAGGGGGACCTTTAACGAATTGTCATTGATTTCTTTTGAAATGGTGCCGCTTTTGTTTGCCTTCGCTTCTGCCACATTAGGCAGCTGAGCAGGGGCATCCCCGCCCTCCTGCCTCTAATGCAACTCCTGCTATCAGGCACTGATCACAAATTGAATTTGCTCCGGCGACAGCTCCAGCTTGTCTTAAATAATTATGTTCGCGTTTAATTAATAAGTTTGCAGCATTAACAAAGGCCACGAGAAGGGTCTGCCAGCATATTGTTTTGGCTGGCAAGCAATTAAGGACCCCAGCATATTGTCTTCTAGGCTCCAACCTCGCTTGACCCCTCTCGAACTTTGTAATAATTTTTGCCTCGTAAAAAATGAGCAGCAAGGATGCAAAAAAATAAACGAAAAAACTGTCACACAAAGAGTTTGGAAAAAAAAGGGAAAATGGAGAGAAAAACTGGAATCAAAGGGACGCAGAGCGGGGATTGTTTCCTTCCTGTCAAGGGACGCACACTTTGTCGGTCATTAAATTTTTTCGTCATTGCCTTTGGCAGTCAATACATATTTGGCCCGCGTACATAAATAATGAGCTCAGTTGTTGTTTGGCCAGATTTGCAAATGTTCTTCGACAGTTTCAATTATTTATTTACCAACCCGAGCGACTACAGTGGGCCCCGTGAATGAGGTCCTTAAAGCAGCACAAGGCACAATCACGAGGCTAGAGCTGCCACTCGAGGCTGGCAATTAGAGCCAGGAGAAAATTGCTGACAGGATATACAGTTCTCAGGGTGCTATGAGAGATGGCAAAAAAAAACTTTCAACAGAATTAAAAGTCTTACGCAGAAGCTTTAAGGGAAAAACTAACAAGGTTTATTGAAGGAAAAACTCTTGCTTTTGTTTTGTGATTTCAGTAAAAAGAATTCCATAACTTATTTAAAGTTAATTGGGATTAATTTCGTTTATAAAAGATTTTAAATGAATTTCTACACTTTTGTTCTTTGTTTGAAAGTTAAAAATTCATACAAAAACATAAATAAAGTTCTTAAAATTCAGCAGAACATATTTTCCCCCTCGAAATGTTATTTAAAGACAACAAATAACTATAGTTAAAAGTGTAACTTACCTGCATAGAATAAAGGCAGCAGATTGAAGATGATAACCAGCGGAAATATAGAGCGTGCAAACTTTTGCATATCCATAAGGATGCTGACAGCCGGATTCGTCGAAGTGGAAGCATCCGAGTCCCTTGTGCTGGCGACGTGCTGAAGGGGCTTTCGTTGTTGTGGCTGTTCTTTTTGGTGTGGTTTCGTAGAGTCCTGACTGAGACTGGCTTTGGAAGATAGACGTGATAGGCAAGAAGTGCTCGTGGCATAGCAATCCCGCTCCGAAGTCCCTGCAGTAGCTGCCAAGCAGGCAGGAGCAGCAGGATGAGTGGATTTGTGTTGCTGCTGCTGCTGCTGCTCGTGTCGCTGCTGCTGTTTAGCAGTAGAAGCAGCAACATGGAGTACAGCAGCACTGCTGGCCAAGGGATGTTGCATCCTGGGCTGGTTCTCGAGGCTAGCAGCGATCTCATCTGCGGTCCAGGACTCTCGTACATCATCTGCTGCCGTTGCTGTTCCTCCAGCTGTTGCTGCCCCAGGTGGTGTTGCTGCCTCGGGTGTTGCCTGGCATAATGTTGCTCCTGTTGCTCCTGTGACTGCCTCCGATTCTCTGTGTTTTTGTGTGTGGCCCAGAAACGTATCGCTTGGAAATTGCTTCCGCTTGCTGCTGTTGCTGCTGTTGTTGTTGCTGCTGCAGTTGTTCGTGTGCTGCTGTTGTTGTAAGAGTTGGCGTGTCGTTGTTGTTGTTGTTGAAGAAATTGTTGTTGGTGTGTTATAGAAATGTCGTATCTGTGCTGAGGCCATGTTGTGCCCTAAAATGAGATTTGATAAAAGAAAAACAAACATCAAGTAAATGCTTAAAAAGCCATAAGTAAATTGTCCGGTTTCGCTTTGATTATCGATTCCTCGAGCGCTTTTCGAGGATTACGGACAGCATTTGGGTTTTCTTGTCTTTTTAATCAATTTCCCGTGGTCCCGCCCATTTCGGTTAACGCCCACGGGCAAAGGATTGTCCAGCTTTTTTCCCCTGACAAGCTACCCCAACTTTTGTTCAAAGGGTCCTCGACTGAGAGTCCAATTCATGTTGTTTGTTTTCTTTTTTATTTTATTGTAGAGCTGGCTACTCCTTTGTGTGTTTTATTTGTATTTAAGAGGAATTTAAAATGGGAAACGCCACAGTATATTTATTTAACATGGAAATCTTAGTTAATTTTATCTTAATTTTATATATTTTATATATTTAAATTAATTTTTTAGTTATCTTTCTGATTCAAATTCCTACATTACGCATACGCCGTGTTTTATGGCACTGGTACCTACTTTATAGCAAATCCTTAGGAGCTTTTTACTGTAAAATGTGTAACTAGCAATCCCTTAAAAGTCCACAAAGCTTACAGGATACAAATAAAAGCTTACTAGCTAAGTTACAAACAATAAGGACTCTTTACGTATACGTAATTTTACTGTAAGTGTTAACAGGAAGCTCCTTCTGTTACAAAAAGCTCTCCTCAACTTACATATCTACAGGACCCAAGACTCTCATAACATTCAATGATAAGAAATTGCCTGAAACTGGAATATATATATAATTTTTGTTCCAATATGTATTAACTAGTTAACTCCCCCCTAAAACCCTCACTCATCCCCTACTTTCTCTTAACTAACTACGCCCCTGAGTGGCGCAAACACATTCCTCATTTGCAAGCCATAAAAATATGTGAAATAATCATAAATAACCAACAAGTACACTAGATAAACCCTTGGCGAGTGCCACGCCCATTGGGTCAGGGACCGGCATTTATCAAATTTCCGCCACTCGAAATGTTTTCTGGCCGCAATAACAGACGCCGAAACAAGTTTCGCTTTGGCATATCCATCAGAGGGTTGCTCCCCCTGCTTGGTGTTGTTCTTGTAGTGATTACAGACGTTGATAATAAAGTAAAAATTGCAACAATGAACGCATAGACATCATGTCTATGGCAGTCCACGGTCTGTTGGCCAAAGCCAGCAGCCAGAGCCAGCAGCAACGCCCACACGTAGCACGGAGCCATAAAGTGCTCGTAATCAACGTGAAACTGCGTCGCACGCACACACATCTATGGCGGAATTGGTGATGGGTGAGCTGTGTGCACACAAAAAAAAAATGTTGAAACTAAATAAGGATATATTATTTAATAGGTTTTTGTTTTACATTAAATTGGGTTGGTATAAAAACTAAAAAAAAAAATTCTTTCAAGCTGAACAATCGAATCTAGGTCATCAGAAACTTTGGAATTAATTGAAAAGTCCAAACTTAAAATATTTTGTAGTATATTTTATGTTTGGACTGCCAGAAAATATAAGCCACAAACAAGCATTTATAAAAATATATAAAATAAACCCTTATAAAGAAATCCTTTCATAAATATAACTATGATTTCTGTTTTCTGAGAAACCGTTGTTTCCTTTAAATTTGGTTTTAAATATTTTAAGAAATATTCCTAAATTTCTAAGATAAATTCTTAAACTTTATTTATCTTTCAAATTAAAAATTCAAGCTCATTAGTTTCTAAGAAACACCACCAAAGCCTTGCTTTTTTTCCAGTGCACATTTTGCGTGTGTCCTTTTCTGGCCCCTGGCCGGTGGCTTTCCCATTTCGCCAACGAAAATTGTCTGCAATGCTGCACTAATGTCATCAGGGCGTATGCGTAACTAGGTGAATGTCGAGCGAGGAGTGCGGAATTTTCCGGCCTGGTCTGAGTGGAGTTTTCTGTTACGTTTCAGCTGTATCCATTAATTCCGGGCAGCTGGCAGCAAAGGATGTGTGTGCTCATGTGTGTATCCTGCTGAATAATTAAGGAGCCTGCCAGGCAGTCAGACGAGAGCAGAGTAAAACCGAGTCGAGTCGGCCATGGTGCCATGGAACTTCGGCGAGCTGTCAACTGCGAACTGCGGCTGCCACATAATTGGAAATTATATGCTGCACTCGACACTGGGACAACTGTAAAATGTTAATTGCAGTCGAAAGTAATAGCCGCAACAATGGACAACGGACGCAAATAAATTGCAATTTGTTGTGGCTAATGTTTATTCAAATGCACGTTTTCATTCCCATTTCCCCCTGTTTGCCCACCTGCGGCTGACCTGTTTCTGTTTTTCTCGCAATTAGTCAGACGGACGATACTTTGACCCGTATCTGTGGCCCCGGCTAATTGTGCACTTGGCCAGCAGTTTAATGAGTGCTTCTCCTGTTCGCTCAAAGCTGGCGAATGCGAAAATAATAAAGCTGGCAAAAAAATAAAGTAAAAATTAAAAGCCAGCCAGAGCCAATTAGAACGGACTAAAGCGCAGGAACCACTTCAAAGCGGGGCAAAAAGTGGAGAAAGCGCAGCAAATAAAAGGGCAGCCGCAGCAGCGATACAGATCCTGAAGGTGCTCCGATGCCCTAACAGTCAGAGTCCTTGGGGGATTCTATAGATTCAAGCTTGGGAATGGGATATAATCTCTTAAATTACTTAATTGATCAGGACAAAATCCCTTTCTGGTAATTTCTTTTAATTTAAGTTTTATAAACAGCAATTTAAACTGTTATAACTCTTTCTAACCTTCACCAACTGCTCTTAGACAAGGATTTTCCCCTTTGTTTTTCTTTTTTTATACAGACCTCGCCTCAGCTGCAACTCCTTAGCAACTTAATGTCTTCTCCACTCTGCAATCTGGAGCGTTGCAAACACTCCAAAATAGTTATTAAACCCTTGGAGAAGCTAGAGCTCTGAGTGCCCAGCCAGGGAGTGGCTCTTGGCTGAAACAAATGGCGCTCGATGGAGCACAAAAAGTTGCAGCATTCGCATCATCATCATCAACAGCAGCAGGAGTAGGAGCAGCAGCAACATCAGCAGAAACCAGAACCGCAAAACTCTACACTTCAACGCCGCGAGTCTCTGGCATAAATTTAGCCGTATCTGTATCTGTATCCGCGTAGCCTGAACTCCCTTATACAGATGCATTTATGCATTCCGCCCTCGGGAATTTACATTTCTGATTCACAGCGTAGAGGGAGCCACAATATGCATTCACTTGGTTGATTAACATTCTGTTGGAATTAAAGTTTAAAAGTTGTTTGCATGCGGCCAACATCAACAAAGGCTGTCACACGTTTTTGTGAAAAATGAAATGCAGGCATGCCTTTTTCCCCCTCTTTAGATTGCCAAAGAACTTCATCATCGTCATCATCATCATTCACTAGCAGCAGCAGCAGCCGCAGGAGGAGGAGAAGAGAACCCAGCTGGAATGGAAATTAGCCAGGACACAGAGCCTTGTACGCACATGTTGCATGTATAGAACATGTCGCATGCCACCGCTGCAGTGACAAATTGCAATTTAAATTTGGCTTTCGCGGGTGCAGCACACTTGGTCTTCTGTGTCGGAGTGTGTGAGCGCGCTCATTACGAGTCTCACAATTATTTGTAGTTTTTAATTAGAAAACTTGGCTCGTCGCCCTCTATTTCTGTTATCCGTTGGTTGTGCTTGTGTGATGCCAGCTCCTTGCTGCTTGCAACAACCTGCACTCCAGGCACATCAAAAACAAATTCATGAATATGCAATGCGCTTGTTAATAGTTCTGGGCATATGCGGCGTATACGTAATGCATGATTTATAATAACGTCGTCTGTCTGGTATGGCTTAATGCCAGTATTTGTGTGTGTATGTTTGGATGTAAGTGTTGTGTATAGACGAGAAGAAGGAGCTGCATTTAAAATTAATCAGCCGGAAGCTCAACTTGTTGAACCTGAACTTTAAGCCAATCAAAGGATTAACTCAAGGGTTATCCCCGTTGAAGCGCGAAAAATAATATTTTCCTAAGGAAACTACTTGGGTATTTAATAAGCTTAATTTCCCAGCTTCAGGTAAAGAGTTTTAGTAAGATTTAAACATTTTTATACCCATTAATCTAGTCAGAGGTATGATTTATAAACATTATTTAAAACTATAAAAGATCTAGTGATCTAGATTTTTAGATAAATACTTTCCCCAGATGTATCTTAAATAAAACGCCAAGTTGGCTTAATAAATTTGATTTGGCCACTCACCATATCGTCTGCATTTAGAGCGTTAGGGTACAACACGTCCTAATCACGGAATTTTCTGAGTTTCTGCAAAGAGAGAAGCGAACAAGGTGACAGACGACGGCTGGCAGGACTTAAGTTTAACTTTAGCCTAGTTGCGTTGTGAAATAGATCCCACCATCCACCGACAGCTGGCAGCGCTTAAGTAAAAGTTGCCAGCAAAAAACATTTGCAACTGCAGCATTAATGCGACTTGGGCCAAAAGTTGCTAAAACTTTCGACACGGCAAAAGGCGTGTGGGCGTGTCAAAAAGATTGTAAAGTCTAGAGAAAAAAAAAGGGGGGAAGCGCGGAAACTTTGCAGCAAATCAATTTCGCAGCAAACTAAATTAAACAACGACAAGCCAAAGCAGCTGCCAAATAGATAAAAATGCCAAACACACGTGCCAAAAGCGAGGACGAGGGACGGGACGCAGCAGGGCAGGAACAGGACGCGCGAAGCCGCAAACAAAGTGTAAAAATGTAGGGGAGAACCCAGAAAGGAGAACCGAGAACCAAGACAGAGATAGAGAAAGAAAAAGAGTCTGGGACCGACACCGAGACCGAGAATCGCGCATTGGCAGCGCCTTGAGTCGAGTCCCAGAGCAATTTATCATCTCTATGTTTAAAATTTATTACATTTATTTTATGTTGTTCTGGCTCCTTTTTCTGTTTACTTTTAACTGTTTTCCTTGCGCGTTTCCCTTTTTTTTTTGTAGCAGCAGCAGCACTTTAAGGACCAAGTCAAGTGGATAAAGTGGCGGAGGCGGCCAGGATTCCTCTGCTGCCGCTGTCAGTTGAGTTATAGCGCTCGACTTGGCCCCACTCGGCTCTTGTAATTGAATTTATCGCTGTAGCAATATTCATCAACGTCGGGCTGCAAGGAGCAGCACCAGCAGCAGCAGGACTAGGAGCAGCCATAGGAGTACCAGCAGGACCAGCAGGACTTGAACTGCCATCGAAGGCCTTACAAATGCCGGGCGATCAAACTAAAGTGCCAGAGATTATGCTATGCCTGCAGTTGCGTTGCGCATACGCAGCGTGGGCCGGACTAACAGTGGCAAAAATTGAATTACCCCCAACCTCACAGCCCACCCACATGGCCAGGCTTCAGTCCATAATCCACAATCCACCCTCGTAGCCATCCAAAAGCCGAACCCCCGGCCGTCCGTCCGTACGTATCTCTCATCCGCAGAGGGCAGCGGTGCCAAATTGCTTTCGATATCAATTTCCTGGCAAAAGCTTTTGTTTCGCTGGCAGCTCCGGCCGCAGCTGCAACGAAATCCGATTAGAATTCCTGCACTGCCAGCCCCTGTGACCCTACTGCCTCCTCTCTGGTCCCTGGTCCTGCTGCTGCCTCCTCCTCTGCCGCGTGCCTCAAAATCAAATTGTTTACGATTGCTACTGTTGTTGCCGGGCAAACAAACAGCATTGGAAATCAACTGGAAAGGCTATGACTACGAATGAATTTCCACATAGTTAGTACTCAATTCAGGATCTACGTTACATTTTTATATCTTTTTTCACATAGTTAGTATGAAATTCAGGATCTGCATTACATTTTTATGTCCGTGCAGGGTACAGTAACTTTAGTTCGAAGCCCGCAAAGCAGTGAAGAAGTTGTTTCCAACCCCATAAGTCCTATATATTCTTGATCAGCATCAATAGGAGAGTCTTACTAGCTATATCTTTAATATAATATCAAAACCACATTCCCTTAATATTCTTTAGAATACTGGGTACAAAATGAAAAACAATTCGAAAACAAAAACCAAAACCCTACCATTGCAAAAATCAATGGACCAGCGGCCGGAAGTGGCCAACGAAAGTAGAGTAAAACGGCATCCAAACTGAAGGGAAAGGACACGACAGGACCAGTTTGCAATTCGTGGAATAATCATGATAGGGTTGACTGCATGCATAAAATATGCATATGCTGCAGTGGCCAGCCCAGATCGAGGGACTAATGAAACCAATGCCAAGTCAGCAAATTGAATCAACTTTCTGTGGAACGAAGCGAGGACTGCAGGGAGCGTTTTCCAAAACATTTAACAAATCGCATTTAATTTAAGTGCAACTTTTGGCGCACTTTGACTGCTATATTCCGAGCTGGAAAAGTTGAAAATTGCGCGACTAATTGATTGGCAAGTGGTTTCAAGAAGGAAATATATCAAAATATATATATCAAATATATCAAAAGAAAAGTCTAAGCTTGTTTGATAGTAATTTGCAGAAATTACAAAACTTTGTAGCCTTAAAAGCTGAGTAAATCATTAAGTTTACTATCAATTCAAGACCCCGCCCCATTTCCCCAAGGCCCAGCCAGGTAAAACTCCAAATAAACTCACCTCTGTTTGGGCCAAGTTATAGGCTCAATTTACCTAAAGCATTTAAGCAAAGGGCCCCCGGAGTGATGGTAATTCGCAAATCAGGCTTTGAATCAAAAGCTAAATGCATTTCGATTGCAGCTGTCAATGGCAGGCGGGCAGGGGAGATGGGTGGCCAGTGGCCAGTGCCAAGTGGCAAGTGGCATGTGGCAGATGCTGTGCGCTGCGGGATGATGAATGGAGCCGTAATGAGTGTTATTAGACAGCGTCACTCGCACTGACCATCAATTTGTGCGGGCGATTGAACAAAAAGCTGCCGATGATTCCTGCTCCTCTTCCTCTCTCTCCCCGCCTTCCTTTTCGTCCTTGGCCAGCTGACAGAGCGTGTGACAGGATGTGTCCAATTGAAAACGAAACTGAAGCCCCGTAAGAGGAGTGAGTGTGAGTGAGTGTCCTTGACAGTCGGCATAATCAATCCATGTCCTTTGTGCAGCGCGCGCGTTCGTGGAAATTGAAAAAAAGCGTATACATTCTGCTCAGCAAGCCGGGTTGACAACGCCATCCTGGGACCTAGCAGGATCTCCCCTGGCAGCTGGGGCAAAGGAAGCCGGGAAGCTGACTGGCCGGATGGCAGATGTGATATATGCTTATGGCCACCGTTGCCAGGGAGCCTGCAACATAAATTATCAAAGTGCAAGTTGCAAATTGCTTGGCCTTCAGCCTGCGGCACGAAATGTGCACATAATTTCAAATTTATTACGAATTTACGTGCCGTTGCGATATGAAAGGAAATCCCGAACACTCGCCGGGGAAAAAAGAGAACTCAAAAAGCTACCTTCCATAGTTCGAACTATGTGTGCACTTGGAAAAATACTTCTAGCAAGGGTTCATTTAATCAGGAACTTATAAATCGCATATCAGCGTATTAATCTCTCAAAAATAAGTTGAAATCTATTTTTTCGAATTTTATTTCAACTTTTCTTTTAAGAATTTACTATATTTATTTTATAGCAATGCACTTTTGTTTTCCCTCAGTGCATCTACCTGCATGGCTGCCACACATACACTCAGGTATCCATGGCACGTTGGGGCGTGTGTCACATGCAAAGCAGGTGACACCCAAAACGCCCACAACCACGGACTCGTTACCGCCCAGGACAACGCCAGCGCCTGCTTGGGCTAAGAGGAGACCTTTGCTGGCGTGTCAACTTCCACCAGCCACGCCCAGGTGCTGCCTTTTAGTTTATTCCTCCTGCTTAGCCACCCCCCTTGGATCCGATTAAATGCATCATTTCTCCGCATTTCAGATGCAGCAGGAGCAGGCCACAGGACCTGCAGGAGCCACAGGAGTCGAGGCCACCGCATTTGCCATCCTCATTCCTCTGGCCAACACGATGCCCAGCGGGCAATGTCACTCGTTCCCATTTCCCTGAATCCCTACATTGAGGGAAATAAGAAAGGAAGGAAAATATCAACGAGAATACAAAGAACTAGGAAAAGCATAGATGAAAAACCTATGTGAACTGGAAAAATAAATAATACAATTAGGGATGCCTGAAGGACACTTTAAAAATTCTGTACAATCTACTAAAATTGGATAATATTTATTATTAAATTAAATGTATAGAAAAACTCCTTAAATTCTCTTTTAAATTAATTTTTAGCTACATTTTTGCTAATATTTCATTTAAATAATATTATTAAGAGTAAAATTAAACAACAAAAGGTACAAAAAACTTTCAAAAATTACTCAATTAAAAAGAAAACTATGTTTTATAATTCCTTTCAGTGTATTCGCCAAAGAATGTTGTGCATTTGTGTTTGCCTTTGTGCCGCCGCTCAGCGTTGTCCTGGCTCCTACTGTGTCCTGCGCTATGCTAACAATCTTGTACTTCGGAGCCCGCTTGAGTTTAACTATTGACGTTGTTGGCGCTGCTGCTGCTGTCGTTGCTGTCATTGCCATTTTGCCGTTGTCCCCGGTAATGTTACACGGCTTTTTATACTCCTCGGAGGCAACGGCGACGACAACGACAACAATAAAGCAGGTGAAGGATTCGCATAAAAGTTGTAAAACTGATTTAGCCAAGGCACACACAGATACACACACACGCGCGGATTGTACGACGATATTAAAAATCAAATCAAATTTCAGCTTAGGACAAGATAGGAAGTGTACATGGAACATAGTAAACTTAAGGCGGCTTTAAATTGAGCATAAAATGAGATGATCAAATGGAAAGGAAGATTTGGATAGTTCTGGTTTTAACTATGCAACTATTAAGGATACTACCACTGTTCAAAGGTATATTAAGGATGACAAAAAATATAGAAATCTCGAGACTGAATCGTTTTTTGAAGCTAAAACCTATTTACACATCAATATTTTAACGTTAAACTCTTTACAATTTACTAGTTCTGTTCGTTAATCCTGGAAATATCTATTTAAACTCCTCCTGCTGATTGAGTGCAAACTGGCAAACTATTGACACGCCCAAAGACGATTATTAGGAGCTGTTGAAACACTCGTTACACAATCAGTTCTACCAGGCCTGGCAATGTTCGTAAATCAATCTCGTTTTGGCACTTCGATCGATGCACTTGCTAAGCGCCATCAAATTACCATTTTTGGGCCAGGCAAACATGGCATTTTCTTTTGTGCCAAGAATCTATTTGCTGCCGATTCAATAAGTTTTGGGCCCAGGGCTCTGCCAGCCCACCAAAATCCAAATCCGCATCCGAATCCAAAACCATCCTCTGGCTATTTGGCAAGCCTGAGCTGCATTTCATATCAGTTGATTAAGGAAAGGACGAGAATGAGGATGAGGATGCGGGCGAGGACAAGGACCAGGATGAGAACTGAGGCTGGAGATGAGAACGAGGAGGCTGAGGACACAATGAGGCCGCTGCCAAGGAGAAACTTTAATAATGGCCGGGAAACGACGGCGAATGAAATGTGAGACGCCAAATTAGTGCCGAGCAATTAGACGGCAGCCAAATTGAAAGCAAATGAAATGCCCCGGCCCCTACCTTACCCTACTACTCCCAGAGTACAAGCCAAGATGTAGACTGTGTGTAGTAGACCCTTCGAGCAATTAGCCGCGACACCAGACCCGTTTCCCTTTTCATTATTTTCATTTGAATTTTCGCATTTCCTTGGGGGCTGTGTACTCACGTTTATGCTAGTTGCATCGCATGGCATTTGCTGTTCCAGTTGGGCCATGTTCTTTCCCCTGCTACATTTTCAGTTAATTGCTTCAGCCGGGCGACGAAGACGAGATCCTTCCTCTGCGCTGCTGCAATGAAAGCCATGCAAATGGAAATGAGGTTAGTACGCATATTTTGTGTAAGTAAGTGCAATTTGCAGTGGCAACAAATCATGTTTCGGATGAGGGAAGGTTAAACCACCACAGAAGTGGCAGCTGGGAGAGTAGAATTCCAAAAGGATGGAGAAGCACTAAATCTTGCTGGTGGTATGTAGGTTATTCAAGGGATGGAGATTATAAAGATTAAAAGTTCAGTAAAATATAGAGATGTATATTAAGAAAGTTTAATGATTTGTTTGAGATAAACCTAAGCTGAACCAAGAAAATCTCCTGTACATATCAAATAAATGTATATATATTTATTTATACATTTATATTTCTCTTATTTTATAAACATTTCTAAATCAAAATCAGTCTTTATTTTATCTCCAGTAAACTTTCTATTATTTAATATTTATCTTGTGCAATTTTATTGTATGCCATTAACAAGCTGCAATTAAATAAGTCATTAGGTCATTAAAATGAACCTTTACCTCCTGGAATTCTCACAACATAAGTTCTAGTTTATTTTCCAGTTTTGAAATTAGTTTTTGTGAAATTATTTATGAACTTAACTGACCCATATGCTGTTGCCAACATCATAAATAATGTATTTGCAATTTTTATGTGAAACTTGCACGTTGCATTCCTGCACGGTGCAGCGATAGTGATTCATAAAACATTAGCTTCCAGTTTTCCGAAACGAACCAATTATGCGACTCACGTACGAGGTGCTGTGTGTTTGTGTGTGTGGTGTGTGCATAGATGGCCATAATTGGCCTATGACTATGTAAATTGCGACCGGCCGCAAAGTATGCCATTCAAATAGTGGAGCCGCAAATGGCATTAAAATGAAACACGCATCAACGAAAGTTAATTGGAAGCCTAGAAAGAGCCTAGGCTCCTGCCAAGGGACAGGAAAGACAAGGCAAACAAAGCTCTCCCACAGGCTCCGTATCAATCACAACAAGGCGCACACACAGCCACGAACAGATACAGATACAAATACAGATACAAATACATATACAGATACAAATACAGATTCGGATTCAGATACACACGCTGGCAATGATGGGAGGCAACTAAATTACAACCAATTTTTATTGCTGTGAAAACAAAAGGCGCAGCAGCATATTATCACAAAATGGCGCTAGAGGGGGGCGTTGCGGCTTCCTTTTTCGGGGCGTGGCGAGACTATATATGCGTCTGTCTATCAGTCTATCTGCGGATAGACCGGCGCGCACGTTTTCACACAAAAGACACAATAAATGATAACACATAAATTCGCACACACAAGTTTGGCTTTCGTGTTTGTGTGTCTCTGCCAGTCGTATCGTTAAAAGTCAATTGTAAACTTGCGCGCTCAGAGGCACACACAATCCGCAACTATCGAGGCACAGTAAAAAATGTAAAGGGATTTTTAAGTTTAAATATTTTTGTTTATTAAAAAAATGTCTAGCTAAATTATATAAATTTCAGAAAGAGGGTAAAAAATAAAGCAAATAGGGTAGGTGATTCCGAATTCAAGCGTAAATCCGTCATATTTTACTAATGAATCTTCATTACTAAATATATGAAGAAATAAAGATGATAAATAGTCTATAAAAAATAGTTTTTTAATACAAAATATAGACTCTTTTAATATAAGGCAAAAATAAATAGGTAATATACATCAAGAATACCTCAGGAATGTCTCTAAAAAAAGGTTTGAAAAACTTCATCTTCCCTTGGATTTTTTGAATCAATTCTTGAAAACCTATATTATTTGTAGAAATTAACTAATTCCTTTAAAATGTTTATTAAATATAACCTTTTTAAATTTGTATGTTTTAAAATATGCATATTTTTTTACAGTGAAGACACAAACTCATTGTGAAGCCCTATGACTAAGGCAGATCGAATTATAATGCAAAAAGCAACTTCCTCCAGCTTCCTTGAACTCCCTCTCCCCTACCCCCCTGAAAAAAGATACCGCTAGCTCTCCTCTCCTTCCCCAAGCAGTTACGCGTAATGCCACCTTATCAGTGGCATTCAAATCAGAGCATAAACACACACACGCACACCATCAGCCAGCGGAGCGGCGACGGCGACGCTGCAGCAAAGGAAACCAGTGAAGCGGCAGCTGGATAAAAGTTACATTGACATTGCCCACCATTGTGTGTGTGTGCGCCTGAATGTGTGTGTGTGTGGTAAAAGAGAGCCAAAGAGACTGCGGGAGAGAGTGAGAGAAAGCGCCTGCGCTGGTCGGCTTACACCAACGAATAAGAGTCGCAAGGATAGACACGCAGAGAAAGCTAACTTTCCTCTCTGCTGAGCCGCCCTTTTTTCTGGTGGGGGGGAGGCTGGAGGAGCAGAAGAGAGTAAGGAGAGGGGAGTTCGGGGAGTGGGCAGAGCAAAAACGTCGTTTTTGTTTTTGGCCAGGCTTGTTGTTTACGCTTTGCCGCATATGTCGCTGCCAATGTATTTAATTGTGAACTGCGCACAAAAGTAGGCAACGATAATTTCTGCCTACCCATACTGTATGTGCGTGTGTGCGTATGAGCGAGTGTGCTGCTTGCTTAGGTGTGTGCGTGTGTGATTGTCTCTTATTTATTTATTTTGTTTGCTGTGTGTTGTCCTGGGCCTTTTACTGGCAGTCGCTTAATGACGTAACAATTATCTTTGGACGCATGCTTATGGCACTCACGGGTGCGCTTACTGCAGCATCCCGAGCTTGCCAATTGAAATTGCCAGCAAAGACCCACAGAAGCACACACATACACAGACAGACAACTCATGCCAAAGCCCCCGCAAGGATGTCACGTTGTGGCTTAGGATGGCTCACATTATATATGCCTTATTGAAAACTTTTTCAATTATGAAACAGCTCCCTGGCACTTGGCAAGCGGATTCCAGTCCATTAGCGCCCAACGGAAGCTTAACTCGATGAAACTCTCTAATTGACCGCCGCTCCCGTTCTTGTTCCTGTTATAGTACCCGTTCCAACCGCCTCCGCTCGAGCACCCCTGGGCTAAACGTTTTGCAAATAAACTATTTTTTATTCATAAACAAGCAACAACAGCGTGGCACACTCTAAACGACCACTTAAGTGTGTTCCCCCAACAACGGCAGCAGCATCAGCAGCAGCACAGTCAGCAGAAGGACCAACAACATCATCAGTGGCAACAACGATGTGGCAAAGATGCAAGTCTTACAGGCAGAGAAAACATAACAAAGAAACTATTTAAATATTTGATTATTTAAAAAGGGAATTGCATTTAAAATTTTTAAGATCCTTGAGCCATTAAGCTACTCCTGACTGCAGTATGAATAAAATATGATCATTTCCTAATTTATAATTAAAAACAGAATAAAATTAAATAAATAAATACTCAAAATATTCTAAAAATAAATAAATAAACTCTCAAAATATTGATAGTTTAGGCAAAAGTCATGCTATAAACGTGCAACTAGGGATGAAATAAAATAGATCAATACTGTGTCACAATTTAACTGAGAAAACTGATTCATTCATCGATATTTAAATGTTTCGATATACAAAATATCTCTTATACCATTCAAATTACTTATAATTACTTATATTTTTTCATTTCACTCCACAAACCTTCCTAGTGTCCACTATTTCCCCATTAAATAGAAATAGCCAACACTTGTGTTGTTCTCAATTATTGATGGGGGGTTAATATTAATGAGTTAGTTTCCAATTCTCATCACGTATTTCAAGAATGATGGAATACGGATTTGGGACATAAGTTGTCTAACAAGTTTACGATTACTTAACGAGATTTTGCAGCTGGGCAGGAAGGAGCGCCCCCCCCCCAGAAGCATAAACAAACTCGGTTTGAATTTATTTTCGTCGCATTTCCCTCTGTGTAGGCCACCCACTGGCTCACACACACATCCGGCGACATGGCCAGAGCGCATGAATGGATGAATGAATCCCTGAATCGCCACTGGCAGCCAGACAAGCCAGCATGTGAGGGGCGTGGCCAGCGGTTGGCCCCATTGTTGCTGCGGTGGCTGCTGCCTGCTGGCTGCTGCCTGATGTTGCTGCTGTCATTACTCGAGTTGCTCGTTGCTCGCTGCTCGCTGCCCGTTGTTTTTGCTGCTCTTTGTTGTGGACGCTGCTGGTGCTGTCGTTTTCATCTAAGTGCATGCGAAGAGCGCTCCAAGTCCTTTCTATTTTTTGTCTATTTTTTGTGCTCAGTCCACATCCACAGTCAGAGTCACAGTGCCCCAGCATTTCCCTCTGGTGGGACTGTGTGTGGGCTGAGTGCATGGCTTGTTGCTGCGGGGATCCATTTGTGCATGATTATTTTTGCATGCGACTAGCTGAGTTCCGGGGCCAGGCACCCACCTGCTCATGACTAAGAGATGTCAGCGTGGTCCTTTGTACACATCCCTGTGCATATTCTGTGCGGGGATGTGGCCATTTTGCAGGCAATTTATCTCAAGTGCGGATTGGCCAGAACCAAAAATACTGCTGCACATATTTGCTGCTCCTCCTTCGGGCACCTTGACACATTTAACCGATCGAAAAAGCGTAGTGGGCCCCCAGGATTAACCTTGAACTGTCCATGCAAACACGGACATCGATTGGTTCTCGTTGGAAGAAGGGATGCGGACTCGAGAGTGACACAGCAGCGACAGACAACAAAACATTTGTAATTAAGAAAGTTTTCGCAGCTGAAAGGCACTTAAATGAAATTTTAATTTATTTCTAAAATGCTGCCATCACCAATAGTCAAGGAGGGAGCTAACCAACAAGGAAAAAAATAGGAAACACACAAAAACAAAAGGCGAGGCATCTGCAAAAACTTTTCCAAAGTGACAGAGACAGAGAGTTGGAGGAAGGGACTCACAGGACCGACTGACTGACTGACTGACTGACAGACAGACAGACAGAAGACAGTTGTCGCTAGAGAAATTATCCTGAGAGGCTGCCTGCGAGGCTGCCTGCGAGGCTAGAGAGAAGAGAGCAAAAGTTGCAGGAGTCTCGCACACAAAAACCTATTAAATATTTAACCTTATCGCAGTCATTTCCACCGAGTCGACCAGGAAGTCTCAATGCGGCCAAGAAACCATCTGCAATTACCAAAGGCTAAAGCAACCACAACAACAACAGCATTGACTCGCAGGACAACAATTGGCAGCGTTTTAAAAAGCGCCTCCAGGACACGCCGGCCACATTATGGCGCCCCATGAAACGCTTAAGCCATCAACACAATGTTCGGTAATTAACCCGGCTAAATACGATACGACGACCAAATTATGCCTGACTGAGGCCCGGGCTCAGGCCAAGACGGAACGTGTGCTCCCTTAATGTCCTACGAATAGCTTCCTTGGGGGCGGGGCGGGGGACTCCCTGAACCCATCTCCTTTATTAAATAGCTACTACATTTTTTTGTTATCTCTCTGTTTGAATTTGGTTACTATTATAGACATTTTATTGCTGTTGGAATATAGTGTATATATTTCTTAATAGGAAATTAAGCTAAGTTCTAATTAGCTTCGTTTAGTTTGGGTAAATTAAAGGGGAAATGCCTTAATGAGATGACCCTTGAGGGGTTAATAACTTGTTACTAACAAACTATTACCTTTTTATTACAAATATTGTAGAGTAAATTAAGAAAATAAATTAAATTTGACATAAATTCTACTATGAATAAACTAGTTTTTAAAATAATAATAAATTAAATTATTATTTAAATGTTTCACAAACAAAACGTTTTTTAGTTATGGAATCTTTAAAGTTTACTATTTCCATTATTGTAGTTTTAAGCCATTAGAATACTGCATAATTCTGAAACTAAACCTGTGCTTAAATGATAATATTAATCTTTAATTCATCCCAAACTATCTTATCTATTTATCTTCATATCCCAAAGTTTAAAAACATCCCCATTCCTTTTAAGTTCAAGTGTATTTCAGAGTTCATGTGCGAGGGCGTGTGCTTGCTATTTATTTTTTTATCGGTGGCCCGCATTATCGCGATTAAAGTGTTGCAATTTGGAGGCGAGCTTTCAGAGCCATTAACAACTGTGCAGCATTGTTATCAGCCACAGGATGCACCCCGCCGCCAGAGCCACCCCCCGGGCACACACACAAGCAGCGAGAGAGAGAGAAAGTCCTGCAAAGAGAAAACGTGTGCGGTTTTTGGGGGTGGTGAGATGTGGAAAGCCCAGAAAAGAGACAAAGAGAAACTAAAGTGTGTGTGTGTGTGTGTGTTGGGGGGGGGGATTACCACAAAAGTGAGAGACGGTAAACAACAGACTCTTGACTCTCGAGTCTCTAGACTCGGCTCAAAAACTCTCGGAGAAGACGGATACGAAGACCGAAAATCGCCCATTATCCATTTTTATTTTATCATCAATTTTATTACACACAAAGTAAAGAGGCGCAGCCGAGCAGCAAGTTGATGATGTACCAGGCCATCAACATCAATGAAAAACGCCAAGAGCGAGGGCAGCAGCATCAGGAGCAGCAGAGCGCCACAAACACACAACACACACACTCTTGTGCCGCCGCCGCACACCCACAAAAGAGATGCTGAGAGACGGAGATACAACACACGCCCTTTTGGTCGGAAAATGGCTCTGACTAAAAAGCACTCGACTGTCGACTTAGTGGCTATGTAAATGCTAATTGCAGGCGTACTTAGTCTCACTTACTTAGGGCTGCATCTGTGCAGCTCCTATGTAAATCCTCGCTTAGGCGCTTTAGGTATCCTGATGATCCTGTGAGGAGTCTTTTGTTGCTGAACACTTTTGTTTGTTTGGTATTTATTTTTTTGTTATTTTCTTATTTGTATATCCTTTTACACACACACTTGGGCTTGAGTTTCTTTCTCAGCTTGGCATTTCACACTCGAGACACTTTCCTGGAGGGAAATTGTAATTATATATCTTGTTTTAACACTTATATTTTATCCCGAATTCGATTCCGATTACGATTTCGCACCGCCGACTGTCCAAAAGCAACTAAACGCAAATCACCAGTCACCTCATCTGCTTACGGGCCATAAAACGTCTTTCGACGTTCTACAAGGGGCACCTTAGCAAATTTTCCTCAATTGACCGAACAATAAACTCAATTTGCATTGAGAAGACGCTCTGCATTGTGCGAGTGTTTGTTTTCGTACTCGAGTGCTTGGGCCTGTGCTTGGCCTGCGCTTGATTGAATCAACGGCAAACAAGTGAACAGATTTAGATTCGGTTCTCGGTTCGGACACTTTAACTAGTCGCACTGGATTAGTGCGCTTAAGGGGCCTCTATTTGCCTCTATTTGGCACTTATTCAATTGAGGCGTTTTGGGGACATTTTCGCCAGTTCTACGACAACGACAACACCAACAGGAGCAAGTAATTATATATATCTGTTTTATTGCCTGAGAGGAAAGAAAGCGAGACCTTCACGGGGAAGCAACTAGGTCGTCCTATTGTCTCTTAGTTTTTTTACTTGAAATGTAAAGCATAAAGGACTCATTAACTTGAAGCCTGATTCTGTGAATTAACATTTGCTAGGCAATAAATAAATTAATACATTTTTGGAAGGTGTAGATTAAACTCTATTTTTGATTGAACTTTTAATAATTTTAAGAACTTTTTATTTGGATAATTACAGGTTGCTTTTGAGGTTTATATTAACAGCCTCAACTATTTTTATACATTCAACTTTTGTTCTACTTTTGGCAAATTTATAATTCAAAGAAAATGTAAACTTAAATACCTCAAAATATATAAATTTTAGAAGTTTAGATTATGTTTTCGTTCTTTCCTTTTAAATTTATTGGGTTAACTTTATATTATAAACTTTTCAGGCTCTATTTTTCTCTATATTTTCCATCCGTTTAACTATTTAATTTTTTATTTTTATCATTACTTTATTCAATTTTCTCTTTCCTTTCTTTTTATTGACCTTTCTATCCTGCTAATTTCTATTTTATTTCTTTCCCTCTGCTTTGTACACTTTTCTTTAATTTTATATCACATTTTTATTTAAAATTCCCTTTTATTTAATCATCATAAAACCCTTGTTGTTAAACTAATTCCACTTTTTAAGGTTTCGCCTTATTATTTTCGCATTTCTTTGTCTGTTGTTGTGGTTGCTCTTTCTTTTCGTCCTGCTGCTGCTTCATCTCCATCTTCCTCTTCTTCTCGCCTTTGCTCTTGTTGTTGTTGATAAATTCGGATTTTTTGGGAGCGGCTCATTTGCTTTTCTCTTAAACTTTTCCTTTTTTTTTCTTTCTCGCGTGCGAAAACCTTTTGGCAGACTTTCTGGTGGAAATCAAAGATAATTTTACGCTAACTAACAACAAATTAGACCAAAGGAAATATTTTTTACAAGAAAAGGATAACTCCCACGTTCTGCGGGGGATTGATTTTTCTGGGGTTTCTTTCCCAAGGCGCGGAGGTTTTTCACAAGGGGAGGGCGGGCATAAAATTTGATGACGCGTTGTCTTTAGAAAAAAAGGCTTTTTTATATTTAAAAATATCTTTCTTTTTTTTGTGGTTTTTCATCATTTGATGCTTTGGCTTTTTCGTCACAATTCGCTTTTCCTTTTGCCATTTGCTGGACCGCACATGGAAAATGCTTGCAAAATGGCACACTGACCACACATAAACACTCGCACGCACGCACACACACGCACACAGACACGGGGATTACAAGCTGGCAGAGGCTGCGACGTCGACAGAGCCAGCGACTGCGCGACCATTTCCATTTGCCTATTCCGCTACTTTTTGTTGTTCTGTCAGATGCTGTGTAGCCGTTGTTCTTGTTGTTGTGGTTGGTGCCACTTTTCCACCATTTTACCGAGCCAAGTTTCCTTTGAGCCGCATTCGTCGGCGGCACAACCGCCTTCGCTGAGTGAAATTGTTGAACTGGTGGATAATTTTGAACTTGCGCGCGTTTCAGCCGCGAAGGTAAAGTTCGTCTGCGCTCGGGAAAACCCACGAAGGAGCCGAGTGGAATAAGCTTGATTCTGAATAAGCTCTGGATAAAAAAAATGTAAGCTAAATAAACTAGGAAAATAAATTTTAAAATAATAAAAAGCCCTAGAAAAAATGTAACCCTAAATTAACTATGGAAATTAATTTAAATAATAAGTTCTAGATGATAATTTAGAAATATATAACAAAAAAATTAAAAAATAATGATACCTAGAGTATAATATTATTTAAACTAAACAAAAAATTAGTTTCCAAATCGTTTATTTTATGTAAACTTTTTTAAGCATTCTTTTGAAATTTTTGTGAGAAGTTTTTCTAATTTAAAAAATAAATTTAATAATTAAATAAACTTATTTCAAATCGGTCACTTACGTTAAAAACGGTTACTTTTTGACCCCTTACGTTGTTTGATTACGTTCTGGTTTAGTGGGACCAGCTGCCGTTAAGGCAATATCCTCTCCTCCCTGTTGAAAAATCCAATTTTATGATCAGAAAACCCGGCGGGCACACTGCACTGTCGTTTAACAAAATTTTTTTATATAAGCTCAAAAATAAGGAATACACTTAGTGACAGGTAAACAAACAATATACTCCAGCTTTTCCAGTGTAATTACATATTCCCTAACTTTGTTTCCCTTTCCGGTAGATCAAAATTCGTGGTATTTAAGATCAAGGTTCCAGACGCGGAGCAACAACAACAAAACAACAACAAACAACCTGTAAGACCTTGAGGGGATTTTTTTTTTATTTGCATTAATACGGCAGACAGACAATCTAATCTGAATAATTCCACCAGGTGTGTGGATTCTGATTAATATTCGCTGTTGGGCCTTTTCAATTATCAGTTTGAAGCATCATGTCGATCCGGAGGACCATGGCCACCGCGGCCAACACGACCAGCAAGGAGTGGAGGGAATACTTCATGAGGTTGGCACAGATATAGATAATAGCAATTGCAATATATGACTATTTACTTTGGTTTATTCACAGCACCCACTTCTGGGGACCGGTGGCTAACTGGGGCATCCCTGTGGCTGCCCTTGCCGACACACAAAAGAGTCCCAAGTTCATCTCTGGCAAAATGACACTAGGTGAGGGAGAGAGGAGAGTTATGTGGGTTTTTGGCTAGAAAACCTGATTGCCAGACACGCGCCGCGGCATCGAAAGTTTCCGCTAAAGATGTCGTAATCAGAGCCGCTGTGATATGTTCCTGGCAAATCGCTGCCAGCGGCCTGATAAGCCAGATACGGAAACTGTCGAAGCGGCTGCCGATAAGAGTAGCGGAGAAATCTGTTTTAGGGAGTGTAAACTACAATTTAAAGAGTTTTCCCGAGGATTTTTAAATGATATTTGTTATTATATACATCTATCTATAGATATTTCTATCATTAATTTACATTTTGTTTCTTCCAGCTCTGACCCTCTACTCGTGCATCTTCATGCGCTTCGCCTACAAGGTTCAGCCCAGGAACTGGCTGCTCTTCGCCTGCCATGCCACCAATGCCACCGCTCAAACAATCCAAGGCGTTCGCTTCCTGCACTACAATTACGGAGCCAAGGAACAGGAGGCGTAAATAATGAAGGCGTGCCTTAATACACCCCCAAGAGAGACGTGCGCTGATACTTCAAATGTTTACCCAACAGCAGCAGCAGCAGTTACTGCAATTTACTGCCACTAAACACACGCAACAAAAATCAAGCAAATTGCACTGCCCCCCCAAAAACCTGAAGCCACAAAGTGGTGACAGTAATTGCAGTGAATCACACCCGCTCACAAATTGGCCGAATCTCGAATTCTCGGATTCCATCCCAATCCCAATTCCGTATGAGTCTAGCCTGGTTCTACCCTATTTAGTTAATACCCTTTCGGCAGTTGATCCAAAATTTCTAGTTGGTGCAATCCTTAGTTAATGAACATAGAATATTTTTTTATACTATTGGCCCGCGTGTAAATGGAATATTGTTAAAATTGAAATAAAGAGAAACATGAAACATGTATCTACAAAATGGTTGTTAATAAATCGGGTTTAAGTTGTTAATTAATAATTAGCAAATAGCTTTGTTCCTGGAAATTAATAATAAACCCAAATTATATACGCAAAGATATATATTTTTTTGTATTTTGTCATGCTATGTAAACATGCGCTTTATTGAAACAATTACGGTTATATATTCATATCTTGTAAAATATTCCTTTCAATTGTTCTTAACAATATTTTATTTTTTTGTTGACATTTTTGTAACATTTTTTGTTCATCAATGGGGTTAAAGAAAATAAAGAAATTTTAATCTTTACATAGTTTTTTTTTTTTGTGTGATTTTTGTTGCTTTTTTGTAGATTACACTTAGGACGAAAAAATATATGTTGTGTGTGTGTGTGGGTACAAAAACAATTAAAATTTTTTAGAGTTTTCTCAAACGTAATAAAAAGTACAATTATAATTAAAAACTTCTCGCGCTCGATGGGCGCCTCCTCTTCTATGCCTACATATGTACGTGGCTTATAATGGTTTACGTTTTACATCAATCGCTTGGGATTGATGTCCACATGTTGGAAATTGGATTTCTGCTTCTCTTCTTCTCTCTCGACTTCTACAACGACTACGACAACTTAAGTAGCTAAACGAATGGATGACGACGACGAGGTTTGGGTCCTCGGACTAAGGCTAATGCACCGCAATATGCGACATCGGTAGGTAACGACAGTTATGCTATCTATGGCTAAATGGCTACGAGAATCTCAATGCTGCTCCTGCTTGACGTAGGTGCTGTTCTTACGCTGGCGCTCCATCAGGTACTTCTTGTACTTGCGTTCCATGAGCGCCACCTCGTCGGCCTGGGCGCGCAGGCTTTGATTCTCGGCCATCAGCTCGTCCTCCGCCTGCTTCTCCTCCTCCTCGCGCTTCTTCGTCTTCCGGCGAGAGATGCGGCTGGCCTCGTTGTTCTTAATCCTGTCCTGGTACGCCTTCCGCTCTTCGCCGCTCATGCGGGACATGAGCTCGGGATCGGGTCCGTCGGCATGATCCTTGGCAGGACGGCCACGCTTTCGCTTGTTGGACGACGCGGAGCTGCTGAACTGGGAGGTACTGGCTACGGAATAGGCGGGCGAGGCAGGTGCAGTAAGGAAACCACCAAAGCCGGTCTGGCACGTGGGCGCGGCGCTGCTGGAGCTGGCCGAGTAGTTGCTGTGCGGGGTGTTGGGCGGTGAGAAGTCGTTGGTGGTCTCCTCCTCGGCACTGCGCAAATCCTCAACGATGTCGGCTTGGCTGATGGTGGCGGTGGTGAAGGTGAGATTGGAGGTGTTGTTGTTGCTGGTGCTGGTGGTGGCGGGCTCGAGCTGTAAGTTCCAGAAATTATCTAGATTAGCATCTAGCTGGCTGTTAAGGACGTCCAGGAAACTTACCCTATCGAAGTTCAATAGTTGCTCGATGATTTCGGGCGTGCTCGGCTCGCTGGCAGCTGGTGCCACTTGGGTGTTGATCTGGAACACCAGCCGGCTGCGCTTCTTCGCCTGGGTCTCCACCACTGGGGCGGGGGCGGTGCGCTTCAGCGACGTGGGGATGTGATGGATGCTGGATGCTGGGATGGCCACTGCGAGGTCGCCGCCAGTGCTGGCAATGCTGCCACTGGGCTTGACGTCCTCCTCCAGGCCGAAGCCGAGCGACTCCTGGCTGCAGCCATAGGTGCTGCCGGCGTAGCTGGCCACGTCGGAGATGAGGGGCTCCTCGGTGAAGATTTTGGTGTGAATGCTGGATGTTGTGGTCTGTGAGAAGTTATTCAGCATGGGGTCCTGCGAACCGGTGAGTATGGAGGTGAGGTCGAAGTCCTCGTTCTGGTGGGTGATGTCTATGCCGCACATCGCAGTCATGTCCAGGGTCTCCTCCTCGCCGTGCAGGGGCAGGTCGAGTCCATCCATTAGCTGGTAGTCGTCGTTTAGTGTGTCGTTGTTCATCTCGTCCATCGTCGGACTGTAGGGATCCATCTTCTTGCCGTCAAACTCGAAAAGATCCTCCTCGGCAAACATGTTTATATCAAAGTCAAGAATATCCGTCTCAGTAAAAATCTCCTTTCCGTTTTCGCTGCTGCACGTAGATGACGTTGCTTCTATATCTTGCAGGTATTCTGTGGCAAAGAAAAAGTACTATTAGTATCGAAGGATAAATAAAATAGAAAAGTTTCAGCTAGATGAGTGTGTGTAAGATAAGTTCTAGGTACCCAATTTTATAAGTTTGGAGAAAGGTGTATAATTTTAAAGTCCTATTAAAGCTCTATTAAATCATTAATAGTTAAATAAATATATTTAATAATAAATAAAATAAAAGAAATAAAGTTCCTTTTGACTTCCGGTTTCTACACGATATCTACGCCATATTGAATCTTGCTTCGAAGTTTGCCATGTTTTTATGCAATGGCGGCGCCACCTAAAATTTTTACACGGCCGTTTATCGAACTATACAAAGTGAGTCAGTAGTTGTCTCCCTCGCACAATTGTTGTGAAATTAAATAAACGAAAGGGAAATGGGAGAAGACGAAAAAAAAATATAACTAAACAAACGGAAAGGAAAAGGAGAAAAATCGGAGGACAAAAAGCCGATTTTTACAATTTAATAAAAATGTAAATTAAAATGAATTAAGAAAATAATTTTGTGTAAATAGAGGAAATATAGTAAGAAAATAAACAAAGAAAAAATATGAAGAAACAAAGTAAAGAATATTTTTCAATGAGTAAATTGGCAAGTTCAAGTTTTTTTTATCAACTCAATCTGCATAACAAAATATAATTATTTATTTTAACAAAAATAAGCAGCTACGGCTAGGGGAAATTAAACATTTGAATTTTGTCAACATAATTCAACTAGTTTATCTCTCTCCCTCGCGCACGCACACATTCATAGCCGGCAATTCCCCCCATACAATCTCATGAATCATAGCGCACCACTGACAACAACCACACGAAAACTGAACAGGAATAATCGTGCTCGCTTTTGTTGGTAGTGCGTGTGTGCCAAGGTAGGGGTTGGTAACACAGACAACACGCACTTTTGCTTTTTACGGATACCCCTATTCTCACACAAAATCAATTTGATCTAAGAATGAGAGAAATGCAAAAAGAAAACAAACAAAAATAATGTTTAAATGGCATAAGAATAAATAAAAAAAAAAACTATTAGGAATTAAAATACTATAATTATGCATTTTTAATATTTTAGCTCCATATTCACCTTTGTGTTTTTTATTTTGGCGCAAAGTATCTTTTAGTTGATTTATCCGCTGATCCGAAAAGACGAACCAAAACGTGAAGCGACTTCAACGAACTGCGGCCGCGCTGCTCAATACCCGGCAATATAAAAACGGTGCTTGCACTGGTGTGCGTGAGAGAGCGAGAGCTCCAACAGCTGACTGCGCAACAAGTCTGGGGCCCTAGCATCGTCTCGCTCACACTCCCTCAAGTACATGGTCAGAGGTGAGAGCGAGAGGCTGGTCGCTCTGCTGCTGCGCGGGAGCGATTTGTTCTTCTGCCAATTACATAGATTTTTGACCGCTATAGGCCGTGAAAATAAGTTAAACCGTTTGGAATATGCACAAATACAATGCCACTTGAATTTCACCAGAGCGACGAAGGTTCGCGAATAATTATTATTGTCATTTAAAGCAAACGCACGGAATTGCATTTTTACCAATAAGAACTTCCTAACTAAACTGGGAATTAATTTCTGATCGGAAAAGTGTCAACAAATCTAATTTTTTTAATTAAAAAAAAACAGAAAACTCTATACGAAACCATTTCAAATTAACTAACTGTATTAAAATTAAAAAATAAATAATAAATAAAGTATCTTCAACTCCCTTTGAGCGGCAACATTGCGGATACGCAATGCACTTTGCCAAAAACCAAACTCTCTTCTCTCATTATGTGTTTGAGAGAATGCGGTTCGGTTTGCTTGTACATATCTTTGCATCTGTGAGATACATTTCCCCTGCCGGTCGGTTAGTATAGCTATCCCTTTCGCTGAGAGAGCGGCCGGCATTTCGCACATGAACGGGAGTTAGAGCGAGCGAGGTATAGGAACCGGAGAGAGACTGGGGCACAGATACTCTCACGCAGCAGGTGTCTGTGTGAGGGGCAAACTATCCTCTCTCAATTTCTGCGGATCATTCCGATTGAATTTCACAACAAATAAGTTAAGTATATTAACCGTGAAAAAGAACGAAAGCCTACGACAATTTAAAAATCTGATTAATATTTATGTTTATCTATGTTTAAAAAACCGAAAAAAAAAACTAAATAAATATGTTTCAAAATATATGGGCTTTTTGGGGAAATGTTGCTATTTGCCGGCTAGAAAACATGTGCGAAGAGAATTTGGGTCATGAATCAGCTGGTTGCCCTCTCTCTAGGCAAGCCCCTATATTGCTTTGATTATATAGAAACCGAGTATATATTTCGCCAACTAAAAAACATTTATTAACAAGCAGTTACGCTGAGCAGTTGAGGCAATAATAGCCTTATATGGACATTTTGGAGTAGAAAAGGTTGGTAAAATCTATAATATATTGAGCTTTATAGAAACAAATCCCTGGGGAAAACTGATAAAATGAATAGGGGTTTTTTTTTAAGAAGAATTTGTGAAATACATTTTGGTAAATAATTTTCGGCAGCCTGTAAGTTGCACTAAAATTCTTTAGAAACCATTTCTAGTTGTAAGCCCTTTACTGATTCTAAGAGAAAAAATTACCCCAAAGAATAAAAAATTATAAGAACAGTTCATCTCTGACGCATACTTGTAGTAATTATATCCCTATCCAATTGCACATATGTATAGATATACAAAACGGTAGGTGGCATGATTTTAACTCTGTTTCTGATTGGACAATCGAAGACAAACCCCTACACACATTTAAGTAGCTACTCATATAAGTGATATATATTTATAATTTGGAGGCCATTACACGAGATACACACAATGTTTAAGCGTATGTAGTTTCTTTACGCTTATCGCATAAATTCGCCCTCTGCTGACGTGCGAGCGTTAAAAAATCCAACAAATTGAAAACTGCGCAATTAGTTTGAGATGGTACCATTCAAATGATTCACTCCAGTCACCGAGCGAGAGCATCAACTTTATCGATAAGAGCTTGTAACAAAGAAAGCACCTCCTCGGAAGTACATTCGTTGCCAGGCAGAAACTTGGAGGCACTTTTTAAGGTTGAAGGTCGAAATTAAATGGATTCTAGGTACTCAGCTAATTAATTTAATGATTGAAATATAAATCAGGAGGATTATATAACTTGAGTTGGCTGAAGCACTCTTATAGGTTTTAAAGAAAAAGAACATCACCTACTTTCAGTCCGGTCCAAGCATAAAAAACTTTTATATTGTTTAGGGAATTTATAGGGGATTAGAATCTAGTTAGAAGTTAATGGGGAAAATCCTTTTCTAATCAGTAACAAGACTTGTTCAGTATGGAAACCTAAAGTATCTTGTAGATACATACATATCTATTATGAAATTTTAATGAATGTTGTGTGCCTGAATGAATAAATTAAATGTATATATTCGGATTGGATAAAGCTGAAGAATGTACAAACTAACGCATGTGGGATCATATTAAAGCAAATATCTGAACTCTAAAGATGAGGTTTTTGTTTGAGAACAAAGAATACGTTACAAAATGTAATATCAAACTTTTATTACTTTCAGGCAAAAAAAACCTCACATCATTTTTGAATGATTAAAACCTTAAAACTGACATTGTGCAACGCATTGAAGAATAATAAATTGGAAGATACAACTCAGAAATAATTCCAGGACTACAAAAATATCAAAAAACAAGGTAAGAAAAAGCAAATTTTCTTAAAAAAAAAGTAAATATTTTTAAAAATCGGTTTCAAAAAGTGTTGAAAACATATAGAAAGAAAGTAGCCGATAAATGGAAGTACATAGATCAAATATCTGACAGATATCGAACGTACGAATTATTACGTTGCCATTTACCGACAACAGAGGCGGGACGGAGGCAGGCGTTAGCCGCCCCCTGTCCCCCTCCTCGATCTTCCACTCGTTTCTTCAATGGGTCATTGCACTGTGATCTTCGCCTTTCGCCCGCTACGTGGTTACACTGTACCTCGACGTCCTTGGCAGAGCGACGGCGCCGGGATCCAGGTGGGGGACCCAGGACCCAGGCCGCGCTCAATGCCTGCTATCTGACTCTTTCTCCAACTGATTGTGTATCTTTTGGGATCGCTGATCGCTGAATGCGCTTAGCAACAGTAATGAGAGAGTGCTGGGTACATAGGCAACGCACACACACAAAACACAGTACTCACCATCAATGAACACCGGAACGTCTATCTCTTCAACTGTGGCAGTAGGCATTGCTCCACTCATATCCCGGCGGGATAGCGGCTCGTCCGCACCTGTCAGCTGGATACCAGCCATGGACGCCAGGGTCTGTGCCGGAGGCGGGATCGAAACCGGGACCGTTTGGTTCACCATTTCCGTAGTCGGTAAACCTGCCAGCGTTTGTCTGGGCGAAGGGGATATTGCAGTCCCAGTCGTGGTGTACGTTGCGATACGGGTTGGCGTCGCCGAATCTGTCGGATTTACTATAGACCTCGTTGCAGGCGAAGCCCGGTTGGCTGGCGGACGCGTTGGTACCGACCCTGGTAAAAAGGGTATTCTGATAATGCGAGTTCGAGGCGCTCTGGGCTCTGTCCCGCTGCAATTGCTGCAATTTCTGTTGTTGCTGCTGCTTGTGGGTACTTTGATCAGCAGAATTCTGGGATTTGGCTTGCTGTCTATCACGATCGGTATGGTGGTGATCGTCGAAATAGGCGAATCCCTCGTACGCTCCGTTGGCTTTGTTCTCCTCTGATAGCAGCAGCAGTTGGGCCACAAGTTTGTCGCGCCAGCCGTTGCCTCTGGATCCTGGGATGTTGTTGACGTGGACGTTGCCTTCTGCTCTGCCCGGGTTGTCGCCTCGTATGTTGTTGCCTGTCGTCGTGCTGGCTCCTGGATCGTCAATATTATATCTCTGGGATTTTCGGTATTCCTTCTCGTTGCTGTTGCTTGAGTTGGCGGTGCTGTATACACGATCTGGGTTGCTCGGGGAGCTGCTCTTGGGGGTGTTGTTGCAGATACTGCTGCTGGACTCTTGGTTGATTGGGTTGCTCTGGTTTGATTCGCTCTTGGGCCTGGCTTGGCTGGTATGGGCTTCGACGGAGAATGCCATTTTGAACGTGGCTGTTTTTTTCAGTAACAACAATCAAATCAATTCGTTCGTGGCAAAATATACGGTTTGGTGTACGGTTCGTTTTTCAGACGGTTTCGATTTTTGGGTACGACAGGATTTGCAAAAATTTAAACGATTTAAATCGCATTATTTTTGGCATTTCAGGATTTGGTGGATGAGTGGAGCAAGCGCAGTTAAGAGTTTTCGTAATATTTTGTTTTGATTTTTATGTGAAAGAAAATAGACAAAAGAAAAAAGATTTTGTTATTACACAGATCGACGACGGGCAGAGGCGCGATCCTGTTTCCTTGAGGATCGCGCCCCGATATATTCTTGTGGCTTGGGTGGGTTAGCAAATGTACAAGTTGTGGGGCTGTGGGCCTCAGTGACGCAGAATATAGCTAGTATATCCTGGCCACTGCTCCTTTAGACCATCGTGTTTTATTGGCGATTTTCAACAGCATGAATGCATTGTGTTTAGATGGTTGGTTAAGGTGTTGGTTGGTTGGTTGTGTGAGTTGTGATTTTTTCGTTAGGCCTTGTTTTCATTTTCTTTTTTTTTGTTAGTTTGCTTTTCCATTTTTTCGTTAGCCTTTTTTTAAACATTTTTTCCCATTTTCTTTCTGTGTATATTACAAATCTTTTTCTTTTGAGTGTTTTTTGTTAATTTTTTATGGAATTACTCCTTTTTTCGTTTGGAATTACTCCTTTTTTAGTTGGAATTGCTCCTTTTTTGAATGGAATTGCTCCTTTTTTGTTTGGAATTACTCCTTTTTTAATTGGAATTACTCCTTTTTTAATTGGAATTGCTCCTTTTTTAGTTGGAATTACTCCTTTTTTCATACAACATTAGGTACTTATGGTCTAGTGGTTCGTGCAAGGACTTGAGAGTCATGAGGCTTAATGCTAGTACACAGAAAAAGGATAAGGTATACTCACTTTTAATTGACCGTTAGAAAGAAACAATGAAATTGTTAGGGTCCCTCTAAACAAGCTCTAAAAAGAGTCGTCGACACAAGTTCCCCTTAAGCTGTAAGCAAAGAAACGGAGAACGCACATTACTTATAGGCCCCAACAGGTAAGGTGATCGTTGATATATCTATTGTTTTGACGATGATAAGGGGCCCGGGTACATAGATAGGATTTTCCTAAGTACTCTTCAGTTACAATTAAAGATAATTTGGTGTATTTTTCCGCCCTAAACAGCAAATGGTTCCTCATTCGATACGTAGTCGACTTTCAGATAAGAATCTCTCGGCCACACGCCTGCTGTGAAAAGCTTTTTTTTCGAATTTCACAAGAGGCGGGCAGGCAAAAACAACAACAATATGGCAACAGGTCTCTGTTTTGCCAGTGGAGGGAGATGGGCATGGATCGTTGGTGGGGGGTCTAATCAGCGATTGGCAACCACTTCACCCTGCTCTCCTCCCTTTTCCACTTAGATAATTAAGTCACACACGCTCGTGTCAGTACATTATCGCCGCTCAGATATCAAAAATCGTGCGGCCGGCAAAAACAACACCACAAAGCAATTAACGACCGATGGAAAAATCCCCCACGAAAAGCTCACGCAAGCTCTGCCTAATTACACACCAATAAATGTCACCCTATAATTTATAAAGAAAAAATCCCCTAGCGTAACTTTTTTTTTTAGTTTTTTTAGTTGGTTTTTTGTGTCTGTGTGACTTCGAGGGCAAGTGACGTCAACGGCTCACTTAAGCGATTCAATATGGCGGCGCAAAAATAACTAAAGAGCTTTCAGTGCAAGTCTCTAATATATAGTATATCTTATATACACTTGGCTAGCTGAATTTTATATTTTACAGGTACTGGACTGGCTTTTTAACTTACATAAATTCGGTGAATGTGTCTCCAAGTGCGGGGGTCTGGTTTTTTAAAAAACCCGACCGCAAAATTCACTTGTCTTTGCTGCTACGCAATTGGGTTGGGTGGCTCCTCGCACCACCACTGGGTATTTGGTTCACGTCCGGCCGTTGCTCGGATCTGCTAGATACTTTTTGCCACCGACAAAAGTGTCCAGTTGTTGCTCCACGGAGAACAACAACGATTTGCTAAACTATTTTGCACTGCGACTCCTTGCGACAGGAATCGAAAACTAGGGTTTAAATTTGATTTTATTTGCACTTCTTTTTATATATAGAGAACTGTTCACTTGGTGTGTGGATCTGTTCAGAGTGAGTCAACTGACTGCTAGAAGTATTCACTGCGTATTGAATCGAACGAACCGTCACTGGTACGCTACAAGCGGCAAACAGAATCGAAACTGTGGGCTTCACAGGCCTTCTGTGAATTTCATTCGTTGTGAAATTCAAAAAGCACCCGTAGAAACCGGTTTGCCATATTGAGATACTTTTTCTTATCGGTGTCGTAGCGAGTGCGAGTGTGTGCGTTGGAGCTTTGGGCTCACCGACAACACATGTTCGTATTGTGAGATACTTTTGAGCGAGAGCGGGACAAGGCTAAAATTTCCCCCCGGTGAAATTTCCCTGCCATCTGCGAGAGCCACAAGTTGAAGGCCTTTGTCCCGACAGCCGGCCGGTGTTTCTTTTAAAAGCAAAACATTGCCGAGATCCATTTGTATATATGTATGTATATTTATATGTATAATAAAGACATTGGCAAGTTATACAGTCACTAACCCGCTTTTAGACATTATTCTATTGGGAGCAATTGCGGTGTGTGTGTTTGGTTTGGAAACAAAGAAAATCTCGGCAGCACAGAGACTTGTCAACTGACCTAGCACAAAGTTATAGACAAGATTTTTATAATTTGTAAGCTGGGATAAGCGTAATTACTGCCTAAAGATACATTTTAGAAAACTAACTGACTGTAATAAATATTAAATAATCTCATTAAATACTTGGTTTTAAATTTTAAATAATATCATAAACATTTTTATTACAAAAAATAAAATAAAAACAGCAACTGTGGATGCACTTAAAAGGTGCAAATATTTGTTTATGAATGTTTTGTTTTCTTTGATGGAAATTCCAATACATTAGGCAAGGGGTGGTTAATTCAGGAGTTACTTTTGACTTCTTAGCGTTGTGAAATTCAATTTCAACCCCAAATTTACTCTTTTTTTTGAAGACATCAGAGGCCTGATTCTGAAGTTCACAAGTCAAGATACGTTGAGGGAAATTTATTCATATTGTCTTGCTCTTTTCTTTCTGAAAGCTGCCTACCCATACATTTCAGTTTGAAAAGCTTATATTAAATTGGTATTAGTAACATTCGTTGGTGTGCGCAGATAAAAGCTATTTGAAAAGCTTGCATCTGTTCGCAAAACCTACAAATATAAGTATCTCAGAGCTTTGCCTGATAATTAAAGAAATCCATGAGTCACGCTGAAACTCAGAAATCACCGAAGCACAAAATGAGCTCTGAGCGGTTTGCAAAACAAAAACAAAAAACTGTCATCATGTGATATTTGTAATGGGGCCCCCCGATCTGCAGACAAGTACTTGGCGTGGGGCTTTCATACTATTTTGGCCACGTACAAAAGCTTTATACACCATTATTAGGCGGAATTCGTGGAAATTTTCCCCAGAAAGCAAACGCACACGCTGACTTTCAAATGCTAATCTTTTGGCACCGAGCACCGACTGGCACGAGATCTTGGAATCGAAGACGAGCCCCAACCAACACAATGGTTGGCAAATTACCAAAAAATAAATGGCCAAAACAACAGGCAAACAAGAAGGTTGCCTTTTCGGCTTTTTCACGATGACCGTGCGATTTTCACTCCCCAAGGGACTGGCCAAAGATAGTGCTGTTCATGTACTTGGATTATTATTATTATTGGCGCACAATGCCTCTTCCTTGTTCGATTTTACTATCTTATCTATCATTTTTTGCTATCAATTTGGCTTATCTGTAGTGTGAACTTACGCATGGTGGCTGCCAAAATATGACTAAGTTTCAAGAAATTTAATAATGATCAAAATGTGTTTGGTGTTGCCAAATTTGGAAAGTTTTTTAAGCCAGTTTGGTGTGCTCATTTTTGAAGGCTGTCTATATTTTTGGAGTGTTTAAAATTGAGGTTAGCTGAATTAAAATGCCGAAAACGTAGGATATTAGGTGTAAATTGGGGAAGGGCAATGACTGATGAAGGGAAATAATTTACAAGACAAGTGGAATGCCCTAAACTCAATTAATTGGGGTAGGTACTACTTTTTAAAATATTTTTCTGTGAATTTTGTAAAAGCATTATTGAAGTATCTTTAAGTTTATTTAAGATAAATTCTTCTGACATATTTGCCAGTTCCTCTAGAATAACCCTTTATGTTCTTGCTTATAATAATCCTTTTCAGCAGTAGCTACAAAATCTCTTATAAAATCGAAATACCCCATTGGAAATACTGTCTAAGGGCAGGCCCTATCAGCTTGTAAGTTTACTAAAGCCCTTAGCTGGGTGGGCTCGTCTATATAGCCCCCCTGTAAGTAGTGCCAATGTCAATGACACGGCAAGTAGCAGCAACATTTGTTGCAGCAACATTTGTTGTCTTGTTTACGAAAATGTTGCTAATGGATAGATGCATACTGAATGGATATAGTAAATGTATCTTTTGGCTTACCCTCCATCATGTTGCTGCCTTGGTAAGCAGGTTCCAATGATGACGACACGAATATGTTGCTCGGGTTGTGTTTCCTTATTTCCGCTGGATTAACTTAATTTTTTCGTGCCTCAAAAACGAATAATAGTGGCGCGGCGGCGAATGCAGTCCCGCTTCTTCCGTAGAAACTTGGAGCGCTTTAGGACCTTGGTGGCGAGGCTCGTACCCGTACCGGTGCCGATCTTGAGGGTAGTGACGTGGTTGTTGCAATAATACTTGTTATTATGCCAGCCGCGCATACGCATACACATAAAGTTGTTGAGCATGGGAACCTGCTGCTGCGAATGTTGCACACACATGAAGACAACGACAGGCGAATGTTGCATGACGTTGTTGCTCGACTCGGAGAGAGATTTTCCGCCTTTCCTCGCTGGTGATGTCGCTGTTGTACTCGTAGGACCAACCGCGGACACAGCGAACATAATATTCGGGCAAAGAGCCTATTGATGGATTTTCACACACAGATGGCTAACTTTAAGCGATCGGTTAGGTTAATGTTCTTGTCAAGTGTTGGTTCACACGCGGCGTTATCTTTATAGCATCTAGATACAACTCTTATCTCAGATACTATATGTAAAGTACAAATATGGAAATATGTTTGCTTTTTTCTGGGGATTTATTGCGTCTCTCGCAAATGTTTTTTTCAGGCAAACCTCGATTAATCGCTCTGAACTTTGCACTTGTTGTTGGGTTTATCTTTGAAATTTCCACACAAAAAGATAGATTTATTATTGTTCTATGAATAAGAAGTCGTTGTAACGGAATTCAGCTGATGATGCCATTAAGAATCGCTCGGTTTGGGTTTATTAAACTCGAATCGAAAATAAATTTCACAAATTCCACGATGATTTGCACACACGAAAGCTCTGGCTGCCTTGACTCACTGAAAATGTTGTTCTGTTCGCGACGACTGAAGTATTGTTACTAACTGACGGCAAAGCTGCGAGCGCTGGACGATTGCCGCCTGTCGGGGCTGATATAAAAACTTTGCTGACGTCGTTGGTCGTCAGCGTCTCCACCACCGCCCTGTCTATATACCCTTCCCTTTATCCATGCTCTCTCTCTCTCTCGGCTGCTGTGTCTATGTCTATTTCTATGGACGTGCCCCCAAAAACATTTCCACGTCTTGCTCGTGATGCCGAGAAACGGCCACATCGACAGACCTAATCTTCTTTTGAGGTTAGTCAGGGGGTTTAAGGCCAAACTGGTTTAAGGAAGTTTAGAGTAGTTATCACAGGTGTAGAAAGTATTAATCAATTTATTGTTTGTTTTGACAGTTTAGCATCAACTAATTTGTCAGTTGTACAATAAATTGAACTAAATTTTGCCATAAATAAAAATGAACTTTTACTGTACTTTTTTATGACCTATTGTAAAACTATAAAATTATTTACAGTGTATTTCAGATAAAGTGTAAGTTTTATACTTGTGAGTAATACATTTCTCTGCAGTGAGTAATATTTTTCTTAAGAAATTGGAATTTATTTATTAATCTATCTTCATACTGTAGAATAATTTTTCTTAACTTCAGTTCACTCTGACTACGCAATATCATAAATCTAGTGTGAAAATCAAACCAGCTATAATCATGACCCTATAATGCCGTTGGCCTATGCCATTTGGTATGAAAATGGCAAAGATAACATTTTGGCGACACTGTTCCTTATCAGGGGCACAGCCGAAAGATACAGATAAGGCAGCTAAAAGAGATTAAAAATAGCTTTCTCTATGTCTAGATAATATACAAATGTCGGCATAATGTTTGTTAATTACCACAGAAACGTATAATAAGCTGCACAAAAGTAGATAAAACACCAACTTTGTTTCAGGAAATATTTCGAAAATATCTATCTATCTATCTATCTATCTATCTATCTATCTATCTATCTATCTATCTATCTATCTATCTATCTATCTATATATCTATCTATATATCTATCTATCTATCTTCCCAGCTGTCGCCTATGCCTGCTCAAAATTGTGGTAGGGCAACTTGCTTGGCTGCTTGCAACAACAATCTCCCCTGAATGAAAATATATATACTTGTATATATTCGCACTCTTTCGCTCTCTATGGGAGTGAATCAAACTGGTTGCCACTCTTAGTCTCTTTCACTCCTTTGTGTGTGGGTCAAATGGCTGATGCAAGACTTGACACGCATTGCAACAGCTGTTTGGTCCCAGCTGATAGCTGGTGGCATGTTGCCAAAATCAGAGGAAATCTCTCTCTGCAACATGTTGCTAACACATGCGCATCTTGTGCTGCGGAAAACTCAAACGTTATGTTGTTAAACATTTCAATGGAAAGTTCTGGCACGATTTTTCTTTCCCCCTTTTGAGCCGGCCAAGAAGGGGTGGCTAAGAGAACATGGCAACGAGGCGCTAAAATTAGCCGGCACATGATTCACTTTTGGGGGGTGTTGACCAACTTACATAACCCACTGGGTTGACAAAGCTTGTTGGAGGAAAATGTGGTTTGGGCCATATAATGGTACATAAAAGAGGCTCAAAAGTGTACATAATTTTTTCAAGAATTTAATGAGAAATAAATTTGATCAAAGGAGCATGAATAAATATTCGTTATTAAATTTTTCTTTTAAGGTTTTAGAGGTACTCTGAATTAAAATAAAAATCTTGGTTATAAGACCTCAATCCAAAACGATTTAGATTTTTATAAATTAATATTGAATTATTTATTGAAGTATTTGTTTTTCTATATTATTTTTCTTTAACTTATAATATTTTTTACTTTTTTCGAACGTTTCTTATATTACTTACTAAGTATTGTCCATTTTCCTGAAGAGGTTTCCAGAGGAGGTTTAGTACTGGTCGCAGTTCGTTTGGAATTGAAAGAAGAATGTATACGTTTAAGAGTTTGTATACAACATTTTTAATACTCATCATATTTGTAATTTTCTCAAAGTGCAAACTACACAAACTGATGTATGTACATTTATATGTATGCATATATTTTTGCAAATATAGCATCGCACTTTGGGATTGGCGCAAAAGTAACGAACCCTGACGTGGTTCCAATTGGGCTTTGGGCCTGTTTTTATCATTTCTGTGTGTCATGATAAAATCTGAAAAACACCAACGTGTTGATTAACTAATGGCCGGTGTCCATCTTGTTTAAATATATAGACAGAAATTGGTTTAAATGGACATACATATGTACATGTATAAAATGGTAGTCACGAAAATATAGGTCGTGGAAGAGCTGGTGCCTTATAATTTTCACACAAAGAGTGAATCAAAAAAATATACAGATTTTTACGGGGATACTAAGTGAAAGAATTTAAAATTAGCAGAGAAAGAATGTGATATTTTTGAATATATATATAAGTGAAAAGTGTATACTGGATATAGTTATAAAATTTATGAATAAAATCTGTGAAGCTCATATGTAATCTTTGAAAATTATTATTCATGTTTTAATTTTACAAGTAATATATGCCAAATATTGTTTATAGTAAATATAGAACGTTTCTTACTTTAAGAAATTACATTTTTCTTGACTTTTATTGCCTAAGAAAATACAAATAAAATATTTAAAAATTTTAAATACAAAAATTTTTTAAATAAAGAAATAATATTAAAAATATTTACCTATTTAAAATTTAAATATTCCTTCACTGGTTTACCTCAACGAATGCCCACTGTAGTCAAACCGCCTCCGAATGAAAGTCGGGCCATGGTAAATGTACCTAGGGAGGCTCTCCCGCTGAGCTCTTGATGGGTTAGAGAGATTAAAACTGGAACTGGAATTGAATAAGACTTGAGCTGAGCCGGAGAAATGAGAGACTGGGTCGGTCTGTCTGCGATTACTTGAAAAGTATCGGACTCTCTTGAACCAGGCTTCAGTGTGGTGACGACGTTCAGTGGCTTGCCTTCTACCCTAGGGCAAATCCTAGTTCATTTCTTTTTTGGATCATTAACTAAATATATTTTCCATGCAGTTGCTGCGGTGGCTATGGCCACTATTCCTGGTGATTGGAGGTGGCTCCTCTGCCCCCCAGAATGTGCTGCTTCTTCTGGCCGACGATGCCGGCTTCGAGTCGGGAGCGTACCTCAATAAATTCTGTCAGACGCCCAATCTGGATGCTCTGGCCAAGCGGGGACTGGTCTTCAACAACGCCTTCACCTCGGTGAGCAGCTGTAGTCCCAGTCGGGCACAATTGCTCACCGGCCAGGCCAGTCACTCTAGTGGAATGTACGGACTCCATAATGGCGAGCACAACTTCAATGTGCTGCCGGAGACGAGTTCGCTGTCCAATCTGCTGCGGGATCAAAGTGGTGGTCGGATCTTGAGTGGCATTATTGGCAAGAAACATGTGGGAGCAGCAGCCAACTTCCGATTTGATTTCGAGCAAACCGAAGAGCAGCACTCGATCAACCAGATCGGTAGGAATATCACCCGGATGAAGGAGTATGCGCACCAGTTCTTGAAGCAGGCCAAGGATGAGAAGAAGCCCTTCTTTTTGATGGTAGCCTTCCATGACCCACATCGTTGTGGTCACATTACACCCCAGTTTGGTGAATTCTGCGAGCGCTGGGGTAGCGGTGAGGAGGGAATGGGCAGCATTCCCGACTGGCGACCCATCTACTACGACTGGCGTAATCTGGAGGTGCCCCCTTGGCTGCCGGATACGGATGTGGTTCGTCAGGAGCTGGCTGCTCAGTACATGACCATTTCCCGGTTGGATCAGGGTGTGGGCTTGATGGTCCGGGAGCTGGAACAGGCTGGTTTGGCGGAGGATACCCTTGTGATCTACACCTCTGACAATGGCCCACCTTTTCCGGGTGGCAGAACGAATCTCTACGAGCATGGTATTCGCTCACCGCTGATCGTCCGCTCGCCCAAAACGGAGGATCGCCATCATGAGACCACCGCTGCCATGGTCAGTCTCCTGGACATATACCCCACTGTCTTGGATGCTCTGGAGATACCCAAGCCCAATGACACAAAGATTGCTGGAAAGTCTATTTTTCCCGTGCTGAAAGAGGAACCTGCCATCAAGGAGAGCGATTCCGTGTTTGGCAGCCACAACTTGCACGAAGTAACCATGTCCTATCCCATGAGGATGGTGAGGAATAGACGCTACAAGCTCATACACAACCTTAACTTTTGGGCGGACTTCCCCATTGACCAGGACTTTTACACCTCGCCCACCTTCCAGCAGATACTGAATGCCACCATAACCAAGCAACCGCTACCTTGGTATCGATCTCTGTTGCAATACTACCAGCGACCCGAGTGGGAGCTGTTTGACATCAAGGCGGATCCGCTGGAGCGAGTAAATCTGGCCGAGAAGCCCAAGTATAGTGGCACTCTTAAGCAGCTTAAGCAGCAGCTCTTCGACTGGCAGGTGGCCACCAAGGATCCGTGGCGTTGTGCCCCCCATGCCGTGCTTCAGGAACAGGGCGTCTTCAAGGAGCAACCAGTTTGCCTGACCCTGGGACACGAGGCTCTGCAGAGGCCCAATCGTAGGATCCTCGGTCAGTACGAGGAGTATGAGATTGCCTAGACCTCCTATAATACCCTACAAACGTATAACCTAAGTATTCTGTAGATAGTGGTGCCAGTCTTATCGCATCGACAATAAAAAAACAATCAAAAGTGCTGATAACACAAACATTTTACTGTTTTTCACTTCCAAAGTGGTTACAATTTTTGCCAGGAAAATAGGTATTGTAAAAGTAAACTAATTAATAAACAACTAACTATTAACTAACTAAACAATTATTATAGTTTATCTGAAATCCCATAATATCATTGCTAAATAAAATACATTTAGGTACAAATGTTTATCAAAATTGCACACAAATTATAAACAATTTTTCTCTTTACCAAGAATTAAGAGAAAACATTTAGGAAAAGCCTTGAAAGCATAGAATTTAAAATAAACTCTTTTTGCCATAATTTTCCAATTCAATTACCTTTTTAAAGAACTACCTCTTGGCGCCGGTTGCCCTTGTTATTTCGTTCACCAAGTGGCCCCCACAGCACTCGTCACGCATCTATGTTAGTTCTCGGAAAAGGGCAAATTTTTCAGCCAGCTTCCGAGAGGTTGCATCAGTCCCAGACTGGCAAACACTCGTATCCTGACGGCATGACCTCAGCCACTTTAGGGTGGCGTCGGGAGATTCACGGGGTGGATGCGTCACGTTTCAATGTCATGCCCATTGGGGAGCCTTGGGGATGCAGGGGCTGGAGGATGTGGAGGCTGTTGCTGCTGCTGCCGCTGCTCTTGCCTTGGGGGTGGCTCGTACTCGTGTGTCTGTGTGGAAAATCGAAAATTTCAATGCTGCTCGGGTTTATTGGTGGCGCCGCTGTTATCCACCCATCCCCCCTCATGACCCTGCAGCATCCGAGATCAGAGTCAGTGTTACACAACAGGCACAGACCGAATGGCTGGGCCAAGGCTGTTAAAGGGGCGGCAACTGGGCGGAACGGACGTGCTTTAAGGTCAGCTCGTAAATATCAAAGAGTATAAAAGGAAACACACACAGGCTGGTTTGGCTCTTTTTCTCATTTATGACTTTGAACGAAAGACACATTAAAAATTAAATTTTATTAATTTTGGTTTGCATAAATTAGGTCATCAGTTTGTTTTTAGCGTAATTATTATATAGTTTATAATGTATATTATTTAAGGTTCCGCCCACACAAATGCATAATTACAATTATTATTGTTTACACTTCTTCGGCCCTCGTCACTGCGTCGATATTGTCCAGATAAGTCCGATGCTGAGGGTCCCCAGATGGGGCCCCTCTGGAAATGTTCGGTCTGGCCGGGGGCAAATGTTTCATCTTCGCTCTCAAATATAATTCTGTTAAATTGTTTTCGTCGCCTTTTCGGCTTTTAACTAATTTATTATCAACACAAGTTGCATGGATTTCAATTCAATTTCGCTTTCTGTATATATCTGTGTATATATTACTTTTATACGGCCCTGTTCCCGCTGACATTCCAATCTAAATTGGGGGAATCGGAATTTGTAGGAAAGATCTTTTTGGTTTTTGCAATAATTTTCAAATGTTTTTCTTATTTAAAATCGGAGTATTTAAATTGAATTAACGATTTAGATAATTATCAATGGAAACGCTTTTATGATGAATACCGATTTCCACATCATTTGATCGGAATCGAAAACGGGAACATCGGTGATATATGCTTGTTTCGTTTATATGCCAACATGAGACTATTTTAATATTTTTATAGCATTTCTCGTCTGTTTGTTTATTTCGTTTTTGTTTTTCTCGGGTTCCTCTTTAAATACATAAATATTTGATCTAGAGTTGCGGTTAGTAAACGCTTTAGTTAGTAGGTTTTTGTAAGTGTTGTTGCTATGCTTCTTCGATTGACTTGACTGGTTTCGCTTACGTTTACGTTTATTATTATCAACATTTTGTCTGGAAATCGTTTAACTAGAGTTATGCTGCTTGTTGGTATTGTTTAGGAGGATTCTGTTACATCATTACTTTGCTTTCATATACTTTAATATTGGTTTCGTATTTACTTCATTATGTTGCTGCTCAGTATAATTTATAATAAATACATAATAATAAATATACATGTAGATAATACGCTTAATAAATATATATATATTTATATATATTTGATTTCATTTAATATATAGTTTTGTTATGTATATAATTAACAAAAAAAACAACACACATAAAAAGGAGCAAAAAGTAGGATAAAAATTTCTCGCTTGTCTCCATCATTTTTTGAATTAGAATTTCCGAAGTATTCTTTACAATTTTACAACGAACATCGAGAGAACGTTAGAATAGAGTGTGGGGAGTATTGTTTTCGCACAAATATATATACGTAGGTAGAGTAGGTATAGGTATTCTTGGGTATACAATAAATATATATTTATATGCGGGGCGTATGATGTGGATAGGTAGCATAATAGCCTTATTTGCCAAGACAATATAAGCTGCAAGATGCGTAGTGCCTTCATTCTACCCTTCTACCCCGTTACGCATCTTGAACATTATATAGCCTTTCAAGGGACTCAGCTTAGAGAGCGCTTTGGTGTAGGTAAGGTAAGTTGGCTTAAATTACAACAATGAGACCGGAAGGAACAACATAGGGGCATAATAAGATCGAAAGAAAGAGACCCGTGATCGATAAGTTAAAGTATGGGTAGTTAGTTAATTGGCTAAGTGGTTGCTTTGCTTTCGACCAGCTGTTCTAATACGTGTGCTAATAGAACGGCGGCTGATCTATTGTGTGGAGTTAGTTAGCACTAAGACGCTGCTGCTGCTGCTGCTTCTGTTTGAGAATCAAAATTGAAAACGCAAGGAAGTCGCTTATGGGGCGCGTAACATTTCTCGTAAATTTAGTTAGTTATACATACGTATAGTACATTAATTTAACTCGTAATTTAATTTGTTAATTATTGTGTTGCCAACTGGTAAAATTTGTCGCACATAAAATTTAGTTAGCTTGCTGTATGGCCACCAAGAATATTTTAGCCGCAACGTGCTGCTCTGTGTGCTAGCTAAGCCGTAATTCGTAATATCGTAATCCGTAATCCGTAGTAACCCGCTCTTCTAATTCAACTATTTGTATATATATATACTATATATATATATATGCTTGCATGTGCGCCGCTGCTGCGCCTCTGATGGCGGCGAAACCAACATTATTGTTCTCCAATCCCTTCCGCGATCTCTACGTACGTTTTCAGCTCAGTTTTGATAGGATATGGGAGGATAATTGGGATGGGAGTAGCGGTAGCGGTTGGGAGACAGGATCCTACGCTTTAGTTGCCATTGGGCAGCGGTACCTGCACCTGGACGTAGGATTGCGGGAAGTAGCCGGTGCGGCCATTCACCGCTCCCTCGTACCAGTTATCGTCGACGCGATTCAACAGGGTTATGATGTCGTTCTCCTTGAAGCCCAGCTCCCCGGGATTCTCCGGCTCGAAATCGTAGAGGGCCTGGCAGCAGGGCTGCTGCTGGCGCTGCGGCGTTACGGCCATCGACTTGGCGGGCGAGCGCATCGGCGAGGGCAACGGCGAGGCGCTCGAACTAATGTGAGACGGCGTGCCATCTTCGTTGAGGCCGCCGCCACCGCCGTCCAAGTTCAGATCGAGCAGCGTCTTGGGCACAAACTCATTGCGTGGCCGGCTCTCCGCCTCGGAGCGCTTCTCCTGCAGCGTCTCCTGCAGGCCGCGTAGTACGTCGGCGCACTGCGAGTGAAAGTCGTAGAGTGCCTCGGCGAAGGTGACCAGCTGGGACACGTGCTCGGTGTCGTTCTCGAGCAGATTGAACATGCCAACCTGAGCCAGCTGGAGCGATTCACCAAACTTGTCCTCGGCACCCCGAATCTCATCGTCCTTGGCCTGCCGGCGACGCTTGCAGTCAAAGTCCAGCCGCCGGCCCTGCAGCTTCTTGCGATGGTGCATTACCTCCTTGAGGTCTTTGGTCTGCATATGGTGCAGTGGCTCCAAAAAGTTCTGCTTGATGTTGTCGTCCAGCGAATACTTGACGTCGGCCATCTGTTTCAGCGCCTCGCCGAATTCGACGAGCGCCTGCGCGAACACGCTGTTGTCCTCGCCGAGCTTCTTCCCATAAGTCAGCATGCATTCCGCGAGCAGCCCCTCCGGCTGCGGGTACGTGTTGGACTTGGCCTGACCCGACAGCTTCGAGATGCCCTTCACGGCGGCCATCTTGGCCCGCGCCGTGGGATTCGGTTGCAGGAACTCCTTCGTCTTCAGCTGCAGCTCCTCAACCAGCTCCACGGTGACGTCCGTCTTGCGTTCCATCTCCATGAAGTCCATGTCCAGCTTGGTGCCCTCGGCGCCACCCATCTTCTCGGTCATGTACTGGTTGGCCTTGTTGATCTGCTTCTTTAGTCCGGCGAAAGCCATGGTGCTGCTGCTGGTTTTTCCTGCTCGCCGGGGGGATGTGGTGTGGAGGTGGTGTTGCAATCACTGGCTTTCCAGTGGGGGCCAAAGACGCGGTGGCTGTGAACGGGTTGGTTGGGTTAGTCGAGACTCGAGTTTTGATTTCGTTTTCGATTTCGGATTCGCCTCAATGTCAATATCGCTGGCTGGCTGCGTTGTTGCTATTTTTAACGTTTGGAAGACTTACGCGTCGTGCACTTTTCCTCTCCTCGCTTTTCCTCCTGCTGCGCTGCCGCTGCCGCTGCTGGCGTCTCTGCTGCTGAGCTGCGCGGGTGGTGCTGCTACCTTGTGGTACCTTTTCGTTTGGGTATTCCCTTCTTCTCCCCCGCTTTTGCTGGGTGGCTCTTCTGCGCCGCGATGCCTTCGTGGAAGCTGTGGCGCAAATGCTGATTAGAGTACGGGAACGACTATTAATTTCGAGTTCTACTTCTCCGCTGGCACTTTCACTCGCTTCGCTTGCTCGGCACGTTCTGCCCGCTGCTTTCTTCGGATTCGATTTTTTTCCAGAACGTAACGGACCGCGGAACCTTGGGGCTGCGTAATGTTTGAAGGACCGTGTGTGTGGTGTGTCGTCGCTTCGTTACTACTACTACACGTCGTGCGCGCGGCGGGGGCGGGGGCGTTTTTGGGGTCGCGTTTTTCCTCCAAAAATCAATATCTCGGTTGGGTACAACAATTTCAGTGTGACCGTGGTGCGAAGAAAGTGGGAATTTCTCCTAAAACATCCACACCGGATATTCGAACCACACCTGATACTCGAACCACATCTGAATATAAACGAATACTTTTACGTCCGTTAAATTCAAATATGAGCGGACCTATAGATGCAAAGATTAATACTGTTAATTCTTGATATTTTTTTCCAGTTTGACGCTTAAATCCTTAAAACATTTTCCTGAAGAACGCTTAAGACTCAGTAATCTGAATTATTTAACATTTATTAAGTAAAGTATAAAGTATTTTTCAACATTTTTTGCAAGTCAATATATTGCAAAATTTCCGAGATATAGGGAGCCGAAGTACTACACGGAAAAATAAGGTACTGTCATGGTCAACACGATTCTGGGGAACTGGCAAGGTCGATTTCCACAATCTAAATACAGTTATGATCTGGATAAATGCGGATACGGAATAGACTAGGATATTTTGAAAATATTGAAATATAAGAATTTGGCTCTACTTTGATTTTTTTTTTTTTTGAAAAACGAATATTTTTTGTGTTCATTTTGTAGTGTAAAAACAAAACTCCTTGACCTATCTAAAAGTTCCTAGTTTATGCAATGTCTGCATATATTCTGAACACATTCTGAAAATTTCAGGACAATCGGTTAAGTCGTTTTTAAGAAATCGTTCAACAGTTGGAAAAACATGGTTTCGAGAAAAACGCAAAAGAAATAATCATTGCGGCAGTAAACTGCTCTGAAGAGCATGTTTTTTCAGTACGACATTGGATATCGAATAATCCTTTTAAGCACTTAATGTAAATAGTTAAGGAAGAATTTTTTTGCATAAATAATTTTCTATTTTTTGAAACCGTCACATGACCTCTTAAGAGTGTTGCATTCAAATATATCTAGATAATTAAAGTTTTCTGTTTACTTCCATAAAATCGCCTGTAGTTATAGTTTTATAATCTTATTATGATAAAAATATACCAACACTCACCGGAAACTATTAAAAACATACCCTAAAAACAAGACAAGTCCACGCTGACTCAAACTGGATTTCAAAAATAATTGTCATTTTGTGCAATTATGCATCAGCATTCCACAGTCTTTGCCAAATGGGTAATTAAGCTTATCTGACCAAAAGGTGCTACCGATTTTCAACCTGAAAGTGCTAGATAAACCTCCAGGGATTGTAAAAAGCCACGACGTCACAGCATGAGGCAGCAACTTTTCGACATTCTCCCAACACACTCTTTATTTTATTTTATTTAATTTTATCTCTGCAGATAACCCCCGAAGGCGACTTGGCAGCAGCGGCGAACAAATAACAATGTAAATCAGTTCAATCGCACGGCAGAAAGATATAGTTGAGATATAATCGGGGAGATAGCAAAGTCTCGGCCTGTTTGCCATGGCGTATAAAAGCCCCGCACCGCAGTGGAGCTGGCAATTAGTCTCGACGAAACCACAACGACTGAGAATCCACAAAGAACTCAGAAAAAAATAAAACAGAAACATGAAATTCGCAATTGTTCTATTGGCCGCCAGCATTGCCTGTGCCAGTGCCCAGGTGAGGATTATCCACTCTCTCTCGCTCTTCCTCTCTGTCGCAAGGATTATTTTGTTACGAGTTTTCTTCCATTTTATTTTCAAGTATCCACCTGCTGCTCCTGCTGGAAATCCCCTCACCGGAAATCCCTTTGCCGCTGCTAATCCCTATGCCGCTGCCTTCAATCCCTTCCTGAATGGAATTTTCGGTGGTGCCGGCACTGGAGCTGCCGCTGGAGTTGCCGCTCCCGTTGGACCCTCGGCTCCGTTTGGAGGCGCCTCCATTTCCAGCTTCTTCCAATCGATTGTCCTGCAGCGCGAGGCCGAGCGCCTGCTGTCCCAGCCTGGCTTCCCGGCCGATCTGGCCGAGCGCGTCCAGGATGTGGTGGCCAACTCCGAGGAGGCCATCAGCAGCTGCAACAACGCCACCTTGCCCTGGCTCCAGATCCGCTGTGTGAAGCCCCTGCTGACCGCGTCCAAGAACCAGTTGAAGGCCATCGATGATGAGTGGCAGGCGCGCCTCTCCGCCGCCTCCAGCACAGTGGCTCCTGCCTAAAAAACACTGGCAGGACTCGATTCTTTCTTCCTGCTCTCAGCTCCCTTATTTAATAACCCTTAATCCTTAGCAATCGACCAACATAGATGCAATAAAATTTAAATAAGCTCAATGCAGGAATTCTTGAAGCTTATACTTTAGAGGGGAAAGGGGTGAGTGGTGGCTCTTTGGCAGAACTCTTAGGTCCTGACCTAGGCCGCGCTTTGATGTGGCCGGCCGGCTGGGCTCTGCATTCCGGCGCTTTATTAAATTTCCCATCGGGAATTACGAACTTTAGCGTTGGCTCCTTGCCTCCTTGACGCTTTTTGGAAGGCAAATACTTGGCTGCTCACGTCAGCAAAATTTACCAGCTAGAATTTAGTCCTGCCGGGGAACGTGAACCATCAAATGGGAATGCTGGTATCCTGGCGAAAAGAGAAAGGTGTTCTCAATTAGAACACAAAAATTAGAGAACTAATCTTGATTAAGCGTTTTAATAAACGTTTAAAAATGTCTAAGAAGCAGAAGTTAAGGTCAGGACTTAAGAGTTAAAGTCCTTCAAAGTACTCCGATTCAAAATACCTATATTTCCATAGTTTTAAATGGGCCAACAGGCCAACACTGTCACGCACACTTGAGCGTGACCCAGACCATCGCTGGAACTTGACGCATTTTGGCCAAATATTTGAACAGGGTTTCCCCCTCCTTTGGCAGTCGTTAGCCTTGCCCTCCCCTTCCCTCCTAGTCTCCTTTGTGACGGGTTATGACAGCTCTTTTATGCATTTATCAATTGACGCTGCCAAATTGTTTCCAGTGCATGATTTGGCTCTCAATTGGACCTCATTTTGGGGGCCAGGAGTTCAGCTCGCTTGCATTGAGCTGAGTTGCAGCGGCAAATGTTGATTTATGTGCCAATGCAGCCTCAATTATCCTGGCATGTCCTTCGATTCCATTCGCTTCGATATGGCATTTGCATATGAATTCGAGGAGGTCCCAGGACTTGGCTTGGCTTAACGACCTTAAGCCCCAGGAAGGATGAATTTAAATTCAAATTCAACTTGAAATGTGTAATTAAATGTAAATTTCCAAACACCGGCACACACAACACACCCCTTGGAATAGGGGAGTGCAAAGTTTGAGCCACTTAATTGAAATATTTCAAGATTGAAACTTGGCTACGGCCGTTGTCATTACAACAACGGCGGATGAGCAGCAGCCGCTGTTGCCGCAACTTGGCAAAGTTTCGTGTAGTGTTAGCCGCGAACTCCTCGAGCAGCCCACTTGCCATCCCCCCCCAAACTGAAACCTAAGCTCTGTTTTGGTAATGCAAAAGTTGCGGCATTTGAAATTCACGCAACAGCAGCAAAAAATGGTAATTCCAGGCACAAAATAAAATCCAGCCGCATTCGGGGCTGCCCAACTAAATATATATATGCCAAAATTGGTTAGCAAAAACAAAAAGCGGGGGGTTGACACACACACACTGGTAGGACACTCTTTTAAAAGTGCATGTATGTAAATTTGTTTTGGGTTTGCGGCTTTTGTTTTGATGCAAAAGTTGGACGCAGCCCCCAAAGTAGGCAACGAAATTTCTGCGGCTTTTGGCCTCTGTCAGAGTTCGTTAGTTCACCATAATGTTGGGGGGGTTGGAAAATTAGTAAATCTCTTAAATCTCTCCTCGACCAATGTCCGAATTTAGTGATCCCTGGCTTTAATGGTGTTTAGCCGCTCGCTGTTTGCTTTTGGCACCTGCTACTGCCACTTCCGTTGGCCGCTGATAAAGCCATCTAATTATACAAAGTTATCCCAAGAGTTATGAGCATATACAACATAATGGGGTTGAGGCTATCTAGATATCAAAGACACAGATAAGGGGTACAGTAAACCCTATCAAGAAACAAACAAAAGATAAATATACAGCTGTGTTCACGGAAATAGCAGTGCCCAACGACCTGCACGTTTAAGATCGGAAAATCCTGTTACAAACACTATTTTCATAAATTTTTTTTTCATAAAAGCTTAGTATATTTAATTATTAACAATACCACAATCATTTAATTTAGGTAACATAAACCTTTTAGAAGATATAGCTAATAACAACAAAAAAGGTCTATATTATGCCGATCATTGAAATAGCAGTGAAAAACTAAAATTCTTCATAAATTTAAAAATTTCGTATAAGAAACCTATTTCTTCTTAAATTCCAATTGACTATGATCTAATATTTTGTTAAATAGCCTTTAGAAGCTATCATAGCCTCATACCTGGGTGGCATGGAGTCCACCAAGTCTTAGCAATGCTTGAGGGGAATATGGCCTCATTCCTCCTGCACAAATTGCCAAAGCTGCATCTTAGAAGTCGGAAACTTCTTTAATAAGTAGCCCTTGATGTCCCCCATAAGTTTTCGATCGGATTTATATCCGGGGACTGTGCAGGCCATGGCATTGCATCCACTTTTTCATTAAGAACCCACTCCTTGGCTACCTTGATGGTATGATTAGGGTCACTATACTGCTGAAATGTTCAAATTAATGGCATATTTTCCTCAGGATACGGCTGCAAGACAGTTTTTAATATTTAGACGTAAACATAATGGTCTTTGATCCCACCGATCATATTTACGGGACCTAAAACGTTGTATGAAAAGTATACCCATACCATGATTTTTAGGCCACCGTGTTTTACTGTCTTCAGCGTATGGTTTGGGGGGTACTATCTATTTGGGGGTCGACGGACATATTGTCTTGTCCTATTCCACCAAATAAAACCAGTTTGGAGTCATTTGTCCAAAGGATATTACGCCATTTGAAAAGTGGCAGTTCAAGGGGCTATTCGCGAACTCCAATCTGGCCTTGATATGCCTATAACCAAGCAGTGACATTTTCCATGGACTTCGCGAATCTAAAATTTATTCAATAAGTCCCCGGCGAATGGTCCCATGACTGATTCCCATGCCAATTCCCGCTCATATATCCCTAGAGGATGCAAAAGGACGAGCTTTGCTGAAGCGAAGTACGCGTCGAGCCTGTACAATTGGGGTTTTGCGAATCGTACCCCGTTTTTTTTGGGTTCGGTTCATATTTTATGACTTATAAACTATTTTAAAAGAACAATTTCAAAGATTTGGAGACTCTTTACATGTTTTCCCCTTCTTTCTAGGCTAAATTATCTGATATCTTTCTCTCATGGAGCAGTGAGGTCCTGCGCCCACTAAAATAATTTTTTTTGCGTTGTAAAGGTGTATTATAGTATAAACTATAATAACGACCTTAATTAAAGTAATTTTTTACAAAATTAAAAGAAATTTCGGCACTTTTTGCGAAAGAAAATTAAAAACTGCTATTTCAGTGATCGGCCAAAACGAGCTGCATATGTGAAAAAATATCAATAAAACATAAAAGTAGAGCAAATCTAACGGAATTTTTTCTCGATTCTTATCTTTATGTTCCATTTTACAAAAACAATGTGCAATAGATCAGCTTGCAAAAAGGAATATGTACAAAAAAACGTTTTGAAGTTGTTCCTCTGTCGCACTGCTATTTCCGTGAACACAGCTGTAGATAAAGATAGCTAGAGACATCTACAAATTTTTGAAAAATTGTATCTCAGTTGCTTATTGAAGGTTTAGCCAAGATGTCGAGTGTTTCCCTGATCGCAGTCTGTGTGTTGCTCTGCCTGGTGGGTTTAAAGTTAGTATAACTGTTATATTTTAATTAACACAAAATTCTTCTTTAAGAGCGGACAAGCCTGGGGTCAATATGAGGCCGTAGATCAGGCCATTGCCTGGGCCAACAATGTCTACCAGACCGTTGGGGTTGTGACCAGAGAGAAGCTGCCAGTTACAGCTTCGGCTCAAAAGGAGGGACAGGATATGCTGGATACCTTCAAATTGGGCCTAACCCATTGCGAGACTGAGCTGAAGGCCACCAGGAATGTGGACCAGCACAGGACGTGTGTCAACGCCTTGACAGCTGGCTATTACGCCTCTTTGGGTCAATTGGCCGGCGAGCTGTGGGCCATCCATGGAGCCACCTCTGGGGCATCGCGTCTCAGTTTGTTTTGGTAGTCTCAAAGTATTAAAAGAAGGTGTCAACTGAATCTCTTTGAAACTTGCACTTGTATAAAAATGAAATAATAATTGTTATTGGTTTAAGTTTACAAAAACATTTAGAAAATAAAGTAAAGAATTGAAGACATTTTGTAATGATGAAGAGACTTATTATTTAAAAATTCCAAGTCATGATGTGTACACAAAAAACAATTTTGATTATTTAACAGGCTAAAATACCAATCTGTCAAAGCTGAGAAAGTGACGAGTACAGATCCCAATCCATTTCCGATCGCTGGCTGTTTTCTTTGTGACCTCCCTGCGCCCTCTCTTGTACTTTAATTAGACTGTCTACTCTTGAGGGCCAAGTCCCTGGGCTGGGGTGGCTTTAGAGGGCTTTGGCTTGGTCTAGGTCCTGGGTCCTGGCTTGTCTAGTGCTCATTAGGTAAATGTGCGGGAGCTGGAAGCAGCATTTCGTAATTATAATCATTAGACGCGAGACAAAATCCGCACAAAGCAAATAGCGACATTAGCTGCGTGGAAATGTGTGTCAATGAAGATGAATCTGCCTGAGACGTTTCGAGTTGTCAGGCCCTTAGTCCCGGGACAGGCACTGCAGCTAGTTCTCATGAAATTGGAGGGCACTCCTCCGCAAGCTTGAATCCCCAGGCCAGGCCCTAATGAGAGTGCATGCACCGCGTTAGTTGGGCGTGTGTGTGGGAATTCCCATTTAAGTGTTCAATTATTTGCTCTACTTTAAATTTAAAACTAACAGACAAGGAAGCTTACTTTGTATACCCTCTGAGAATCTCTTAATTTCGATATATTAACGTGTCTTTTACTTAATTTTATTAGTTATTTTTTTTTTACATTTTTGAATCACTTTATGATGGCTGCGGGTTACCTTTTTTTACATTTTCGTGCCTCTTTTAGGCAATTGCATTTATCTTTCTTGGAGGCCTAAGCCTTGGACTCGGCCTCAGATGTGGTTTCTGTATCGGAAGCAGGTGCATCCGGTTTGGGCTCATCGGTGTTGCCGAATACGCACATAGGACACTGCAGGGATTGATAAATAAATATTATAAAATATGATCTACTTAAAGGTCTCACCTTTTCCTTGAGAACTATTCGGTATTTAGGATGGCTAAAGGCAAAGCAGGAATTTGTTAGAAATTAATTTAAATGAATTTATTAATTAACAAAAGAACCCCTCTCACCTTATGCCATACACAATAGGATTGTATACCGCGCTCGTCTTGGCAAAGGTGGCTCCCCAAATGGTGGTCAGGGGGGTCAAGCCATCGATCTTAAAAAGACCAAAATAGCAGATAACCAGGTAGGGAGTCCAAGCCATAAACCACAGAGAGATGGTGGTTAGGGCCACCTTGGCCAGCTTGCCCTCGGCACTCTTGTCGCAATCCTCAGAGCTCCTAAGCGACTTGACGTTCATCTTCTTGGCCTGCTCCCGCATTGCCTTCTCGTGGGCAGCCACGGCGGCAATAATGAACCAGTAGGAGTAGCAAATAAGGAACAGCGGCGTATAGTAAACGAACAAGGAGTAGGTTATCAAATACGATCGAGGATTCCACAAACGCGTCATATAATCAATACTGCAGGCAGTCAGATTGCCCTCCGGCACATAGCTGCTCCATCCCACTAAAGGCATGACGGTCCAAAAAACAGCCATCAGCCAGATGAAAAGGATTTTCATTATCGAAGTCTTGACGGTCATGGGAGTGCCATTAATGCCCTTTACAATCACATTGTAGCGATCGAAGGCAATCATGCACATGGACCAGATGGAGACGCAGCCAAAGAGGGAACCACAGCCGGCGTAGATGTCACACCACAAAGGACCCAGTACCCAGGTTTGGTAGTAAAAGTTGATGATCATCACCGGGGACTGCGAGGCCATCATGCAAAAGTCCGAGAAGGCCAGGTTGAGAACCAGGAGGTTCGCAGGAGTGCGTAACGATTTAGTTCCTCCAAAAATGTAAACAACCACTCCATTGCCGCAGCAGGATATAATCAGGATGATCAGGGTGAAAAGGCCTAGAATCTTGCTCATCATGGGGTCCATAGGTGCGAAGCGGCTCCAGTAAGGGTTCACGAGGTGCGCCATGTCGGGCAGCACCTGGCGAGAAAGTAGATATCATAAAATTATATTATAAATTAGGTCAGAAGCCTCACACTCTACTCACATTATCCAGCACGGAACCATTGCCGCCCGACTGGGCCTCAAACCGTGGCCCAGAAAGGGCCAAGGCCAATGGCGTCTCTGGCAAATGACTGCGCTCCATGCTCAGCTGCCCGCTGCCCCTTCATCGAACTCGATCTGAGCTGGACTGCTAAGAAAAACAGCCCTTTATAGCCAGGTTTTAAGCCAATTAGGCGTAACAAGGGGGGCAGGGCAAAGACTTATAAACGACGGACAGCTGCCAGATAAAAGTTTTTTATTTTTCTTTTTTAATTCCAACTCAAGTCACATTCTCAGACTCAGGTGCATACGCTTAATAATCAATGTCTCAAGATCAAAGAGCCTCTGAATCCATCTAAATTGGAGGTGGGTTGTCCGGCAGTCCAAGCTCAAGCTCATAACGTTGCAAGAAATTTCTGGCCGCACTTCTGGCAGAGCTTTCGTCGTGTTCCCTCCTCCTGGCAGCAATTCATCTCTGTGGAAGCCGGCGGGCAGTGCTGTTTACTGTGAGAGGCCTTCGAGTAGTAAAGGTCCATCTTGGAGGATGTAGTTTGTCCGCCAGTGGATCGGATGCTCTCAGAAATCTCAGCCGGATTGTTGTCAAAGTAGGCATTATCCTCGGAGCTGGGCACCTCGTACCTAACAATGTCTACCTTTTGGAGAAGGATGAGCTGCTTGCAGCACTCCTTGATCTGGTAATAGGCGGCCCTAAATATACTTTGCTTGCAGGTCTGCATTAGAAAGAGTAAATAAGGATCCGATAATGATAGGATAAGGATCAGGAGTCAAACTCACCGGGGTAAGGTTGTGGATAAAGGCCGTCTGGCCATCCTGGCCAAAGGAACTAAGCAGTAACAACTCGGAGTCCACCCTAGAGCGGTTGGCTTCAGCCCAAAGCTGGAGTTCCTTGTAAACGGTCTCATCCATGGCCACCACGTAATCGAAGTAGGCAAAGTCATCCATGGAGAACTGTCAGCCAGAAGGCCATATATGGTATAATTTAGATAATGTTGCATATTTAAAATTTTAAGCTGACCTGACGGCAGAAGTGATCAGAACGCAGACCGTGCTCACGGAGCACTCGCAGGCAGCGCTGATCAGGTCTGCGTCCAGTGTTCCAGGTCCTCAGGCCGGCGCTATCCACCTCCCAGTAGATGCTGGTCTTAACCATCAGGCTCTGCATGATTGCCTCGGCCATGGGCGAGCTGCAGGAGTTGCCTGGTTCCCCAGAAATCTTTAGTTAGATTCCGGAAAGTCAACACACGTGAAAGATCTTACCCATGCACACGAACAGCAGCCGTTTGAAAGACATTTTCAGCGTTTCTTTTACTTGGTTTTGCGTACGGGATTGTTTCGTTTATTTGTGTATTTTTACTAATATCAACTAAAATTTATAAAATTTTGTAAGCTTCCGTTCCTGGTTTATGCTATTTTTGAATGATCTGTATCTATCGAAGCTACATGTCGACTCGGAATACTTGTAACTGCAAGGCTACTTTGTTTTTGTCCGAATCCAAAATGACAGTAAATGATCATTTCCCCAGATTATTATCCGCACTAATGCACTTTTTACAGCACTTGCAGCCCACCCACTAGATTGAAGTCCTAGTATGTGTGTGCCACGCCCACAAGCCCATTCAACACTCTGCAGTCAAGGTGCAGAAGGAGGAGGGGAATGAGGAGGGCCACCAGATAGTGTCACGTGGCTGTCAGGTGCTGGCGGTGGCCACGTCGTGCCGCGAGCTGCATTCGAAATTAGCCAACAAGTTCAGCGAACTTGCAGGTGGCAGGGGTAAATTGGAATTGGAATTGGATGAGGCGAGTGCCAATCCCACCCTCGTATGGTAAATTTCTTGGAAACATGCACTGTGGGGACACAAATCTACATATATATGGGAAATGCAGAATTTAAGTCCTTGTTTCTTGGCAGCTTAATTTGGGAAAGCAGGTTTAATATAAGACTTTGGTATATTGTTTTAAGATATTGATTTATTTGGGTATTTAATTCATTTATCCAGAAAGATTATGGCTTATAAATGACTTAACAACATTTTAAAACTCTAATAAAAATCTTGGCTTTCGCTTTAAGCGTTCCCTTAGTACTGGTGTCCTATCTTCCTGTTTCTTGACGCTTTTATTCTAATTTCCAAGCTATAAAAGTCTCTTATAAGAACAATTTATTACAACAGCTCTTAAGATCAACATAAAATCGAATTTCTCCCTGTGTAATCGTGATTGATAGAAGTCCCTTTTATGCAGTTGTCATGTCATAAAGGTGCAACCCACACAATGCACCGGGAATTCATTTTATTTCAGTCTCAATTAAACGAGTTCTGTCTGAACGGATCAATTTTGAGCATTTCAGGGGGCCAATGCTAGCCACCACCGTTGCCTTTTTTATTTCCATTTACCATGGGGAACCGAGAGTTGCCCTGTTGTAACTTGGCCATTGGCAATATCCAATTGGAATTGCATTGAACGACTAAATTGAAAATGCAGCTGAAAAAGCATATTTCACTTATCACTTTTCACACAAAACACACACACACACACACACACACACAAGGGCCAGGCCAAAACAAAGAGGGCAGATGCTGCCAGAGGGGCAGGGCCAGGGACAAAAAACGGGGCAAAATGAAATTGTAAGCGCAAAAGTAAAACACACGAGCAACAGCAGCAGCGGCAGGAACAACAGCAACAAGTCAGTCAGTCACCGGGCGAGCGGGAAATAATATGTGCAAAAGCGGGTTAGATGCCGGACGGAAGGACGGACGGAAGTGTGGCTCTGGCACTGCATTGTTGTTTTAATTAAAAACAAACCTCCCGAGCTGTTGGCCCGACAAAAACAGCACCACCAACAGCACAGCCCAGGCAGCAGTGGCAGCAGCAAAAAGTAAAGCCAAAGTGAGCAACCTGAGAGGCAGGCTGGGGTGTCTGTACTGCTGAATATTTAGTGCAAAGCTGAGGGGGGAAAGAAAAATAAAAATAAAAATAGAAAATGGTTGACAAAATCCCCGCAAAGAAAACCCAACGGGCAGACGGAAATGTGCGACTATCTCACACATACACTTATGGGAAGTAAGTAGTTGTGGCCGCCGTCGTAATGCTGTGGCATTTCCCCAAATTAAAGGATGAGTCCGACCAAAGCCGCACCTAATGGCAATTTAAATGAACGGAGAGAACAAATAAAACTAAGGCCTCGCACCTGGCGGGTAAAATGCTTTTTGTGTTGACCGCAAATGCAATTCACAGCACCACACAATCGGTGGTGGAACGCGGCAGGTCAAGAAGAAACTAATAAAACATGGAAGTGGGAACTATGTACCTAAACTAACTAACAATTGCTGCAGCAAAAGCAAGCAAAAACTAGAAAAGCAGCAACCATATTACCAACAAAAGCAGAAGCAACAACAGCTGCAAAAAAAGCAGCAATAACTGCAATAGAAGAAGCAACAAAAGCAGCAATTCACCCCCCAAAAAAGCACAAGCTACAAAAGAAGCAACAACACCCACTATGGCTGCCATAACAGCAACAATTGCTGCAACAACAGCAGCAACGTAACGCAGCAAACACATCAGCAGCATCCTCATAGTTTTGGCCATACAAACACATACAATTAGGCACAGGCACACAAAACGCACAGACAGGTGAGGAATTGTGCCAGTCAGGTGGGCTGCTCGCTGTGTTTGCGGCCATTTTCCCACTGATTGAGGTTCAGCGTAGATTGATATACATATGTTTGTATGTAGTACTTCCTGTTTTGCTTTTTAAAATGAAATTTGCCCCCAGCATATGAAAATATGCAGCTTGCTGTCTCCTGAGGTGTGATAAATAAATTAGAATGCCAGCCAGAAATGGGCGTGGCTCTCTATTGTTGGCTAATTTCATGTGTTTTCTAGCTGTGGGCGGCCTCAATAAATATTTATTGTTGGCACTGACAAAACAAGCGGGCTTTCAAATATAACGTTTTCATCAGACGAAAGCAGAATTGCAGGTCAAACTAAGGGGAGAGATTAAACTCTATCATTTAAAGATTACGGGTTGAAAGTCTTGAGATTGTGTGCACTGACAGAAAATTACTTAAGTAAATTTTAAATAAGGGGATTATTATGGAATGAGTTGATTTAATTTGTAATTAAGTACGTTTTTATTTAATTAATTTGAAAAGGTAAGGCAATCTTTTGTTCTCGTCTTCCCTAATCGTTGTTTGCTCACACCTTTATAATCTTTTAACTAAACCAAATTTTATTTCTCCATAATTTATTTTTGAGTTTCTAAATAAGTTAAACTCAAAATAAGTTTTATTATTTATGTAATAATTGTACAACATGCCATTTGATTTAAAAAACATATCCTCCATACAATAATCTCCAGGGTATCAAAAACGAATAATATATTTCTTTTTGAGTGCGGTATCTTATCTGTAGAATATTTTTTTTTAACAGATAAATAACAATCATATTGTGCTGTATACTTTTGGGGTTTCGAGGGGGTCCGTTTTCCTAAATGTCTTGGGAAAACATTAACAAATGATGCGGCGGGCAGCGTGGAAGAGCGGAAACTGACCTAAGATAGGCGGATCCGAACGGAGGAAACCCAAACGAACCAAGGGGTCTCATTAAAAAGCCAAAGGCAAATATGGTCGGGCGTCTCTGCAATTTCCTCAACCTTAAATTCGACCTCATCAATAGCAACGGCAATGGCAGCCGGGTTGCAAAATCGTCTGGCCGAGATTTTTTGTGGCCGATAATGCCGCACGTAGCGGCAATTCAGCAAATGATGCAGGACAGGCTGGGACAGGACAGGAACCGGGGCAAGGAGCACGTTCCACGGCCAAGTCAAGTCAATCGTCTGGAGCGGCATCTTCATCTTCTGGCTCCGGCTCGGCTCCGGAGGAGCTCGTAAGTCATTTAACATTTTGAGGTATTTAATGAGCCAAAAACTTTTGGCCGCACATAAATTAAAAGTCGACTGGCAGCAGGCAGCCGGCAGCCGGCAACCTGAGGAGCAGTGCCACCCCTCCCGGGGGGAATCCCATCTAGGGTCAGGGTCAGGTGTCCGTCGGCTGACCAGGCAATGGCTCTATTAGCATGCCCATTAAAATTAGACAAATGGTTGCCATTGCCGTTTGCCGTTTCGCATATCCGCAACTTTGGGCCAGTCCGCAGATTTATGGCCATCTGAGAGGGGGGTTCAACTTCGACGGCCAGTCATGGGGTTCGGCCTGCTCGGCCAGGCCTTTGCCGCAATCACATACGCCACTTGAGAGAAATGCGCTGCGGCCGCTTTCGTTATGATAAATGATTTTGTTGGCAGCCAAGCGAATTGCATGTGCCAGTCCGTAAAGTAAAGGAAAGTGTGTGTGTGAAGGTCACACTGAAAGTCATCTATAGGGTAAGTTAGGGAGGAAAAAGGGGGTTTAAAATGGTTCAAAGTTGGATTTAAAATCATCTCAAGATGTGAAGACTCTATAGATCACTGTAACACTTGCTAATAAAATTGTTTTTATTATATCAACTTATCCGGCATCTTTTCTTAATAAAAGATATATCACAGTGTCATAACAGCATAATTTAGTTTTTGTTGTTATGAAAATGAAATACGAGCCTGAAGTATTTTCCAGAAATCGTAAGCTCTTAAGGTTCAAGCAAGTATTTTAATCATTACCCCCTAGTTTTTAATAATAAATTTAAGCTATAGTGTCATAACGTCCCAATTCCGAACCAATTTTTATACAATTTCAGTGCCAAAATCAAGTACATATTTCTTCACTTTAGCCTGAAGCAATTATACAACCCCATTCCTAAGCCTTTAAGTATTGACATCTCACTTTAAGAGCCGACACTTCCTCCAATTGAGCTGCTCAAATGGAATGAGATTTTACCGTCTTGATTTGGTTTGCTGGCAAGGCAGGGCACGGGCTTTTGTGTGTATTTGTAAGCGGCTTCCACTTGGAATTTTCTTCTGCCTCATCTTCGATGCCCTTTGCCGGTCCCTGGACGAGTTCCTGGCAAATTTAACCCTTCACTTCATTAAACGTACTTGCCGATACCCCAAGGGCACACAAATCACTTTGGCCACAGATACAAAGGCTGCCTGGCTGGCTAGGATTGGATTGGGTGTGGCCATAGAAATTCGACATATAGCCAAACAAAAGCCTAATCGTGCAGCTGCCTCTGTTTTTTTCCCCCACCTCTTCCCAGTTACGCCTCCAAAAGAATACAGTGGAGGGGAGGAGAAGGTGGAGCAGATCTGGAGAGCTGCCGCCTTTTGGTTGTAATCCATCAACCGGTTTCGGTTTTGATTCGGGCCACTGTCACAACAAATACAGCAAACAAACGGGAGAGGTGGTGGTTCCTCCTGAAAAAGGGTTTCCTTTTTTGGGAGGAGGAACTGAGCTGAAGATGGAGATGGCCACAAAGGGACCAAAACGACGCCGGCAAATTGTTTTCCATTCTCCGGATTGTGGCCTGCTGGTGCGTGCTGTTCCCAGTTTCCGTTCGGTGTTTTAGGCATTTAAGCATTTAGTCACTCTGCCGAGTTTCTATCAGTCATTTCGGTTGTCATTTCATCTGCGTTCTGTTCCGTTTCCCCCACCCTAGATCTCCGGTCAGTTGAAGCCTTTGTGCTTGAAATGAATTCAATGCGGTGTACATATGACAAATTAAGCCCCCAGGCCAAGGCACAGGCTTTGTTTCAGTTGGGAGTGGTGACTGTGATGGTGCTGAGGGGTTTAATTAGTTAAAATTAACCTCAGAAAATTACTTTAAAATATTTAAAAAACCATAAACTTCCAAGATGTATAATAATTACAAAATTAAGTGAAAGATTTTTAAAACTATTGAAATAACCCACTCACCACTGTTGGAAGCCTGAATCCTTGGTCAAAGCTTGTGGCTTAATTAACATAGTTTCCATTAGTTTGAGCATTTCTTTGTCTCTCTTCTGACTGCAAGCTGCATGTCTTTCACCATTTCAGTTGTCAATCTTCCCATTTCGATTGCAGCTGGTGTTATCTTTTTATTGTTCTTATTGTTGCCGCGTCAATTTCAATGCCGCACGCACATGACTTGGCCGCAAACTTTGCTATTTGCCACGACTCGAGGGCTCCAGGCCAGCAGCCACAAAACCATGGCCAGCACATCTGAAATCTGAATCTGAAGGAGCAGCAACAGCAGCAGCAGCCGTTGGCTAAAGTTTCCTGCACTTTTTGGAACTCGCAACTTTTCTCATTTGTGCGTGTGCATTGGTAAGTTGCAACACCACCACCAGCACCCTTCGCCACGATGTCCAACTGTGGTGCCGACCCTCGGACGAGCACGAAACTAATCCGCAACATGACGACAAGAAAATTGAATTCTTGCAACTGTCAAATTGAATTTGCCTGCGAGCCTGGCCCGAACTCCAACTTATCTGGCTAAAAGGGAATAAGCCCAAGAAGAGCACTTTATATTTTTTAAAGAAGTTTGAAAAAGGATAAAAAATGTACCTATTTTTATAATATAAAACTGGGCTCACTAAAAATATGAACTTTAAGTTTTTAAAAACATTCGAAATTAAAAGGAAGAAGTCTTACTGCTATAAAATTTATAAGTAAACATTTTGCTTTGGAATTTACACACCCAAAATGCTTTAAAATCAGCCTCCCTCCCACCACTTGGCCCAAATGTTTTTAATCTGTTATTTTATGGCCAAAACTTAAGGACCAAAAATGTTCTTGGAAATGCCAGACCTCTCACATGAGTGATGTTATTGCCTGCGCTGACTTTTCAGCCATTGTATGTTTCATTTATTGACAAGCAGTGCCGCCTGGTTCGTGATAATGACAGACTTCATCGATTACGCGATTATCGCAATGTCACTTTACAAAAATTTCCTCATTTTCGGGGCGGAAAAGCTTTTAGCCTTCGCCCTGGCACTTGCCCTACGTCTCTGTCTCCATCTCCATCTCAATCTCATACCCACTCTGCGTCATTTGGCGGATGAAATTGCTGCGCTTCAAGTGTAATATCACTTAAGCTCTTAAGCAGTCAACAGAAAAAAAAAAAAACGAGAGGAAAAAACCTTAACCCAAAGCAGACGCTTCAATTGCCACACTTTTAGCACTGCCTTGGCCCCCGTTTTTCATTTTCATTTTCATTTCCAGGCATGTACACAACACTCCCGGACTGTCGGAAAATAAAATGTCTCTAATGTGCTGAGCTGTTTTCCGCTAAAAGGATTTTGCAGTTTGAAATGCAGTCACAGGCAGCGGCTGAAGTAGTCCCATAATTGAACAAAGAAAACTCAGGAAATTTGCATTGGCCAGGCATAAAATTACAGGCACTTGGCTCCACGGGACAGGTGTAACAAATTGTTATTTGCGCGGTAATGGCAAATAAGCAATCAACAAAAACAGCAGCGAAATTAGTCACCTGTTCGGAGGTAGTAGTAGTTCGAGGTAGTCAATGGAAAATGGCAAGCTGGAAACTTGCTGCAGCGGAAATTTATGCTGCAAATGCTGGCAAACAATAAAATAACGAGTTGTCTGTGCAAGCAAATTGCATCAGAGGAACAGGCAAAGGAACAGGAGCAGGACTAGGAGCTGGAACAAAAACGAGCGAGTTTGGATGCACGTGCCAAAGTCAAGGAGGCAAATGCCTTACGCTCGCCTGCCTCGTCTAACAAACGTGGCAACGACGACACTCAGACGCAGACAACCAGGTTAACAAGGCAAAACCAAGGCACCCGGACACAGTAGCAGCAACATCAGCAAATGGTAGCAACACCAACGACAGCAGCAACATCGAGGCATGCAAAATTTGGCCCTTGTTTGCATATTTGAGCTCCTCTGTTTGTTGCCTATGTGGACTGAGGTGTCAGGCAACAAAGGAACGGGTTAAGAGAGGAGTTAAAGACATGAAAAGAATACCATAGTTTTCAAGAGAAATTTTCAAATAATATTTACAAGATCAAAGGTTATAGTTCTTACTTGATTTCCTAAAATATAAATCTCAATAATTCCTTTTATCTTCAACTCTGATTAAGTTTCTCTGCCTAAATCGAAACCCATCTATACATCTGATCAGATTCCGTGAATCAATTACCGCCCCTGCTGTCCACAATTGTTTGCATCTGTGTCCCGCCAAAAAGTTGCAATTTAATGACAAAATTTGGCATGGAATCCAATCGAATGTCCAAACATGTTGGGCCTCATTAGGGGGGGGAAATCCCATTCTGCGTGCATGTTTAATTTAAAGCTCAAATCGAAATGCTGCGTGACTTAATTAAATAGCAATGTTATCGAGTAGGGAGTAGCGGTATTATCCTTTTGCTCCCCCCTACCCCCCCTCTTAATATTGTGCCGATGCCGGTGGCAATAACAATTTAGATAAACAATGGCGGCAGCATGTGGCGCGTGATATGCAAACGTGCGTAATTAACCTTTTGAAATAGGCACCCAGGTAGGGGATATCAGCTCATACTCCCACTGAAAGACGGCTTTATCCATTGCAAGAGTATTGAAGTACAGAGAAACCAAAAGTTTTAACATTAATTATTAATATTTACATTATTTCTTGATTTGATACCCTCAAATGATCAGTTTCTTAACTTAAATAACTACTTATATATTCCGAGTGTATTTATTTATGTATTTATACATGTACCCATATATTTCCCAAGTGCAACTGATGAGACAAGGGCCCTCAAATGCTACACGTTCGTATGGAAACTGCCGCCGCCGCTGATGGCGCTAATCTAAATGCCACGCAATGGACTCCGCCGACTCCCCTGAACTATCAACAAATGGCATTAAGCATAATTATCAGTTTAATGCAAGTATCGCTGCCACAAGCCACAAGTCTGGGGTTTCTGGGCCAAATGTCTTCATTGTCGTGGCCATCAAAGAGACTTGCAAATGGCATTCGCAATGACATTTGAGCTCTCATTCCGATGCCGCTGCCGAGGCCGATCTACCCCCCGAATGATAACGCGCTGCGAGGAGTGTGACTAATGTTGACTTGATGATGATTAAGTTGTTCGTCTCCCCAGGACCCTTCCCATTGGGGGGCGTGTTGATTGAGGACTGATGTGGGCGTGACTGCGTCAGAGCAACTATCAAGAAAAAATAATATGTAGGCGATGGCAACCAATTTTGGCTCAAAGTCCCAGTCCACGGAGGAACGTGATTCAATTAGAAAAGAAAAATACCATGCTGCAGAAAATAAAATGAAATATACTTAAACACTTTCTGCCAATAATCAGTCAGTGGCCCCGCCGGGGATTGTCACGGCACCTTTTAATTATGTTGATAATTAGTTGGCGACGTGACGGCTTTGAAGCCTGCCCTCGGCGGCCTGGAATTGCCGTCGAAACTTGGCCGTTTCGAGCGTTGATCTCTTTTGCCGAGAGGAGTTTGGGAATAACACGGAAAGAAAATAGTTAAACTCTAGAAAAAGGTGTGATTAAGAGGGGTATTGTGGGTTTTAAATTAAATATTAATCCTATTTTCATAAGGAATATAAGAAAATTAAAGAGAAATTCCACAAAAATAGAGTGCTTGCCATTCATGAAAAATACAAGAATATTTCTTTTCATAATTGGTACAGAAATAGATTTTTTTAATTCTTAAAATGCTGATAAGCTTGAACTTGTATTATTTAAATTAAAAATTATGTTTTTCTTATTTTATTTCAAGTCTAATTAGCCAACTCGACAGGTTATTGGCCACCTCAATTTCCTTATAATAATTTGTGAGCAATAGAAATATATACAAGACAGAACACTACACCCAAAAGGCACACATTTCTTTAGTATTTACTTATAATAATATAATTAATTAATTGTATGAACATGGCTTTCACATCCAGTCATTACATTAAATCAATAAGAGGTGTCAAAGAAAATACCTCAAAGAAAGTTATCTCAATGAATGCATTTGTTGTTTGAAGTAAGTTCAATTATGCCCTAAATACCAACCGCTGTCCTTTATTTACCTTATAATTGAACTAATTACAAGTAAATGTGATTTCTAGATATGAAATATTTTATCAAATTGCCAAGGATGTCATGTGTTTGCAATTAATTACATTGTCAATTTGTAAAGGCAAATGATATACAGGTAAGAAAATGAGCTTAAATAACTATAATTCCATATAAATTTATGACATATGTGTACTTCGGCTTCAACTGTTTCCTTGGATTGTTTGCAAACCCAACAAATTTGAACACTTATTCCATGATTATGCTTTTTTCCAGTGCCCTTGGTGACAGTGAGCTGACATCTTTTTAAAAGGAAATGGGAAATTCAGGGCGCCAGGTTTAGACGAGGGAAATTGTCAAGTTACCGGGACATGGTTGCATTTCGGACATTCAGGGGGGGCTACTGGGGGCTAAGCCTGAACCTGAACCCGAACTGCCAATCATGTAGACGGTGTCCCAAACCGAGAGCTCGTGCAGACAGCTTCGATAACAAGATGTCCGCCGGCAAAAACACAAGGACCTCCACCGCCCAGGAGGAGCAGCAACAGCAGCAGCATCAACAGCCAGAATCCGGAGTTCAAACCAGGAATAGAGTGACAAACACAAACTGTGGGATAAATTTTCCCTGGAAACGTTTCCCATTCTCATTCCCTCCGTTTGACAGCAGCAGCAGCAGCAGCAATTCGAGTTTTGGCATTGGGATTGAACCTGATGCCCTACCATTTCCACTGCCACTCCTGCTTAGAGCCGAGGTCCTTTTGGGGCTGAGAGTCCTGCAACTCCTGGCGCCGCATTTCGTCTGTCGCACGTGTCAATGCGTCTTTGAATGCTCAATTAAATTTTCGACTGATTCGCTTTTGAGCCCAGCCCAGGACCGGGGCCAGGATCCCACGAAATCGGATTGTAATTGGGATTTTTGCATTTGCCTTTTGCCACTTGACAGACGCTTTTTGACCCACCACCAACAGCACCAGCAATCCGCTGTTCGGGGTAAGTTTATTGCTGGCACCTCATGAATTATTCACTTTAACTGGGCCTGGCAGGCACTGAGAGAAATGTCAGTGGTACTTTTTAAGTATTATTAAAAATTTGTAATAAATTGTAAAGGTATATCTTTAAGTATGGAAAGTTATTAGCAGGAATAAAAATCAGAATAACAAGGAACTTCTTTATTGCCTAATAGTTTTTATCTTTCTCTTTCGATGATATTTATTTATATTCTTTTACTGACCCTCCTGAATTTCTCTCTGTGCACTGATCCTGCTTCGATTGAGCCAGAAAACTCACAATTTATTGATATGTCGGCCTGGGCACTGCATTTTCCGCAAAAATATTGGCTGCCAATTGTATAAGTCATGTTTACAAAACACTTACAAATCGCAGGCAGCACTGGGAGACGGACTGACGGACTGACTGACTGACGAATGAAGTTAATGAAAGTTTATTGAGCACACGGCATTGATTGAGCCATCGTGGGGCATGGGAAAGTGAACGGGTGATGGAGTGACTCAAGGGGCGGCCACTTGGCCGGGCTTAATGAATTTTGCCAGTTGAGCGGAAACGGAAATACAGCGCCTATTTCGCAATGTATGTGGAAGCCAAACAAAACACATTGAAAGGGTGTTCAAAGCTAAGGGTTTTCCACGTACCAATTGCTAATGAAACTCTTTTCTTAGCACTTTTCCCCCTTTGAACACGGCTCCCTTATCTTCGCCCCCGCCTTTTCTCATTGCCAACTTAATCATTTGACTTTTGTGTAAAGTTTCCTCGTTTTCTTCGAGCTTTTTTGCCGCTATTTGTATTACATTTGTGATCTTAACAACAAATTTACATGCAAATAACTTTTTCAACTTTGGCACTTGGGGCCCGCGCCCCTACACAGACACAGATACAGATACACACGCGTGTCGTCTCAATTGCCACTTATCAGCTCATCGATGAGGTTGGCAAAAGTTTTATACTTTCTCTCGGGTTTTTTTTTCCTTTTTTTTTTTTTGGAGGGGAGGAAACTTTTGCAGTTGTTATTCCATTTCTGTTGTGTTTTATTGAAATCGTTAAGGAGCCGTGAAACAAATCGCTGGCCCGGCATTAATCTGTGATTTTAATGCGCCGCCATTAATTCAGGCCTAAGCCGAGTCCTTTAATAGCCGTAAAGTGTTGACGACGACCATCCCTACCACCACCCCTCCCACAAAAGCGATGTGACAGCATCGGGAAAACCACTGGGCCCACACCCACATTCACATTCGAGTGGGAATCACGCTGGCGTGGCTCTGAGGTGCCTATAATCATAAATTATGACCGAGACCACATGCGGTCGCCCTTCGCAGGCGTATACGCGATATCCCACTGACAGCCGTCGAGAGGGTTGGCCTGGAGTTTGGGGTTGGGTTGGAAGTGGGGGTGGGAGAGGGTGGGAGCTCCTTTGATGCACTGCACGGACTTAACGTGAATTATTTGCATTGCGGTCGGTTGACCACAGCAGCGGCCATGGCAATAGCAGCCACTCCAGGTGCGGAGCCAGCCAAGCGTTGACCTTTGGCCCGCAGGCACCTGCAGATGAACCGGCAGCAAGCACTTTCTCTCCACTTCTGGACATGCACCCTGTATCGGGCATACCATCGCCAAAGGAGCTGCGTGGTTGGGTTTATAATTGAATTGCTCGTCCAATCAAACATACGCACCGTTGGCCGGCAGCAATGCAAAAGCACTGGGGGAAAATGTATCTATATTTATTATTATTAATAACATGAATATAAATTATAGTATATTTCAGACTCGAAAAGCCTTTTTCTAAAATGTAAAACCAAGATATTTCCCCACATATAAAGATACTATTTTCTATAATAACCTTCTACATCCAATTTATTAATAAACCCTTCAGGTCTATATTATTTTTTTCAAGTGCCTGTTGGGTAATTAAAATGCATTTTGCTGCAGGATTTAATTGTGGCCCCGATTGCGCAATTTAAAATGCATGACATGCTTCAAAATTTGGATCACCCGAGGGTAAGGGAAACATAATGCAGTGAGAGGATGCAAAATGGTAGAGGGTGGGAGGAGGCATAAGCAGAGCTGACTGACTAAGCTTACAAGTAAACGCAGACGCACCCTGCGGCGTTGCAGTTGGAGTGCCCCATCCTCCAGACTTCCCTCGTGATTAAGCGTCGGGGTTAAATTTCCATTTTCGCTGGGGCTTTAACGCAGGCTTAAGCAATCACTTGCAATTTCCGCTCTCGCCACATGGAGCCATGGCCATGGTTGCTGTGTTTTTACTGCATATGTGACTCAACAACTCACATGCTGGGTCTAAAGTGTAGGGGGGTGGTGCTGGGGGTGTGTGCCACACACCCACTTCTACACCCACATTTGTATTTGGTAATTTTGATTTGTTTGCTGCACTTTATACTTTTTCCCCTTGGTTGGAAGGAAAATTGATTTCGCCAAATGATGCTGGCGTTGCTGATGTTTTTGTTCCGCGTCTGTTTGCAAACCAATTTTGCTCGGTTTCCTTTTTTCTTTTTTTTGGCAAGTAAATATGCGTTTAAGCAAATATTTTAGCTTTCCGGAGTATGTATGGCTTTTTGCTCGCTTGGTTTTTGTAATGTGTTTCGCAGCCTTGTGTTTTTATTGGGGTTTTTCGTTTTTTGTAATTTCGTTGGTGGCAAAATATTTGCTTTTCATTCCGGTTTACTTGCAATTCACCATTTTAAGAAGGATAACAAATTGGCGGAGGAGAAATCGGGTGGAAGTTGGCATACCCTCCTATTGGCTGATCACATTTAAAAATTAATTAAAAGGCCCAGTAGTAATGACCTTAATTTATAATAAAAATACCTGTCAACGAGGCTTGGCTGGTTTAATATTAAATGCGCCGTTAACTAATGCAAATAAATCATTGATTAACCAAAGTTAATTGGATCTCTTTGTAAATGATAACCGCATTTTGTGGAAAAATAATATTATTTGCATCGGATGAAACTGTTACCGAAGTCAAAACACAATGTTTGACTTTTAATTTTAAATAATTCACAAGGTTGCGACCAGAAATCTGCGGATTTGGCTTGGCCGCATTAATTTGCTGTGACATGTTGACAATGGAATTTTCATTTAAATTTTCAATTTGCCTTTACCAATACAATTTTTGCATTAATAGTGAATGAGAGATGGCATTACAGTGGGTGTGCGTGTGTGGCTGCTTGTCAGGCGGAGAGCGTGAAAAGCGGAAGTTGCAAACCGGAAATCCCATTGACAGCAACCTCATGAATTAATGCCCACCGCCTGTTTGGCTCCGTTTCTTTTGTGCTTTGCCGCTCACGAATCTGATACGTGATGCGTTATTATTTCATTTACACATTGTTGAGATGTTTTTCCACTCTTATCGCATCAGCAACAGTTTGTAACTAATTAATATTCAATGAAATGTCAATAACTGATTAAGGAATTGAAACCGTTTTCAAATAGAAGAGCATAAATTTTATGGAAACTCCCGTGACATATAACAAGGGGCTTATAAGTAAAGCTTCTTCCATTTTTGTTCAAATTTTGCTGAGGTTTTCATGGCCATTTTTTCCACAATTCGCTGTTGACATTTATCTGTATGGGTGTCCTGTGATTTTTCTGTCCTGTCTGCTTTCATTTTTCACTGCTATTTTTGTTGCTGAATTTTATTAAAATTTCCTCCCATTTGCCATAATTTGTATTATTTTTTTTTGCTTCCCACATGCCGAATGACAACAAGCCCCACCCGGGGGCCGCAGATGAGTTTGACAAGCAAATAAGACGGCGAGAATTCTGGTCGAGGGGGGTAGCGAAAATATAAAAAAAACACAAAAGAGTACTTTTGGGGATGAGGTCCTGGTCCTGGTCCTAGAAGCACCATTTGTTGCAATCAAATGAAATGCCAGGCCGCCGGAGAATTGACAGACAGACACTAACCCCCCCATGTTACCCCAGCTGCATATTTATGAAAAAGCATTTTTAATTTCCATCCAGACTGGTCTATTAAGCTGGTAATCCGTTTAAAGGTGAATGCATTTATTTGCACTTTGCATCGAGTGTTTTGTTAAATGAATCAAGGCAAATGCGCAATTCAATCACGCGAGTCCTTTGTGCGCCGCGTTGACATTCGATTCGGCCTGGACCCACCCGATCCCTGCATGATTAATAGGCCAAAAGGCAGCGGGAAGGAGCAGGCAGCCAATCATTCAAGCGGCAGCCAAGCCAAAGCCAAAGCCAGAGCGCAATCATTTATTAATGCTAATGCATTTCCCATTAATCCCGAGATATGTCTCGAAAAACCAACTTGATGCATCGGGCGGCTGGCGGAATGAAAATAAATTGCTGAAAATTAGTTCAAACGCATTTGATGCCTTTTACAGCTAAAGTCGGCTAGGCACTTGGGAAAATCTAGTATAGTTAATTAATATCAATAATTGATATTTATGGTTTTAAACGAATTTCGAGAATAGGATTTACAGTCAACTTTAATATTATTAAAGTTATTAAGGAATTTTAGTTATAAATGCATTTGAATTCGGAAAGATGTTCTGCATTAGTTTTCATTAGGCTTAAAAATCTGCATACTGAATTTTAAAATATCAAAATATTTTGTGAATTTTTAAGAATTTTAATGATGTAACCCCTTTTAAAATTTTGAAAAATATTCAGAAATTCTTTGTTCTTCCAGGTATGACTAGGAAGACTCCTCTGTTTATGCTGATCAAGAATATATATATAGTTTATAGGGTCGGAAATGACTCCTTCAGTGTTTTGCAAGCTTCTGACTAAAATAAAAAAACCCTCCAAGGTTATAAAAACAATTTTATTAAATTTATTTGCCGCTTTATTCGAATATATTATTCTTGTATATCAAACAGAACATTAAACTATCAATAAAACTTAGTATTTCATGAAGATATATCAATATTTTCCTTACTTTTTCATTACTTAAAAACCCCTTTTTATACCCTTGCAGGGTATTATAATTTCAGTCAGAAGTTTGCAACGCAGTGAAGGAGACGT